AATAGTGTACAGACAAAAGAAATATAGCAATTTGACAATCTTAGCACTTCTGAAATAGGCATATATAGAATGGGAACAATATGTTAAGCACTGCGGTGTCTATCATAATTGTTTTTGAAACTGTTGACGGATGCCGAGTTCACTACATAAGATGGAAGACTGTTCCATGCATCGAAGATACGGTTTGAGATAAAGCGCTGACGAGTAGAGGTTCTAAAAGCTTCCTTCTGCAATTTGAGGTTATGGCCTCGTTGCCAGACGAAACAGATGCGACATGTCCACACCAAACAAATTATGCAGTGCTCTGAAAGTGATGATGAGATCTCCTCGCATTCTTCTATCAGCTAAAGCAGGCAGGTTATATAACTCGAGGCGGTCTTCATAACTCGGCCTACATGTGCCTTAAGGCATACGTGTAGCACGACGCTGAACGGGCTCTAATAAGCTGCTGTCCCGAACAAGGTTTGAATCCCATACCGGAGCAGCAAACTCCAGTAGGGGTCGTACGAAAGTTGTGTACAAGAAGGAGGAGGTACTACATATATAGCAACCGCTTTGCCTTAGAGGTTATGTTCTGAATGTGCTCCGACCGGGTGAGCCGGTCATTAACTGCCAGACCTAGATCTGTGTGAAGAAAAACAGTATACAAGGTATGTTTGCCAATCTTATATGTTAAGTTAGGATTATTCTTTCCCAGGTGGAGAACGTAGCACTTCGAGAGATTTAAACGCAGGAGCCAAAGTTCTGACCACTTTCTGATCAGCTTCAGGTCTTCTTGGAGCACAGATGAGTTCAGGGCAGTGTTATAAACTTTAGTATCATCTGCATAGATGGAAGACATAGAAGAAAGTCTGGTGGGAAGGTCGTCTGTATAATGAAGAAAAAGTATTGGCCCTAGCACAGATCCTTGTTGAACTCCACTAGTAACACGATGTCTAGAAGAATAGGCGTCTCCAACAAGGACGGAGAAAGATCTATCTAACAAAAAAGCTTTAATCCATAACAACAATTTTCCCCTGATTCCGGGATGTTCAAGCTTGTTGCAGGAGCCTTTTATGCGGAACTCGATCGAAAGCTCTGGAAAAATCCAGAAAAACCACGTCGACCGGTTCATTTGCGTCTAAAGATCTGGTCCAATTGTCGATGCAGTGTAACATGTTGGTGATAATTGATCTACCAGGAATAAAACCATGTTGGTTGCTAGGCAGCAGGTTGTTCTTGAACGCATATGTGTGGTCCGAAATTTTATAGTTCAGGAGATATTTGCAATTTTGTGAAATTTCGAAAAAAACGGGATAATGAATTTCAATCGCAATTACAACTGAACCATTAGGTTTAGGGTTGTGTTTTTTTAAGATGAGCTAAATGGTTAGTTTTACCAATGGTTATGTCACTTTTTAACAGAGCTAAATAGAAATCAACGAGCTACAGTCCTAACGACTTGATGGATTTTGACATATGAGGTACTGTTAGATTCGTCCTAGCAGTGAAAGTGATACTGTGTGTATTAACATTTTGTAAAATCAAAATGGCGTATTTTTTATTACTAAGTCAGGCAATGATACAGCGCGGAATTTGTATCTAAAGTTTGGCATCTGAGTAGAATCATGTCATATTCTCCGCGAGATTATGCAGAAATGCATTACTATTATGGTGCTGGCCTAGGAAATGTTCGAGCAGCTGCTCGCATGTATCGGGAATATGTGATTAGAAGAGGAGGTAACCGACTACCGTGTTTTTCTACCCGTCCATAATCCATATATGGAGTGCCGCATACTAGGCACTCATCGTCAGCTAGGAACGTCAAGGATACGCCCAGAAGAAATAGAAGATATAATAGAAGCAGCCGAGAGAGATCCCTCTATAAGCAATAGAGCCATTGCCCTAAGCAGAAACATATCCCATACTAAAAGAATTGCTTGCACAATGGGTTGAATTTTGTGAGAATATTTTGAGAACGTGCGAAGAGGATGAAACTTTTTTCGATAGCATCTTATGGACAGATGAATCTTGATGCGCAATTTCCATTCATGGAGCCTGGAAAATCCACACGCTATTCGCCGACACAGCTTTCAACGTCAGTTCGGCGTTAGTTTTTCACAAAAAAATGACATAACCATGGCTAAAACTAACCATTTAGCTCATCTCAAAAAAAATGACAGTCCCAAACCTAATGGTTTAGTTGAAATTGCGATTGAAAGTCCATTATTCCGTTTTTTTTTTTCGAAATTTCACAAAATGGCAAATATCTCCTGAACTATAAAATTTCGGACCACACATATAGGGGTTCATTAAAATGGTTTGGAGGAATTTTAGTTTGCTAAATTAACCCGTCCAAAAAATAAGAAGGGAGGAAAACCTTCTTGGAAATCTTAACAGTAAAAAAGTCGGATAAATTTACAAAAATAGGCAATCTAATGAATATCACTCAAACACACTTGGCAAGAAGTTGATTTTAAACGAGGACCTAACAGCTGCAAGCGCATGCTGACACAGACACTCGAAACTAAAGAGGGTTGTAGCAGCGTATTACGGTATGTGTAACCAGAAACCCTTGTCGAAATAATGTCAAACAATTTCGAATTATGTATATCCGAGAGCGTACTATAACTCGGCCAGGACAAGCTGTACAAGAATAAAGCAAACGTTGGAAATGATGTATATCATACAGAACGGCTCATGTCAGTAGCGCAACCAAAAGAAAATGATTACAGGTTTATTTCCAGACAAGCTAAGTGGCGATAAAATTCACCTTTTTATGTTCTGAATATTTAGATAAACAGTGGCTTTACTTTTCAAGAAGTCGAAACAAGTAGATTGTCCCACGTAACGATGCAAGTATATTTAAAATTTTAGGTACACAAAAACTCGAAAGTGGAATACCTAATTAATTGCAAAGTGTTTAAGTGATTTTTTTACCAGAAATTTGGAAATCGTTCAAAAACGAAAGTTGAGAATTAGAATTTTTTGTAATACTGACCAATCAAAAAATGTTTTTAATTTTGTCCAAAAATTATCAAAAACTTAATACGGAAAAAACTCAACAGTAACCGAACCAAAAATACAATCAAATGGCACATCATGTAAATAATTAAAAATTTAGACATTTCCATGGATAAAATATGTGTTAACGGTATTACATTTACGTGAATAATCGACAGAAGATACAAAAAATCATGCATATTCTCTAGTGGCATCACGAAAAGTATAAATGACTCTGCTTGGACTTACCTTTCACGTTAGAATTTTAAATAACTTGAAATATTTTAAACGAGACCAACCAACCTCGTCCAGCACCCTAAAACGATTCCAGTCACAACTGAGATAACGAAACAATTATTTCCATTTCCCAAAATGATACTTTTCTCAGCACAGCTACTTTTTGTTGGAAGTGTAAAGATGTCAGTTTGATTTTAATAGCGCAATCACCATGTGACCGCTAGATGGCTGACGAGTCTGGATGTTTATTAGATGGTCGATTCTGGTGATAGATGGCGCTTTACGCTGTCTTTACAGTAGATCGTACCTCCGGGATAGAGGATAGTCGCGATGCTTGCGTTTGTTATCGCAGAGACGAGAGACCAAGCCTAGACCTTGCTGATGTGTAGCTCTGAAGCACGAAACAGATGTCGCGATGCTGGTGATGGGTGGCGCTTTTTCGCTGTCTTATTATTCATATTTGTCTAAATGCTTTAACATAATACAAAAATCTACTGAACACGCGAGTAAGAATGTAAGATGATAGCTAAGACGGCAGTGCTTCATGTTTCCCTTTAGAAACGTCTTTTAAACCCTGATACAATTTGCAAAAAACTGGAAACAAAATCACTGACGAACTGCTCTGCTAATAATTTAAACTGTTACTTGTTGGTGCCCTCTGATGCGCCACTGGAGACTTAGTTACTCACACACAAGGGCATTAATTAAAGTTCAGTTTAAACAGTAAGTTTAGCGTGCCCCTATTTGGATAAAATTAGGAAATGTCGAGCTTATTTAAAGTTAATATACGAATAGGATGAGGGAACGTTTCATTTTACTGTATTTGCACGGCTGCATTCACTGACAAGGACCTACGGGAGTTCAAGTGGAACTTTCATTAATTGTATTTGAATATTATTTATGCTTGGGTAGTTCAGTATATTATGGGGATGTCGAATTTTCCAGATTGTTTTCGGTTACATTTGGAACTACCTACATATGGTAAGCAAACCCACAAATTGTCATAATAGGCCATCCAAATTGTAACATACGATGAAATTAAGGTAACCATTAAGATTTAGCCACAATATATTTGAAAATTAATGATACTCGTTCAATATACTCCCCTGGCATGCTCTATTCTCGAATCTCACTACAAATATAAAAAAATCTCTTTATATTTAACTGGCATAACAATATACGAATACTCGTATACACACATTATAACATATTTTCATGAAGAGAGATTAGAAAAATGCTATCAAATTTCTAGCTTCCAAACACAACCGTTATCTTGAGGCTCTGTGAGTTTTCAATCTGCACGATTCACTTGTTTCGAGACCAATGGTACTGAAGGCATGTTATTTTTAGTAATAAGCTATTAGATTTAGCACATTTTCCTCCGGAAGCTAAAAAAGCTGTCAAAATCAAGATATCTGACATGTCAAATACGTATCCGATATAGTATAGTCTTGTGAGTGTGTATGAATATGAAAACAAAATAAGCTATTTTTTTAGTTGACACTAAATGCTGCGTCTGACGAACCTTACAAAGGGACGACTATTTTCTATGAGAGTTGGTATTAACTATTCGTATTCAGTTAATTTGGAATCTACTTTTTACGTATAAACTTCATAACTGGGTATTTTCTAGAGGCACTATCGATTATTCATCCAACAATGGATATTTACTTGTCTTTTTGTGAATGTTTTAACTAAAGAATGTTTGCCTAGAATATTCCTCAAAATGTCAACGATCAGATCCAATTAATCCAAATATTAACATGTTTTATTTATTTCCAGGTGGATACCCCGGATAGTGTACTTCAGAGTGGTTTAAACATGTCAGACTTGGGTCAGAACGCAGTTCTGCGCTCGATGGTGGATCCCATGGACTACGATAGACTGAGGCACCTTCAAATGAATGGAGGAACGCCAAATACATTCGAGGAGACTATATATAGGGTGAGTAAACAAGTGAATTGTGTCTTCAGTTGCTATTAGGCATCAGTATCCACTGCGACTCTGGCCTGATTTCCTCTAGTTGCGCTAGACAGAAAAGGAATTCCTGAATTGATCATAGATCTCTACTCTCTTGTTTTCAAGTGCATCCCTGGAGAACATCACTATCTGGAGAAGCACCAACTTGGTAGAATCGAATGGCGAATTATACACTTTCCTGGAAATATCTTCTACGCTTGGATTTATTTGGACCTACATAAAGATCCTTGGAAATCCCCGGATCTCTCAAAAAAAAAACCCCATTCGTTTTTTTTTTACATTAGATAGGCTTTTTACGTAATAACCCTACCGGAATGTTATTCAGATGCTCTTACTTTCGCTCACTCCGCAGTACGCTATCTATCATTAAGTGAAAGGCCGTAACACAGCCATCAGACCTACTCTATCAAAATAAGAAAAATAGCCATCAATGTTCTCCCCATCGCAGCCTAAGGGCAGCGACCTTCGGCCTTTGGGTGGTAGCTCATTTTTCGTGCGGTCAGTAAGAGTTCCCGTGACGATCGTATTCCCACCTTTTGATTCGGGTTCTAGCGAATCCCCCTTCCTTATACGGTCACTTTCACGGTGAAATATGCCGACAGTTTTACGAGGTTTCAGGAAAACATTTCAACGCCCTGCCACAGCTAGCACAGCAGAGGTGGGGTAGATCCACAATGAGTTTAAGCCAAGATACATTCTACGGAATTTACAAAAATTACCGCTACTTTACTTTCCACGATAAGGCAAGTAAGTGTTGCAATATCTAGTCTGAGAAATATAGCAGAATGTTTGGAGGAAATTGAAGCCCTCTTCTGAATATAGGTAATGCAATTATTTATGTGCGAAAAATAGGGTTAAAAATATTTGTTTATGTTTTCATCAAGTTATTTTATCTCTAACGGAATAAACCTTGGCCTTTTTTAGCGCTAAAACACTTATGGATTAATGTTTTGAACGCCAAAATCGGGTAATGAATGTTCAAGTTATTGCAATAAAACCACTAAAAATCTAACAATTTATTCTCACGATACTTACCTGTACCCCCTGACGAATATGTGCTCTGACACTTTAGAAAAGCACAATAAATTCCAAATCAAAATATCTTAGATTTTTGTTTCTACTGCAGCTTTAAACAAAATGTTACATAAAAATGTTTATTATAAAAATCTAGTCTACAACCCAGGGAAGTCCTTCGATTTTCAGCTGATGCTCATTTCGTAGAATGAAGGTAAAGGAAGGTTAAAACTATGTATACATTTTGCTTCCAACTTTTGTTTTTTAATAATGAAAAGAGTAACAATAGTAGCACTGGCGGATTTAGACGTCTGATAATTGCTTTTGCAATCTAACACCATTTTGTTACTTTCTGTCACATCATGGTGACAGAGGCATACTAACTATAAGTTATAGCTATAGGAACTGAGCTTTATGACTTTTTAGTATCTTGTGGTATTCCAAATGCTGTCCTTCTTTGACATCACTTGTTTAAAACAAAACTCTTACGATTTATCCGTATATACGAGTATTGTGACTTGTGACAAATCTAAGTCTGGGTAATATAGTTAAAGCGTTCGCTCTTACTCATGGGCTGACCTAGCTGGTGACGGGCCCTACTCTTTTTGCCCCGCGTCTCGTCATATGCCATTATCCTGGATCTCTTTCTGACCACGCATCCTGTCCCTTACAGGTCTGCTGTCCTGTCTCCCCTGGGTAACTCAGACCACTGCGTTGAGGAGGTTAGGTTTCGGTCAGAACCCGCTGCTTCAGCAGAAACTCGCACAGGCCCCAAAATTTCTGATTACGGACATGCCAAATGGGGGGGCTCGGAGACTTCTTCTCTATCTTTCCTTGGAGAAATGTCTGTTTCACTGACGTGGATGCGGTGGCTGTCTGTTCTTCGATAACCGAAATAATTCACGTCGCAATGTAGGAATATATGCCTCATACTGCTGATATAATAGAGATGCTTGATTGTGAGAGTATTTGCACCATTTACTTGATTTGTTTAATGGGCAGTTAAGAGCCTTAATACTTAGGCTTATTACATACTAGTAGACCCCGTTGCGCAATTTGTCTATAGGCAATCTGGAGACGGTTTCAAGGCACGATCTATAGACGGTCTACAGACATCCTTCTTTGTCTTGTGTAGCGTCTTACGATAATGCGAATTTTTTGGTCTCATGTTCGTTCTCGCAATGAAAGACATCGTTTTGTGTGGAATGGACTGGGACATGTCTCGGGGTCCCTCAGAATGTTTTATTAATTTTTTGTCGGTTTACAGCGCAATGAAGTTTTTTATGTTTGAATCTTTAATATTATTACACTAGTTCATTATAAACGACACGTACTTATTTTGTTCTCATATAATAAAATATTGGCTTTCTGAAAATTTCTGAGCAATTTCCATGTTTTTTTTCAAGCTGGCCTTGACCAGATTGAACACAATGGATTTAAAGGGCAATAATAGGATAAATTCTAGAAGTTCGACTGAGGCTAAAAAATGACCAGCCCTAAATGTCGTTTGTGTCCCCCCCTAGACGATATCCTGAATCCGCCCTTGAATAGTAGTAAATCGTTCAGATTATTGAACATTTTGTAGATGGTGCATAGGTATATACATATTTTATAGACCGTAATCTCATACTTTTGATCAAAATTTATATCCTGAACGTCTGAGCTAATCGTAGGTTGCAATATATGGAGATATTTTGAATATCTAAAATCATTCCCCACTCCCCTTGCACATGGAGAGGTATTTTTCCAAGTCAGCTATTGAATGACTAAATTTACCAACACATTTATTTTCAATTTAAATTGCGGAGCATTTCTTATATTTCTTTAAATCAAAGTAAGACAATTCTCTTTAGTGAGATATTTCAATTGAAAGCGTATTGTGCTTCTATAACGTGTCGGAACAGATAGTCGTCACAGAGTTAGAGGTCAGTATCGCGGGAATAGAAATGATCAAGATAAATAGGAAAATGACGGTTTTATTGCAATAACTTGAAAATCTAGTCTGTATTTCAGACATAAAACAGGGCTAAGGTTCATTACCTTGGCGATTAAATAAAAAAAAATCGTTCTTACCCCTATTTATCGCAAATAAAAAATTGAGGTAGAACATTTTTTCAGCTAGATTTTCTCTAGATTGCCTGTATTAACCAGAAACCTTGGAAATTGAAATATAACGTATGTCACCTATTACCGTCTGTATGTCTGACATTTGTTGAACGTCCCATAATAATCCTTGGTGCCTCTGTAACTCAGGTAATACTGCTCAGATTTTGATTTTTGACACAAGGTTACTCAAAGATGAAAAGACTTTGTAGGTTTTGAAAATCGACTCAGTGAGGGTGGAATATTTAGCGAGAAATGAAACATTTATAGCATAGTCTTTCTCAATATGATCTAATCAAAGAAATTTTCGAGGGATAATGATCCTACTGAAATTCTTTACGTGTCTATAATGATGACCAACCGCAGACATGGCTGCTCATTAGTAACTCATCAGTGCGGAATAGTTCTAGTCCTGGAGATAGACGAAACGGAAAGCAAACAAATGGGTATGGTCTCAAAAGTTTAGATGGATAAATAATTATCTTCAATCGTCTTCAAGTGAACTGGCGTACATGTTCCTTCCACGGCGATTTATACTGTTATAACTGACGTGTCCTATGTGATCACGTGTTCTGAGTGAAGTTGCTGGTCATGACGTGTTCTTTGGGAGGTCTGCCTTGGTTGTTAACGTAGCGTCTTGATACTGCTGATGATAGGCTCCCGTATTGGTTTGATTTTAAAATCAGTATGGGAGCCTACATTCATTCGTTCAATTATTGGTTTCTGCGCTTCGCGCACAATCATCCTGACCTGGGTAGTCTGGGTTGAAACCTTTTACTGAAATGCACTCAAATAAGGTGGACAATCCATATGACCATCACCACTAGATATATGCCTCGAAATGTTATTTCCGAGGGCGGTATTCGAACCCGCGGCACGTCCAGCCGACGTATCAGTAGCTTGACACTCTTGACACACCAGGCTAATCAGCCTTGCATAATACAGGGTGTTCCCTAGTGATATGCGAATATTTAAGGGTGTGAATCTACATGAAAAATTAATGTTAGTTTGCTTTATAAACTATGGTCCAAAAATGTTTCCTTACAAAAACTCGAGGTGTTGAAGTTTTAGGAAAAAAATGGAAATTGTTTAATATTTTCAGAACCGCTTCAGATAATGCACTGATATTTAGTACGTAGTGAAGGTTAATAAGGTTGCACATTTTTCAATGCAAAAATAATTTTTAGCCTTAACAGTGGCGTGCGTACGAGTATTGACATCGATATTTTTTGGGAAAAAAATGGTACGCCAACGGTGTTTGCCAAATAAAAATTATTTTTGAATTCGCCGTTCAATTTAAAACAAATGATCTCTCTTGAATTGTTTTCCTTCAATGCGCCATTTTTGAGTGAAAAAATAAAAACCGTTCTATTGTCCGAGAAAATTGAAGTAATAATTGAAGAATGCGATTTAGCAATAAATATCTAGTTTAATTTTTCCAATTAAATTAATAATAATTTTGCAAGTTAGACAATAGAAGATTTTATTTTTTTACTCGAGAATGGCGCATCAAAGAAAACAATTCAAGAGAGATCATTTGTTTTAAATTGAACGGGAAATTCAAAAATAATTTTTATTTGGCAAAAAACCATTTTTTTCTTAAAAAATGTCGAAGTCAATACCCGCACGTACGCCAATGTTAAAGCTAAAAATTATTTTTGCACTGAAAAATATGCAACTTTATTAACTTCCACTACGTACTATATATCAGTGAAATATCTGAAGCGGTTCTGAAAATATTAATTAATTTCCATTTTTTTTTCCTAAAACTTCAACACCCCGAGTTTTTGTAAGGAAACATTTTTGGACCATAGTTTATAAAGCAAACTAACATTAATATTTCATGTAGATTCACACCTTTAAATATTCGCATATCATTAAGGAACATCCAGTATAAATCCTTTCAAAGTAGATTACTAAATTCATTTTTCTGTTCTGCTACTGTCTCATAGATGGCGCTCGTAAATCTCAGACCGCTGAAATACAGTATATGGATGGCTATTTCGGGTAGATGCGTTAATCACTGATATTAGGTAACGTTCACCACGATACCGTTCTGAAAGCGAAACGAAAATACAGGCGTATTTACCGCAAATATCCGCTAACTTTTTTCAATGCATATTCAACGCTTAGCGTCTCGGAAAACATCATTGACTAATCCCATCCAATTATCTGTTCCCTCAGGGACGTGATGCATGTTCGATGGTAAATAATTTATAGACCTTAATTAATCATTACGTACTCATACTCCTAATGGAAATTTGAATCAATGCAGCATCAGTCGTATTATCTGCCTTTATCTCATTCGCATAATCACGTGGCGCAATTTTCAATTCCACAAGGAATTCGAATCTGTTTGCATATACGCGCAGAATATATACGCAAACGTAATGGTTTAATACCCGTACGACCCATTCATACAGCAGAGATGAACATAAATGGGGGATTTGATGAAACGATCCGTCTTAAGCCTTACGTCATGGGCTTGTAGACAGACGAGGCAACGCATACAATGGTTTTCAAGAAGGTCCCCCCACTTGTTTTTTGAACTGGTCGAGTTAACAAGCTAAAATAAATTGGACCGCGTTATGCATCACTTGACCATGCGACAAAAAGCTTTTTTTCATGAGGACGAAAACAATTTTATCAATTCGTTAAAAATGATGAGGATGGAAAATTATTAACAATTCATGAAATATCGATGAGACAATTGTGTTAACTAATTTCTGTTCTGACAAGTGTATGTACCAATCTTGTAATTGTTTTAGTTGAATACTATTACAATTTTATACTGTTGCTCTCAAAATAACTTGGCTCTGAAGCCACACAGCGCTGGAGTCGGTTCTTCCACTCCTCATAGCAGTGCTGGAAGTTCGATACTGGAATCGCCTTCAGCTGGTTGGTTACAGTTTTGGACTGTGTCAAAATGAGTTCCCTTGTGGTGATTTTTCAACTTCAGGTAGAGAAAAAATTCACAAGGACTCAAGTCAAGAGGATGAGGAGACTGTGGAGACACTAATGTTTTTACTGGTCAAAAATTCGTTGTTCTCGATGATCTAATGGACGGTGGTGTAAGTCAAATGTAACTCTGAACGCACAAGATCCCGGATTCTGCCGATATTTTCATCGGTTCTTGAAGATGAAAGCCTTCCGCTTCGTGACGTATCTTCATTCGAGCCTCTACCTTCTGCCTTATGCCATCGAAAAATCGGGGCTCTAGACAAAATACTATCTCCGTAGGTCTGGTGATGTTTAGCTAGAGTTTCCCTTGCACTGTGCCCTAGTCTGAAGCAAAACCTGATAGCACACCGCTGCTCGAAATTGATGTCAATCATCTTTAGAACACAATAGAAAAAACTGTTTCACAAAAGTAAATCGCTACGGACAACCAACGGACTCGATCGAGTTCAAACTTGCACTGCCTCCCCTTCAAGTCCGGTGCCTCCAGTGTTGCCAGATCGAACGATACGTTGCCAGTCTCATCTTTTAATTTACAGACCACGTATGTAATTATTACGCCAAAATCTGTTATACTTGAAACCGAACGAAATAAGATGGCGCTTAGTCAAGTAATGCTTTCGAAAAGAATGGTTATTTTAAACATAAATGTAATTTGGTCATGTTATGCAAAATTAGAAATACATTACAAAAAAATTATTCATTAAAAAATTAAAATCACAGTAATGTTAAGACATTCCCAAAACCAAACAAATAATAGTTTAAATGTTAAAATTTATTACTTAACTCAATTTACACAACACATTTTAGAGAGGAATCAGGAACCTGAATTACTTGTATAAATCAAAAATTTTTTCAAAAATTGTTCGGTTCCTGCCTATGGTAGAGCACGGAACCTTTAGTCATATCAGTAATACTTGGATAGCCTCAATGCAAATTTTCATCCATTATACAATTTTTGTTAGGTCAAACGTGTTTATTTACTGGGCTATATAAAATATCTGCCTTGTTCTCTTAGATTGTTTGTCTACATGAATTTTTGAACATGTTGCGTAGTTTTCATCAAGTTGGAGAAACTAAACTAAATGGCAAGACCACATCTATACTAAGTGAAATATAAATCCGAACACCCAGTTTAAATGGTTTTATTTTAATAAAAGTTGGTGAATGTATTTATCTTACTGTAAGTAACAAGTGAAAAAATTTTCAGCCTTATCATTCCGGTTTTTATACTGTTTTTTTTTAATTCACTAACGCTCTAAAAATGAATATTTCAGCCGCAGTAAAGAATCAACGTTGGCGGATTTTGGTTCTTGACATCCATTACGATCGGTTACGATGCCTAGAGTACGGAGACCTGTACGATTTCGTCAACTTAGTGAGTTTGATAGGGGCCGTATAGTGGGACTTCGGGAAGCTGGACTTTCTTTCCGGGCAATTGCAGTTAGAGTGCAAAGAAGTGTAGACACTGTGGTTAGGTGTTGTCAGGCATGGCTTCGAGAAGGCCGTACGCAAAGAGCAAGGGGCACTGGACGCCGTCGTCGAACAACAGACCGTGAAGATCGCCGCCTAAGATTATTGGCCTTAAGGGACCGTCCACTACCAGGTCCATTACAAATGAATGGTTTGCAGAACACGGAATACCTATTGGCATGCGAAGTGTTTACCGTCGAATGAGAAGTTTTGACTTGTTTTCATACCGGCCACACTGGGTCCTCCCTTTAACTCGAGAACACCGACGTAATCGCCTTGAGTGGTGCAGACAACGGTCACTCTGGGATCAGGAATGGAACAGTATTGTCTTTAGTGACGAGTCTCGATTTTGTTTAGGCATGCACGATGGTCGTGCCATGGTTAGAAGGCGACGTGGTGAAAGGAGGAATCCACAGTTTTTTGTTGAAAGACATGTTCATCACACTGTTGGAGTTATGGTTTGGGGTGCTATAGCTTATGGTTGCAGGTCACCTTTAATCTTCATCAGAGGTAACATGAATGCGCAGAGTTATATCCACGAAGTTCTAGAACCCCATCTTTTACCCTATCTTGACACCCTGGTAGATCCAACTTTCCAACAAGATAATGCCCGACCACATGTTGCAAGAGTCACAATAGACTTCTTTCAACATAATGATGTCACATTGTTACCATGGCCACCAAGATCTCCCGACTTATCCCCAATTGAGCACGTGTGGGATATGATGGGGAGGAGATTGCTCAATTTGCAACGTCCTCCTCAGACTCTAGAAGCACTTCGAGAGGAGTTGGTGGTTGCCTGGAATGAGATACCACAGGAGGACATTGACCACCTGATCAGAAGCATGCCTAGGCGCGTTGGAGAATGCGTAGCACATCCGGGTGCATCCACACGTTATTAAAGGTCAAAGGGCTTTAAAGCAGTGCAATCATTTTGAAATTTTTATCATTTACTTATTATGCTTCATTAAGTACTTATACAAAATTTTATTAAAATAAAACCATTTAAACTGGGTGTTCGGATTTATATGTCACTTAGTATACTTTACAGCCAGATTCGTCATCCATCTAGCGATCACGTGGGGACTGGGCTATTAAACGTGGAATTGGCCGATTCTAGTGTGATAAGTGGTGTTTCGACTGAGACACTGAACTGAATATCGTGCTATCATCAGATTCTTCCTGTTGGATGAATTAACATCTGAGAAAACGCATTCAAAGTTAACTAGTTTACTAGTCTGCTGCTTCATTTCAACTGTTAAAAGATAGTGTCAAATAGGTTGACTCTGCACTTCCTATACAACGCCGTTATCAGTTCATGAAGGATTATGTTCAGCACAAGCTTAACCCGCTGAGAAAAAACAATGCTACGAAAATGAATAATACAGATATTAAACGGATTAAGTCAGTCAAACAGGCCCATGCAATTCCATAGGCACTCTTTCCCTAACCTGCCGGTAGTTACTGTCCATCTGGCAACGTTGCCCCTTCCTATATATATAATAAACCATGGAACATTCTATTTTAAGAAAGTATCAAAATGTGTCAATTATTTTAAACGCAATGTCCCACATTTTATTGCACATTCATATAGACCCTTTCAACAAAAAAGGATAGATATAACAATGTAGCGTTTTGATTTGATGTTATATTCAAAACTGCTCAACTCTGACAGCTCACCAGCTTTAAAATGAGGTATCTCATGACCACCCCCCCCCCCCTTATTCCATTTAAAAATGTTCTACGATGGCGTCAAACTGTTCTCTAGTAATTTGCAACAGTCACCTTTACGTTAAAACAACACATTGGAGAAAGAAATAAAAAAATCTGTTCAATTTGTACCGAAATATATTTTGTAATTTATCACTTTAAGAAACTAATTTTTTTATTTCTTTTTTCCAGTTAAAAGTACAAGAAGCTTTAAGAAAACGGGAAAAATTTACGAAAGATCACGAAGAGGTAAGTGGACATTTGTTTTCAGCTTTCATCTAGTGATTTGAACCAAACGAAGAATTAAGGATACAAAATACAAGTCAGGTTCTCTGTAGTAAAAATTTAATACTCATAACATAATAGGCGTACCGGCGTGCTACGGACATATAATTTAAATACATACAGGGTTTGTCCGGAAAGTAATAGGACTCATTTTCTTCCGTCATGACTGAGGGCGTTCCTAGCTAACGAATGAGTGGCTGGTCAGTTGTCTCCGAGCACTTGGAGAGTCAGAGAGGTACGTGATTGAATCCAGTGTGAAACTCGGTAAATCTGCGACAGAGACGTTTGATATGATCAAGCAGGCTTACCCAGGTGTTGCTTTAGCAAGAAGTGATGTGTTTCGGTGGCACCAGGCCTTTTTGGAGGGCAGGGAAGACGGCGCTAATGCAGACCGTGGTGGAAGACCTTCGACTTCGACAAACACCGATAATGTGACTCGTCGACTAAGTATTCGTTTAATTGCCCAGATGTTAAATTTACCAAAATCTGTGGTTCATGACATTGTGACACAGCATTTGAACATGCACAAGGTGTGCGCGACCATGGTCCCAAAAGTGGAAGTGTGCCAAGAAAATTTGAACATGTGACCCCCAATTTTTGAATAACGTAATCACAGGTGACGAGTCGTGGATCTTTGAGTATGATCCCGAGACAGAGAGGCAATCTTCCGAGTGGCACATGACGGCGTCTCCTCGCCCAAAAAAGAGAAGAATGAGCAAATCCAAAGTGGAAACGATGCTCATTGTCTTTTTTGACATCAAGGGCATCGTCCACCGACAAGACATCGCAGCCGACTGGAAGTTGCACCGCGACAACGCCCCGGCTCACACCGCCTTTCGTGTGAACAGCTACCTGACCAAGGCCGGCATCCCAACGCTTCCGCAGCCGCCCTACAGCCCAGATGTGGCCCCCCCGGACTTTTTTTTTGTTTCCTCGCCTGAAAAGGAAAATGAAAGGCAAGCATTTTGAGACGACAGGGGGGATCCAAGCAGCATGCACCGCGGCTCTCAAGGCTATTCCGGAGAATGCCATCCGTGACGCCTTCAATGCTTGGAAATCGCGCTGGCAGCGCTGCATCGACCCAGAAGGAGCCTATTTTGAACGTTTTTAAAGAATTGTAACGATTGGCTCAATAATTTTTTTTTAAATCGACTCAGTCCTATGACTTTCCGGACAAACCCTGTATTTGGGATACAAATTTGAAAAATAACCCTTCTGTCAACAGTTATGAATGCGCAACTGTATTCTATTAAGCGACGATCTTACAGAGTACCGAATTGTTTTCTGAAAATACATCCCCCATAATAAAGAGTGGTCAAAATGTTTTCTAGATATCTTAAAAGAATTTTATAACTGGCCGACTTTAGAAACTTTATTAGTAAGTAGTACCTTTATTTTTGTGTATAATAAAAAAATTCTTCAAGTAAACATCTAGGCCTGTTCAATTTAAAATGCAGTATTTTGTCTATCTTGCCTCATTTCGTTATGGGGTTGGTTTTCTCTAAACTGGATATAATGTATTTCTCCAAAGAAACTATTCGAAAAAACGTGTTGCTTCAAAAACGACTTTGAATTTCCTATGCAACACCGTCATCAGTTCATAACGGATTACGTCTAGAGTGGCGTAGGAACTAAAAACGGAAACACCCTTTAGGTTAAGGAGACGTCCAAAAAAATACTGGTATGACGCCGATTATTAACATTAGGGTTATTGTTATGTAGAGCCCATTGACGAAACGATGTGTGTAATCATATTTTGCACTACTAACTTCATAAAAGATTGTTATTGAATAAAAATTGCCTGAAACTGCGTGAGTCACCAAGTAGACAATGAAAGGGTAAAGCTAATGACTCAAATAGCTGAAAGTCAGAAACTTATGGATGTTTCTCAATATCTTGACAATAAACTTAGAAACCAACAACCAGTATGAACTTATGGGATAAAGTCAAAGATGCAATAATAGTAGGAGCACTATCTAAGAACAATGGATGAATCCTAAAAAGAATAAGGGTGTTCACAGAAATTTCTGGATTAGTGAGCCAACCATCCGTTTCGTGAATTTATTATACTTTTACACCCTGTAACTGGCAAACCGTTAATACTCGAATTTTACGCGGTAAGACTCTTACTCAATAATACAGAAATCAGCATACTGCAATTCCAGCCAATATGATAGGGAACCATTATTTTTCACTTCCACCTTTCTTTATAACATCAAAAAATACTGATAAAAACAGCTACCGACATCCAGTAGATGAGCCAAAGCAGCATTAAAGTAGCTATTTATTACTTTTCTAATCAACGTCGAACGAGACCGTAGGGTCAGACTTGATTTTCAAGCTACTTGACAAAATAATTTGTTCATCGGTAGAACGATAAACTCAAGTAGAAAAAAAAAGATTTCATCAGCTGATACAAAAAAGAAATAAAATTCGAACTCAGCTTTTCATTCGCTAAGCACGAGTTAATACAAAAGTCCTAACGAATTTATAATAAGTTGGCCCACTGCAAGATTTGTACCAAAATATGCCTTTATAAACTAAACATGACGAAACTATTTACTTCTAAAACAATTTATTTTCTCAAAAACATTTTAGAAACACTCTAGTCGTAAAAAATACATATTTGAAATCACTTAGACCTATAACTAATAGAACATCTCAACAAATAAACAATGTGCGAATAAATGCGCGAAGTTAACAAAGCAACAATTGAAAGATTACCATTGGGTAACATCACCTTTATTTTTTATTACGGCTGAAATTCTTTGTGGCATAGTGTTAACCAAGTTTTGGCAAAAATTTGGTGTAAAAAGATCCCATATTTCTTGAAGCTTTTGTCTCAGTTCGGTGATTGTACGAGCAGGATGTTGTCGTACAACCTTTTTCATCTCGTGCCACAAAGTTTCAATAGGTGACAGATCTGGACAGCTAGAAACCCATTTCAAAAGTGGTACATTATTTTCTTCCATCCATTTTATAGCCTTTTTTGAGGTATGGCATGCTGCACCATCTTGCTGAAACACAAAATCTTGGCCGGATGTCAAACATTCTTCCATCACTAGTAAAAGCGATTCTTCTAAAATTGCCAAATATTTGTTTGTATCCACATTTCCATCAATAAAATGAAGTTTTCCTACTCCTTTTGATGCCATACTGCCCCAGACCGTAATGGATGCTGGAAATTTCACTTTTCTCTTCAGACAGTCAACATGGAATGCTTAATTTTTTTTCGAATAACTCTACTGCGACTGTCACCAACACAAACTCGATTTTTCTTTTGCAGAGGAGTTAATAGTGGCTTTTCTTTGCCTATAAACAAGTTGTGCAGCTTTAGGGTTTTTACTTCTCTTTTTTTTATAAAAAAACTTACCCTGCACCTGCTACATCCCAGTTTGTGATATTACTTTTTTTCACATATCGTGGCTTAATATTAACTGACCCAGTTACGTTATATCTTCTAACAATATTTCTCACACTGTACCGAGATAAGCCTAACAAAGTTGCAATTTCTGAGTTTGATTTCCCAGAATTAAAAAATTTAATTATCAGTAACCAAATTTTCTCACTAATAACCTTTCCTCTACCCATTTTGAAACCCTTAACTACCCAAAACTATTTTAAACGTATTCTGACAGCTGTGATTAATAAAAACAATTGTCATGTTTTTTTTTTTTCACAGCCACCACGCAACTGATGCGTTATAGACTTATTTTGCATTGAAATGAAAATAGGTTGATATGCTGTAATGGCAACATGTGTTATTTTTATGCTGCAAATTTGATTAGGGAGTGATAAAGTTGGTGTTTTCTACTATATATTATCAAAATATTCATTGTTAATATTTTAAACCTATAACACCCTGCTACTTTTTTATTATTTGTGTTTGATAAGAAAAAAACTAAGATTTCAATAGTTGGGCCAACTGAAGTGGAAAGCAGGTGATACATGAAGTACTTATTAATTCAATATGAGAACTGGGGGCCCATATTGCACAAATCGTAGAATTTTCCTCTAGTTGGACGGACATTTTACAAGAAATCGGCCATATTTATTAGATCCATTACTTCAAAAACGCCTTCTCATTGGTCGAATTCATGCCATAGGCGCAAAATTTTGATCCCCGCGGGTCAATAATGAAATCGGACCTAAGTTACTAATCAATGGCCAAAGAAATCAAAGGCATGTAAATAAATGTCTGTCGTAAACTCGTATTCTTTTTCAGATGTATTAATTTGTAATACCCTGCGACTCAAAAACCACCGGTATTGACTCAAGTCTTTCTTATGTTTACATCTTACGTCTTACCGCACACGCGGAATTCTATTCATGGATGTAAACCCACTCAAGTTGGCGCAATACGGCACAAAAACAAACCGCCGTTTACCATTCGGAGTTGAACTTGCGGCAGCCGCAAAAACAAAATGGCCGCGCCGTCCCATGAAGGGCGATTTATACGAGAGCTTTCCCGGTAGCACGGTGTCAAACAGGAAGCTTAAAAGTTTAAAATTTATACGGACGTAAATTGTAATAGGAGTCCCGATAAAATTCCGGTTATTTTATAGTTTTCCTCCGCATAAGTTCTCCGGAGCGCTCTGCAATGTGTTGCCTATTTTATTGCAAATTGGACCCGTACTGAATTCAGCGGTCGGATAAAGGTTTTACTTGGACTTGATTCCCATTGTACATACTTGAAAGTGGAAATATATTTGATTTCCATTCATGGAGTTATCAGAAGGAAAATGTTATGGGAAAGAGCCAGTATTGCGATACACGTGTACTTGATATTGTTCTCAGTAGGTTAAGTGGATATACAGGGTCCGTCAGAAAGACCGCATGTTTTTTAAATGAGTAGTAGAGTCAAAATAAGTATGTGAAAAAATATTTTATTATATCAAAATACTCAGAAATACATGCAATTTTTTTGAGTAAAACAATATCAGACATATGGCGCCCTTGAGCCGAAATGCAGGAATCAAGGCTCTCCCGAAATGATCCCATTGCATCGGCCAGCATCCGTACAGGAATTTGGGTTACTTCTCTTCTTATTTGCTTTGGTAAACTTTCGATTTCACGTAGCCCCATAAAAAAATCACTCGTTGACAGGTCCGGAGAGCGAGGGGGCCATGGAATAATCGCTATGACGTGAAATGAGACGTGCTGGGAATTTTTGCCGAAGAAGTTCCATCAAAGTGCCAGCTGTATGAGTTGCCCCGTCTCGTTTTAACCACACTGTTCTGAGACGGACACGTCGATGTCGAAATTCCGGAAAAAAAAAGTTGTTCAGCATGTGGATGTAACGCTATGAATTCACAGTACTTGTTTCTCCATCAATCCCCAATAAAATAACACACCAAACTGTAACTTTCGGGGTATGCAGAGGGTACTCATGCAACTGTTGGGGGTTCACTGGAGACCAATATCGACAATTCACTCATAAACAACGTCATGTCATTGTTATCGAACTGTTCAATCATGAGCTGTACAAAAGTAACACGTTGTGCATAATCCCCTGGCAACAGTTGTTGACAAACTTGTATTTTATAAGGATAAAACACTACATCCTCCTTCAAGATGCGACGTACAGAGAAGAATCCCTAGGTAACTGGCACGCAAACGGATGGAACGATTCGGGCTTTAAAGCTTGTCTCAACTCTCACTCTGTCTACGCTTTCGGGGATTGTAACAGTACGGTTTCGCCCTGACGGTTTTTTCTTCATCACATTACCTGTTGTGTTGAATGCTTCCATCCATCTCAAAATGGTGTTGCGGTCTGGTACTGTCCCACGATGTGTGTCCATACATCCAGATACGGGTGTATCTACTTTTGTAGTTGCATATGTGCATTTATTTCGGGCCTGATGAAGCCAACCAGCAGAAATACGTATCGTTCGGGTTACCTATCCCATTTTCTGCTCGAAACCACTTTTTGCGGATTTTGCCCATTATTTTCCTATTTTTGTTATATATATATATATATATATATAAAATAGCTTTGATAGTATCCACGTTTTGTCTTCTTTACCTCCTTTGTACACATCATTTTTTCGTAATTCAATTGTTTAGGTAGGGAGAAGGTTCAAGGTCATTTCAGAGATAGTACTGTAACTTCCGATTGGTATCGATTTCCATGTTATAGGTTTCATTTGAAAAAGCCACAAAGGCTAGAGATAGAAGGTTAAACTGTATACGGAGTATGTGTATTGGTATGAAGTGAATCTTGTCGCCAAAGATGGTGTGGCTCTCGGAAATCTTGTGAGCGTAGAACATGACGCAGAGCATGAAAAATGTCAACATAACCTGCCTCAATGTTTATGTGCATTTCATTTACGTGTTACCATGCTTTGCAGGTTTATTTATATTATTCAATATTTCTACTTGCAACTTGTCCGAACTGTCAAAATTGGAGTTGTTTACAGTCATCATGACGGCAACTTAGAAAGATGTCACATGCGCAAAACCTGAAATTCTTTTGCTGCGCAGTGTACCGACTCATTTCAGGGTCGACATTTTTGGCTTCATTCCATTCCACGAGTTTAACCTCCTATCTCTAGTCTTCATGAAAAAAAATTAATGCAATCCTATTAGAGGTTGAGTTTTGTTAGTTTAGTTCGTTTTTCATAAGATAGATGGCACTCAATGGCAAAATCGACATTTTTCTGGATGTTCTCAAAAAGCTCAAATGCAATGGTATTATTTTTCAGTATTTAGAAGGGGCATGGAAGATCCTACAAACTAGTAGAAAGCACATTTCGTGATTAGGTAATAATGGAGTTTAAAATTTTCATGTTTTGCTACATGAGGCAGTGTTGAAGTCATAGCAGTTGTAGTAAATGAATCATTTAAATACGTTTTCAATGTGTTACGTCCTAAAAATATTTTCCATGCGTTAACCATGGCCACTAGAGGGCGTAATTCGAACCTAAGAACATAAGATTCTGGATGAGCGGCAAATCTATTTGTAGAATTTTTCGTATTTGTCTGTGCATCTTTGAAATGTGACTATACTAAGACTTAATGGTTTGAAACTATTCTACATGGTATAACATAGGTCAAAGGGAATTTCTCTGTTATCTCTGCCCCTAAACCAATTTGCTATGAATAATCACTACGTCAGTAACTGCACGACCTAAAAGGAAACATCTATTTGCAGAGTTCAAACGTTGTAAAATAAATGTGCAAGATAATAGGTATTGGGACGAAATACCTTACTGTTAGCAGGTATATATTACTAAACGGTGTCTGAAATTACTTTACTCCCATTTATAATTATATTTTCAAATCTAATTAATTGTCTATTATATTTTTATTTGTTTCAGATTCTGAGAGACATCAAACAGGGTTTACTTAATTTAGGCAAAGAAGGAATTAGAGGGCCTTTGACTGGAGGTAAGACTTCATTGAACTTCAATATAGTGGAATAAATTTCCCTTTTTAAAGTCTAGTAAAAAATTGTCTTGAAGTTTTAAAATAAATTCATTGAAGCAGAAATACAAACAATATAGTCGGATTTCAAATTTTAAAAATTATATTGTCGAGATGCCTTCCATTTTGGTCGAAACACTCCTGCAATGGCGTCTACATGTGGTTAAAAACATAATTCTCTAGTTATGCCTGTATTTTTTGTTAATTCTTGCAAAGTCCTAGGTCGATTAATATAAATTTTGCTTTCAAGGTATCCCCACAGAGCGAGAGGTGACCTGTTCCGGTAATAATTTTCGAACCTTCCATAGATGCTCTTGTTGAAACCATGTTTCTTGATTAAAGCCATCAAACTCTTGTAGCTGGGGTGCCACAAACTCCAGAAGCATTGCACAATAACGATCACTAGTTACAGTCTCGGCTATGCCACGTTGGTTCTCAAAAAAGAACGGACCGATAATTCGTGAAACCGACATTGCACATCACACAGTTACTTTTGGGCTATGTAGGGGCCTTTCATGTTTTTGCCTTGGATTCTCTGGTGCCCAATAGCGACAATTTTGCTTATTAACTTTGCCTGAAGGGTGCAAGTGCACCTCGTCACTGAACAAAATGTTATTAAATCGGTCCTTTGCAAAAAACGGTTTATCATTGTTTCGGCGGAGGACAACGGCTTATAAAGTCATTTGGGTTTAATTCTTGCGCTATTTGGAGCTTGTAGTATCTCCTAAAAATTGTAGAAAAAGATTATTTACGCAAATCTCTCCACCTGTGATGTTTTACGAACAGATCCTCTTGGATTTTGAATTATAGCGGCGGGTACAGCTCAGGAGTAGTTACAGACCTTGGATTCACATTTAAAGCTGACTATGCTTCTCTAAACCTTTTCCCCACAATTTCACTAATTTTTTACTTGGTGCGTCCTCCAGACGCCTAATATTGAAATGAGCACAAAACATTCATCTTGCAATTGTGTACGAGTCATTGTTCTTGAAATATGCCTCAGTAATGACCACAGGATAAAATTAAAAAAAAAATGTTACCTTGTACTATAAAGTATTCTCCCGACAAGTATTTCAGTGCGGATCTGTATTTGATCGTGCGGTCTTGGAGCACCGGCATGCCCTCCCCTGTGAGGTCTTAAGTCACCTGATTCACGAGCCCTTTGTACTAAATTAACAAAGGCACGAGGGGTTGGTTGCACTCGATTGGGAAACCGATCCGCATAAGTCCGTGATGCCGCGGCAGCATTTTGTAAAGACTCCCCCCCCGTAAGAATCATGTCCACAAGTTCAGCATTTTCGTAAACATGTGTCATTTTTTATTTCGTTTGAGCCACGCAAACACCACTATTCACTCACGCGTTACCGACTGACACATTGACTGAATACAACTGAATAAAATTGTAGTAAAAACATCGTGATAAACGTTTCAAATTATTTTGCTTTTTTGTTTCCGATGCGATGAACCGATAAGGCGGATTATATCCGTTGTTGCCAAACACGAGCACATAATATTATTATTGAGACAGGGTGGTACTCAAACTTCTAAAGGGCTATAACTTTGTTACTTTAATTTTACCAGAAAAATGTTAAAGGAAAAAAACATTTCTTTTGATCAGATCTACTCACTGTTAAAATAAATGACTCATATATATATGCTGCATGTCTTAGTTACTGAGGAGTACAATGATGGAAATAGTTATCCATTTACGTATCAGAAAAGTGGCATAATTCATGCTTTAATTGTATTTTTTCCGAAATAGACGACACCTACATGTACGATGAAGACGCGCGTATGCTAGCACCGACCGCCCCTTGCGCGCCGGCCATGGACCGTCCCGCACACTGGTACGACGAACCTCCCTACGAGAGCGACCCTGAGGATTTCCTGATGGGCGGCCAAGGACAGCCGCTACCTCAGGCCACCTTCAGGAACGGCAGGGTGTGTTTTACGCTTAACCTCAAACAGGAACCAAGGTAGGTCTAATGATATCGAAGCTAGACCAATGATCTCAAACCTGCAATCCTAAAGCCGCACGATGCAGTTATGGACATTACTGAAACAGCACTGCTACAGGACAAGAAACGGAAATCAATTTTGATGTAACTAGTGGCAGGGTTGATTGATTTAATTCATTTAAACCACGATTCAAATCAAGTGACCAGTACAGCTCGTATTTCGATGTAAATTTGACACAATGTTACTACTATGCCAAGGACGAAGAAGCTTTATAGTTTTTGAACATCGGATCCAGACGAAAAAAGTAAAAATCGCAAACGTTGTCTGACGCTTTTGATTATTTATTGTACGTCGTTTCCGCCGTCACGGTAGCCTTTTTCCAGCACAATGGTCAATTAATTACAATATATCATTGTTAATCTGTCTTCCAGGTGACAATTCATTTATGTTTTCTTTTCTTCATTCCTGTACACTGTAATCAATTAATCTACAATTTTAAGATGGCGTCGCGTAAAACCGGAAAAGCCCAGAATCGCCTGGAGGGCGGAAAGGACTACCCCAGCCGATCCTCAATACATTTATACTACTTGAGATACAAATAAATCCAGTACCCACAGAACAGCATATTGAAAACCACACACTCCTCTTGTTAGTATCCTTTTATTTCTCCGTCCATAGCTGGAATGGAATAATTCAAAATAATTTCTCATCTCAGGTCAGAAGGGGTCATATCACTGAGAAGTGCTGGAGATATTTCACTGCCAAAAGATTCTAATGGAGGTGTGACAACTCCAAGAAGAGGATTGATACTACCTCCTCAGGCTGGGTACCCTCCAACTATTATTCCTTTAAGGTAAGAAAATAGAGGAAAAGTTTATCTTAAAATCTGATAATGAAAATGCCTGTCTCCTAGCGTGTAGAGTATAATAATATCAATATCATTTGTATTTTTCTATAATGTTACGTCCTGACGGGGCAAGAGGACGACAGCATTTCAATTTTCGTGAGTCTTGGCTGGATCGGGTAACGAAACGTAAATCAGCGAGGATGGTGAACTGTTGTTCACACGGTCACGACTCACGATTCAGTTTATTACTCGAACCTATCCAAGAACGTTACTAGTGCAGTAACGCAAGGATCTGTGCTGGGGCCGATACACTTTTTTTATATACAAGCGACCTGCCCATGGAACTTTCTTCAATGTGTTCCGCCTATGCAGATGACGCTAAAGTCTGCAATACGACCACGAAATCCGCTGTACTTCAAGATCTCAAAGTGGTCGGAATTTTGGTTTCTCACTCTGAATTTCTCTACATGCTACGTTCGCTACCTAGACAAGAACAATTTTAAGTTTGAGTACAAGATTGACGAGCATACCACCGCGGCTGTTACAAATCACATAGATCTCGGTCTTATACTTAATGACCGTTTACCTCGTTACAAAACATCCAGAACATCACTTGAAGGGCCAAAAAGCTGCTGTATTATGATGGAAGGATCCTTCAGTGGTTGCACTATTAGTATCTGCTCCCTCCTATACAGAATCTTCGTACGATCCCTTGTCGGAGTTTGGGATTCAAACCTTGTTCGTGATAGGAGCTTGTTAGATTCGGTTCAGCATCGTATAAAACGTTTGCCTTATGGTCAACTTATAAAGATCGAAACTGTCTACTTTTGATGCCAGAAGACTGCGGGGTGATCTGATCATCACTTTTAGAGCAGTGCATAATTTATTTGGTGTTGACTTGTCGCACCTGTTCCGTCTGCCATCGAATAACCTCAGAGACCATAAAAATCCGAAACATCAGTCTTCTACCTTATGGAGTGAACTCGACAACCGTAGCAAGTTTCAAAAACAATTACGATAGACAGTTGTTATCTAATAACAATATTCCATGCAGCTCGTACTAGCTAGCTCTTTAACCTGACCTGTTACCTAAACTACCTCCTTTTCCAGGTCATCTAGAGATCGCGAAAGCGGCGACTACGCATCCGACGTCCAAAGCGTCAGTTCCCGCCTGTCCAACCTTTCTGTGGACACCAGCCGATCCGAGCAACTCGAAATGGGCCAACTGATCTCTCCCAAGTACTACGATCACCACCATCATCACCACAATCACCACCATCACCATGAAAGCAGGTTGAGGCAGTACCGAAGGGTGGCTGCAGGTGCGGGTTATGCTAGGAGCGAGGATGAGGGCATGTCGCCGAGTCAGAGCAGCGATTATGAGGATCAGGAGGATTTCGGGGGCGGGGAGAGCAGCGAGCAGGTGGCTACTGTACACGTGGTGAGTATGGACAACTAGTAACAAGGGCGTAGCCAGCTCAAAACGGAAGGGGGGCATCTTATAAAAAATCCATTGGGAGTTTCATAAATCATATCTACATAACTATGCTTGATATTATTCTATTTGCATTTCACCACGATTTTACAAGTACACAATTAAGCAAGCTAAATATATTATTATATAGGGTGTTCCTTAATGATATGCGAATATTTAAGGGTGTAAATCTACATGACAAATCAGTGTTAGTTTGCTTTATAAACTATGGTGCAAAAATGTTTCCCTACAAAAGCTAGGGGTGTTGAAGTTTTAGGAAAAAAATTGAAGTTAATTAATATTTTCAGAACCGCTTCAGATATTTCACTGATATTTAGTACGTAGTGAAAGTTAATAAAGTTGCATATTTTTCAATGCAAAAATAATTTTCTGATTTAACAGTGGCGTGCGAACGCGTATTGACTTTGATATTTTTTATAAAAAAAAAATGGTACGCCAATGGTTTTTTGACAAATAAAAATTATTTTTTAATTTCCCGTTCAATTTAAAACAAATGATCTCCCTTGAATCGTTTTCCTTCGATCAGCCATTTTTGAGTAAAAAAATAAAAACAGTTCTATTGTCTAACTTATTATTAATTTCATTGGAAAAATTGAACACATTAGGGGTAATGAACAACCATAACTGACGACATAAACATAACATTAAAACCAACGAAATGACTACAAAAATTGTTGAAAATGGCCCCCTTCACTTAGTATGCATTCTTGCGCCCTCCTTCTCACATGGAATTGCGCACTCGTTGAAATATCCCTGGGGTGTTTTTTATTCTATCACAAGCTGCAACTATTCTTTCTCTTAATTCCTCTACAGTGTTAATAGGACTTGTGTACACTAGTGTCTTAAGATAGCCCCACAAAAAGAAATCTAAACTGTTGAGGTCTGGAGACCTTGGTGGCCATTCTTGGGATATAACAAAAAATCCACTAAAATTCTCCAAACAATTTGATGGCAAATATTTAAGTGTCTAGCGATCTTCCTCGTACTCGTTTCAGGTTGTTCTTCGACTTCGTGCAGCACTGCTTGCTCAATTTCAGGTGTTCTCACACTTAGAGGTCCAGCTTCAGATGTTCCTTTTTGAACAGAACCAGTTTCAACAACGATGTATATTACGATGTATATTAGAAAAGGTTTGAATATCTGGCAAAGCACGATCGGGATATCTCTGGTGATAAATCCATCTGGCTTCCTCACCATTACTGTCGGCAAGGCCATATACGTAATCCATTTCCACCATTTCTGCATTTGAATAATTCACCATTATTAACAAGATTGTAAAAACTAAATAATGAAAAATATGTCACAGCGAACAGATTTGAATAACAGAGACTTGACAGATGTCAAAAGCCAGTGACAGATTCCAGAGCAACTAGATATTTATTGCTAAATTGCATTCTTCAATTATTACATTAATTTTCTCGGACAATAGAACGGTTTTTATTTTTTTACTCAAAAACCAAAGTAAAACAATTCAAGAGAGACCATTTGTTTTAAATTGAACGGGAAACTCAAAAATAATTTTTATTTGCCAAAAAACTATGCAACTTTATTAACTTTCGCTACGTATCAGTGAAATATCTGAAGCGGTTCTGAGAATTTTAATTAATTTCCATTTTTTTCCTAAAACTCCAACACACCGAGTTTTTGTAAGGAAACATTTTTGGACCATAGTTTATAAAGCAAACTAACATTAATTTTTCATTTAGATTCACACCCTTAAATATTCGCATATCGTTAAGGAACACCCTGTATGTTATATTCTTTAGAATGAATGTAAAAGCTCTCCTCTCAAAATAAAAAATTCTGGTCAACTTTTTTTATCAAATTTCAAAGTTGTAAGTCCATAGAAGAATTGGAAAAGAAGCGAAATCACATTCAAAATGGGTATGTCCAGTACGTAGCAACAGTTAATTGGTTATTGCGAAAAGTGCATAAGACTAAATATGAAGTAGTAGCCAAAAGATAAACGCTTTGTAGTAGTTAACATCGAAAAAAATCTTCAAAAATGCTCAAGCTCTCCAGAGATGTAACTGCTGCAACAAATTAGACAAAGATGAGTTTTAAGTTTCTAGTTGGACAATATTTCCATTACTATAAAACATTATCAAAAACGTTATTTACAAAAATTGTGGACTATAGCTTCCTACTGGATGATTCATACCAACATGACAACAAAAACGACTTTTTTAAATGGAACACCATACATCTTTTAGTATATTCTGATACGTCACTTCAAAGGGAGACGTTTTGATATAATTCCGGAAATGATTTTTCTTTGTCAATATTTCTGCATTGTTTTTATACAATTACTCGAAATTTGGTCAAATAGCCAAATTCTAGAATGATTTGAAAAACAAATTTGTCATATTTTCACCATTGTGTTCTCCGAAACGGTAAGAGATACGGGTCGGCTGAATGGTGCCAAAATTGCCTCTATATTTTAGAAAATGCATTTCAAAAGTTTTGTACCTACCAGTATCTCCAGAGATTCACGAAAAATTGAAAAAAAATCCATTCTATTTCACAAGAAAAGTAAAGCAGATGCAAAAAGATAAAAATGTAGTACAGAAAGTTATCCATTATTCTAACAAGTTACTAGTTAGTGATCAAAATACAATTCTAACCCAGATATCATACCAAGAAATCACTGTCTATATCTTGAATTTTGCATATACTGTACCGTAAAATCCAGTAAATATTCCATACAATAAAAGCCCCTTGTCCATGATGAATATGGAAATACGTTTCCGCTGACCTAGATACTTTTTAATCACCTGTTGGTACACACTGGACATATTGATATAGAGATTTCTGTTTACCTGTCGCTGGTCGTATAAATGAAAATTAGCAAATACAGTAAGCAAAACAGAGATTGAAATTACGCTTTCTGTATTGGGCAAATATGTAAGTTCTCTTTGCCTACAATTAAGCGAATGCATCATCACGATTGCGGACGATGATAAAAACGTGGACGAATTTCGTGGGAAGTACATATCATATCAGTATACAACAAAAGTACAAAAAGAGAAATAAATGTGAAATAAACAAAAAGCTATGCGAAGGGGGAGTTCAAAAATTATGCGTCTGAAAATATATACGAATTTGATAGGAAGTACATGTTATCTCAGTATTTAACAAAAGTACAAAAAGAGAAATAAGTGTAATATAAACAAAACGCTATGAGAAGGTGTCAAAAATTATGCTAGTACGTATGTTCTTTAGGCATTAAGTTTACAAGTAAAACAAAACGAATATCAAGTATTCTATTAACCTTGTAACATCTAGTTCCGGCATTTCTCGTACCAATATAAAAATGATGATATTTTGATCAAAAAATTTGCAACGACAAAGCATTTGACACAGCAAGTAAATACTTAAAACTATATCTTTTGCAGTCAAGTGATGGCAGAGCATCAAGCTTAGTTGGCAAAGTTCGAGGACTTAGGGAAGATGTACAAAGGAAGATATCGCGAATGAAAGGTGAAAATTCTGATCAAAGACGACATCCGCAAGACCAGGCATTTCCTTGTTCCGCTAGCTCGGTGGAAAGTCTACCAAGTGGATCTGGATCAAGTAAGAACTTATTTATTGTGATTTATTGTACATCTAAGGCCGGATTTTACTACTGATTCACGGAGATCAAAATTTGTCTCTAGAGATCAAATTGGACCAATCAGAAGGCGTTTTCGAAGTAATGGATATAATTAATATAGTCGGTTCCTTCTAAAACACCTCTTAAACTATCGGAGAAATATTTCAAATATGTATTTTTCCTGTGCTTTTTCTCCAAATAAATAAACATACGTTACATGCATAATGAAATACGTTTATTTTGAATAGAATTATTGCCAATATTTTATCTTTGTTAAATATCGCCGTGACACAGACAGTATGCTGGGCAAGCGATCAGTGGTAGAGGTTCATATACGCAAAGTACCACGCCAAACGGCAATTTGATGCACATGTTAATGGATTATTAAAAATGCCCTTATTGCCAAAATTACCTCTTTCAGGTGAGTCGTGACACTGTTATCTTCACTTTTGATCCGCAGATCAAATTTTGATCCAAGAAATTGGTTTTGTAGACAAATTAGGTGAATTATGGTGTTTTTTTATTTAATAAGAGCCCTTCTTACACAAATCGTATAACTCTCCGCTAGTTTGACTATATTCATTACATAGATTATATCAAAAACGCCTTCTGGTCGGTGAATTTTGATCAGCGGATCAAATCTTGATCTCCGAGGGTAAAATGAAGCGTAGGATATGCAATTAACAAATGATTATAAATGATTTTCAAATCAGCTTGACGTTGACACCACCTTTGTTTGTTTGTTTGTTTTCGATTTATTTAGCATTAATGCTATACTATATCCATAATATCCATGTTACACAGTATATCACATAATATATTATGTCTTCAAGAGTACATATTTTTATACAAAATTTTACTGGTATGAATTCAGGTTTTCCATGAGATATTTTTATAATAATTTATTAAATTCATACAATCCATTTTGATACTGACTTCGTTCTATTACTCCTACAATTTTGTAAATGAAAGTCTATACTCCCTCTAGTACAATAACTGTAGTACTCATTGTTCAATACTATAAAAGTGATTTGCTAGAAGATGATTTTTTAACTTGAATATGAAGCAGGTTATGGATTTTTTGGTATTTAACCATTGTATTCCTTTCAGCATAAAATTTATTCTAGTTATTTATTTTTATTCAAGATGATTTTCATAGCTTTATTTTGTAATATTTGTAATTTTGAAAATACAGTTTCGTTTGCAGTGGACAAAATAGTCGAGCAATACAACAAATGGGGAAGAATGATAGCTGTACACATTTTTTTCAAAATAATCGCTTAAGCTACTAGGCTATGCTAGATTCTATGAAAGCAATTTATCTTTTCGGATGTTTTTGAAATAATATATTCATAGTGCTCTCCAAATTTTAATTTACTATCTACGTATATATGCCCAAACATTTAAGTGATTCAATGGACTTTTTCGTGATTTATTGTATTTTCATCTAAACATTTTCCTATATTTGTTTTGTTTCTGTTTAATTTGAGTTTACTCACATTTAACCAATTAATTCCGTTTTTCATATCGTTATTTAACAGCTCTAATTCCAGTTTCAATGTCTTTATTTCATATATATTTATTGATGTATTTGAATTTTGCAGTGTTGTAAAACATCAGGAATATCGTTAATATATAAAATTAGTAGTAATGGACCTAATTTGCTACCCTGTGGCACCTACTCAAATGTTTTTAATGCTTAATAATGTATTGCCAATTTTAGTTCTTTGACTTCTATTGATTAAATAATTTTGTTATATTGAATACTGAACCTTTAAATCCATAGAAATGCAATTTCGTTAACAATTTCACCCTGTCAAGAGGCCCTCTTGAAATCCAAGAACATTGTTACTGTAAACCTTTTTTAATCCATATTTCGCTACCACTCTTCTACTACCATTTGAATTGCTGTATCAGTAGAATATTTTTTTCTGAATCCTGCTTGAAATTTTGTCAATATTTTGTTTTTTTCAATATATTCAATGATTTGTTCATATATCATTCCGTCTAAGAGCTTCTCGACATCTGGCAGTACATTAATTGGTCGCATGTTTGTGTATAACTCAGAACTTTGTAGTTTTGGAAGAACAACATTTTAATTCAGAAGGAAATTCGCCGTACACTAAACAGTGATTCACTAACAATAATAACTTCTCTTCAATAATGTTGAAACATTCTCTTAAAACCATTTTTGAGAGATGTTCGATTTTAATCTTGAAATAGCTTTTGAAACATGACTGATCTTCGATTGACGCCACTATCACTTTACAGGTACGCAGGCATTAGTGAGAGCTGGGAGCAACCATAGTTCAATATCAACAGAAGATGCTGAACCAAGCCCAACCGAGCAGATAGTAGGCAGAGCAAGGGCACTTGTTGACCAAGTGCCTAGTCCTTACGACAAGGATGCGTTAAAATTCAAGGTAAAATATAACTGTTCAAAACATAGATTATAAAAGTTGATGTACTTAATTAAAATAGAGGCGCCTTTGCGGGCCAGTTCGTCCTTCAAATCCATTGTACCGTAGTGTGAGGGTATTAGAAGAACGCGATTTTGAGTTGTAGCTTATCATCAGTTCTGATGTTAACATTTTTGTGTAGGCTGGTGATATAATTGAAATAACGTCAATGAACCAAAGCGGACTTTGGCGAGGCATCTGTCATGGGAGACGAGGAACCTTCAAGTTTATCAACGTAGAATTGATGTCCGAGAGGTCAGTGAAGTCCAAAAGGGAAACCAAGTGGCATCGGAATATCAAAGGCAGACCTGCGACCGTGGAAGACCTGCTCAAGAGAATTGGGCTGCAGGAGTATACGTCGGTATTTGTACTTAATGGGTAAGCGGTCATGATCGTCTTGGAATACCTACGTTATAGTCGAATGTTGACTGTTTTAACACGCTTTTATTAGCTTGGCCTGTATGTATGTATGTACGGAATCATTGAGCATAATTTTCACCAATTTCCAGAAGTTTGATTAATTTGAAACTGCGCACACGTATCAAGGACCGATGGCAATGCAATAATCTGATAACAGTTTTTTAAACTATTATATTTTCAATAGACACAGTACTTGATCACTTTGTTCCTTTTAGGTATGAAGATCTAGAATTATTCAAAGAAATAGAACCGTCGGACCTGGATTATCTGGGTATAGTCAATGTTGATCACAGAGCGAAAATCTTGTCAGCAGTTCAGCTACTACACGATCTAGACTGTAAGTATATCTAAATCCTTCATATTATCATATTGTAATATTGGTATGTCCCAAAAGGTAGGTCAGGATTCTAATTTCGCCCCATTTTTCAACGACTTGGACGTTTTATATTGAGCATGCGTCATCTACAGGCCCGCACTCGTAATAAGTACTTTAAAAGTTACATATCGATTTTCAATGACATTATACAAGTACCTTGGAACTAATTGTCATTCACTGGACACTGGACCGATATGGATTGGCTGTTATGTGATGTAACATCTGCTTAATAATTGGCACTAGCAGAGCTCATTATAGTCAAATTTGAGCTGTTAGACTATACTATAAGTCGTTGTGCCATTGCTCCATAGGTGGCGTTCACAGCAAGTGCGCGTTGACATTATACCGATTTTTAATGACATTACATTGATTTTTTACGTAATACCCCTGCCGGCAATTCAATCCTGAATCACTTTACGATGGAGGAACGCATCAGAATTTTGCAACCTACTGTGTTCTTCTTATGTCCCTAAATTCATTTCATGTTCTTTCAAGAATGTGTCGTATAATAAGAAAATCTTTTGACAGATTTGTCACAGTCACGCTTTTCCAAAATCCACTAGCTTGTGATGAGATCTTGCTGTCTGACTCCACGTGACATTTTTGGATTTTTGGAGATTGGTTTCGGAGAAAGAAATGCAATGTTCAATGTCAATGAACTGTTCAACATTTCAAAGCAACAATAAATTAATATCGTATGTGTAATCAGAATAAAAATGAATAAAACCTGAAGTATCTCATAGCCTGTGTGACATATCTTAAAATACTTACCCTAACCCAATAAATAATAATTTATTCGCAGTACTTGTAATTTACAATCAAACCAACCCTCTTAACCATTATTAATAGAGTATTCTCTTTAGTTACTAAATTCTCGTGTTTCAGCTGGCAGTGAAGCTGACGCAGCTGGCGGCTCGTCGAGTGATGGCGGAGGTGGCGCTATGCACCCAGTGGGCGGTCCCTTCGACCATCGTCATCACTTAATCCCCGCCCATTACAGCCATGCCGCTCCTACCGATACTTCTCCATTCAATAGGCGGTGCTATGCGGCAATTGGTGCAAGGCAACCGACGTCGCCAGGACAAGGGGCGGAATCAGATGCCAGTGACGGGATACCGGGGATGGGGTTACAGCAAGGGATGGGGATGCATATGCAGCTGGGAGATAAGAATAATCTTGATTCTGTAGTGGAGAGGTGTAGCAACGAGATTTTGGCAAGGTGAGTTTTTGATAACAGGTGAGGTAAAAGCATACTGATATTACCGACTGACATTTACTGACCTAGGCGCGGCTTTCAGTTGAATTAAGTATCTTCTGGTGGAATTTGTTAACAAGCGCTTTTAGTTATTTGTACGTCAATTCAGGAGATAATGTGTTTCAGGGTCAGACAAGCTCAGAAAAATTCAGTGAATCTGAAGGAAGAACTCTCATATCAACCTAATATTCCAAATTCGGCAAGTACGGAACTGCAACAACATCAGACAATCCAGCAGCGAAAGCCAAAGGACTCTTACGTCAGTGTTCATGGCCAAACGACATTAATAGGTAAGATTTCAGCATTGAAAATGAATTAATTATAATAGTAAAATAATCGAGAATTTTTTATTTAAACACACATTTAACGAATTAAATTAAAGCACCAAAAATTGAATATTAAAGTTTGCAGCAAATATAGTGAATGCCGGTGTTTTTGAGGCAATGGAACATTATCACAATAATGCAATCACAACCCTAGGCAAAATTGAAAATTGTCATCTGTACGTTTATTTTTCAGATCCATGTCGGAGAAGCCTGTCCAAAGGACGGACGAAAGAGGAAATTTGTGAGACTGATCCAAAATTAGCAAGTGTCAAATACGTCGTGGGAGGAGGAGCTGATGACTTAGGAACACTGAACGTGTTAGGCATGTAAATATTTAATCCGGTATCATTATCTTACGGTTGCAACAATAAAATAGTCAGTAGTAACATCAATACTGGTAGCTTCCGTAATTAATTCTCGGAATGTTAAAACTACATTGAATGTATTTCCTTGTTCATACAGGAAATCCGTGGCACGCGCACTTCTTTTTGTACATCTCCGAAGAGATTTTCTTACTATACGAAGTCTGTAAATTAAGTGATGAGACAACGTAGCATTCCATCTGGCAACACTGGAGGCGCCGGGGTTGGAAAGGAGACAGGGGAACATGTGCTTCGCCTTCTGTACAAGTTTGAACTCGGTCGAGTCATTTGTTGTTATGAAACAGTTTTTTCTATTGGGTTCTAAAAATCAATTTCAAGCAACAATGTGCTATCCTGGTTTTTAGGTGGGTTAAAGCATTTTCAGAAGGGAGTTAGAGATTAAAGATGAAGCAGAGATCGTCGGCTGTCAGTCAGAATAATCTAGGAAGAGTTAAATTTGACTCGTAAGACCAAAAGGACATCAGGAAAAAAAGGTGCATTGACCTTTTGGATTCGACTGAAAATGACCCCCATTTTTTGGAACGTGTCATTATTGGGGACGAGTCGTGGGTGTTTGAGTAAGACGAAGAAGCCAATCGCCAGTGCATGGAGTGGCACATTTCAACCTCTCCAAGGCCCAAAAGAGCAATAAAGACGAAGTCGAAGATCAAGTGCATGCTGATTTGGTTTTTCGATATCGACGGAATCGTCCACAAAGTGTTTCTACCTCAAGGCCAAACGGTCAATCTACACTTTTAACGGGAGGTTCTTGAATAAGGGTCATTCGTGTGAGAACAAACGTCAAGAACAGCTGAGTCGCGATAATGCTCCTTGTCACTCAGGAATGTCAGTAAATAAGTTTTTGGTCAGTAAAAACATTCGTGTGGCTCCCCAGCCTCCATATTCGCCCGACTTAAGTCCTTCTCAAAGTTGAAAAATCACCTCAAGGTAACGCATTTTGGGACAGTCTAAAACATTCAAACGACTGTAACCGACCAGCTGAAGGCTATTCCAGTATCGGGGTTCCAGCACTGCTTGAGGTGTGGAAAAACCGTCTCCAGTGCTGTGTCGCTTAAGAAGGAAGTTACTTTGAGGGTGACAATATAAAATTGTAACTATATTTGAATAAAAAATAGTCTCACCACTTAATTTACGGACCTCGTAAATCTAGAAAAGAAATATTTTTGGCCAATTAGAGAAAAATAATGAAAATAACTTATTCCAAAGTTTATTATTGTATTGTAAGAAAAAAATCGGTACAAATTGATGAAGATCGAAAAAACACAATTTAATCGAAAAAATCTGATTTTTCGATTTTCTCAAAATTCGTGATTTTTACAACACCGCCCGTTGATTTTAGCACCATAGTGTTAAGTTAAGCCAAAATTAGTAGTCAGTAAGTACGTTTCATTAAATTAAATATTTAAAATACACATGACAACAGCGCGTCAGTCTTTTATCGCTCTTATCGAACCGGCGATCGAACAGTGGTTAGGTATCGTTTTGCATAGAAAAATTACTCTATCTTTTTGTCGAGCAGAGCATCGGGCGTGTTGTTTTATTTTTGTTCGCGTACGTCGTCGTGTTTATTTACAATGCTCTCGAATCAAAAGTTCGCCGACATGTTGTTAGTTTACGGTGAAGCTCGTCAGAATTCAAATCTTGCAGCTCAAATTTATCGACTAGACTAGACTAGACTATCCTCGCAGACTAACATTCTGTCAGTGGTTTTTGCACAAAAACATTGAAAATCCGGATTTTTTAAAAAACATTCTAGCGACAGGCGAATGTACTTTTACGCGAGACGGGATATTAAATTTCCATAATACTCACACGATTGCCCAAGAAAATCCTCATACCATTCGTGAAGGTCATGTCCAACAACGTTTTAAAATAAATATTTGGGCGGGTATTCTTGATGATCTGGTAATTGGCCCTTTCGAGTTACCCCCAAAGTTGTCAGGAGAAGGATACCTTAGCTTTCTAGCCGATAACCTACCAGAACTTTTGGAACAGATCTTAGATAACATGCCATTACAACGGAGACAGAATTTGTGGTTTCTTCATGACGGGGCATCACCACAAATTTTAGAGGCGTCATTCAGTATTTGAATGAACATTATCCAAATCGCTGGATCGGTCGAAATGCTCCTGATCCTCGAAAATGGCCAGCAAGATCTCCTGACCTCAATCCGATGGATTTCTGGTATTGGGGAGAACTTAAAGGGATGGTTTATGGGGCTGGTCCAATAACAACTGAAGCAAAACTTCGCGAAAAAAAATTAATGCGGCTGAAATAATAAATGGACCACATCGAGGACCTAGAGTAAGAAGAAACTGGGTTCGTCGTAATGAAGCTTGTGTGGAAATTGGAGGACGATATTTTGAACACCTTCTTTAAATACAAAAAAAATGCAGTGTGGGTTTTAAAAAGAAAAACAATGAATGTATCAATATTGTGTTCCCTGTTGATAAGTGGATTTTTTTAATACGTTCAATAAACTTTCACACACCAGGTGAAGCGCTGAGACGGTTAGTGGTAAGTCCGTTTGTTTTAATTGTTTGCATTTTAGGAGAACATTATCAAATAATGAAATAAAAACCAAGAGCCAAAAATAACAAACTACATCATTATTTATACTGCAATCCGTCGTAATTTGCGTCTGGCATTGCGCCGTTGTCAGATTTTATTTTACTTTAAAGTCGCTTTTCTCTAAAAAAAATCCGTTTTGACCCCCATGTTATATGAAACTTTTTGCTTCTTCTAACCCACTCTGTCACCCATTTAAATAATGACTATCATAACGTTTACACCCTGTAGAAACTTTTGATCAGATTGGTATGGAAAACAACATACTAGAATTTCAGCCAATTCTAACGGAACACATTTGCCATAAGGAATGTGCCACATCCTTTGAATTGTTTTCAGGCAGGAGTTGTCTGAGTGAAAAGTCCAGCGACTCCGGCGTGAGCAGTAGCTCCCTGTCATCCGGCAACGTGAAGGAACCTCAAAACCGTCCAGCTCTTCAGCAATCGTCCATGGTCGAACCCCCTCACTCACCACACATCGCTCTGAGAATCGTCAAACAGAACCCTACACCTGGACAGGGGCAGCCCACGTAACACAGTACGAACCCCTTTTTGCGGTAGACAATTTTATAAACGAATGGAAAGATAACAGTTGTCCTACGCAGTAGCAGTAAATGTCAAGAAGAAATCGGAACGTCACTGTATGTACCAAGGAGCCTATTCTTGACCCTTCGCATCCGAACGAATCGTTCGTGAGCGAACCGATATGGTTTATCGATATTACGCCAGGAAATTTCGTACAAGAAAATCCTACAATTTTTCGAAACAGGAAATTTTGGTGGTATCGTTAGATTTTTACTTCCTAATGATAAGTTCAAATTGGCGCCATGATGGGGGAAAGCATTTGCTTTTGATCGAAAATCTCAAAAACCATCGATCGTATGAAAAAATTTAATAGAAGCACTTTTATAGGGAATTAAAATATTTATCATTTTGATTTTATAAAAATTTGTCGTATAACCCAAAAATTACGAGAAATTAATAGATAAAGGTACATGTAATGATATTTCCTCTTAAAATAGCTAAACTAAGAATCTAAGAGTATAAAAAAGGTCTTCTGGGTCTTTTCGACACCTTGATGGTTCTTGAAGTATAAGGAGGATAACTTCATAATCATTATCTACGGTCAACGATACCAGGTTAAAGTGAATATTTTTTTACTACCAAGTTTAGAAAATGAAATATTTTTTGATAATTTGTGGTTGTTTTCATCATGAAGATCAAGTCACTCTCTTCCATCGGCCTGTCTATAGGCGATTCTGCCACTACATAATTTCAGTAACGCTGCAGCGATTTTAATGGAATTAGAATGTAGTAGATAATACTGGCTTACGCAGTGAGAAAATGGCCAATAGACAGTGCATTTTCAGGAGACATCAGAAATTATCCAGGAATATTACATTTTCCATACTTATGCGTGACAGTAAAAAAATGTATTCGCCTTGAAATGGTAAAATTGATCACAGATGATAATATGCCGCACGACTGGTGTCGAAACAACATGAAGGACCTTTTTGGAAGTACATTTTATTTTCTACTAGAAAGGATAATAGTTTTTATACGCTAAGGTTGTTAGTGTAGCCGTTATAGTCTAAAATGTCATTACATATACCTTCATACTTAAGTTTCTCGTAACGATTGACCATATGGCAAATTTTATACAAGCAAAATGATGAATTCAATTCCCTACAAAATTATTTCTATTACTTTTTTACATAGGACTGATGATTTTAGAGATTTTTGATCAAACGCACTTATCAAAATGGATGCAATAATCTAACCTCCCTAAAAAAAATTACTATCACGAAAATTATAGGAAAAAAGTACCCAATTCCTGACCAAATCGCAGAATCACTTTGCATGAAATTTTTGCCGCATCTCAACAGAAAAATTTGAGAAAATTTTAATGAGTCAGCGTCACTTGGCGTTATCACCAGGATAAATAAAAAATATGTGAGTCCTTATCCCAGTGTCTGCTATGCAGTTTTAATTTATTTGGTATATTATTTGGGATAATAAACAGGTGTTGAAAGTGTCACTTTTTTCATATTGCCGACGCTTCGGCGATTATTTTTCATGGCTAAAAAAAATGAAAAACTTTATAAAATTCAAAATCGTACATGACGAAATGAAATGGACCACTTGATAAGATTGAAAAAAAAATCAAAGTTATATGATTTTTCAAATTTCAATAATTTAATAATTTTCTTTAAGCCATACAATTGTCACGTTTTATCTAATGTTAACGAGTAGCGATTCAACACTGCTTTAATGCCGGATACAGAACCAAGAACGCAACCCAAATTTTGATAAAGTAAACATTCAGCTTCGGCCGAAGAATGTGTTAAAAGCCGGACATCACCATCAGCTTCAGCGATAAAATTCTCTTTCGGTCGGACGCTATCCTTGGTACAAATAATACGTTCCCAAAATGAAACCCTAACCCTTCAATTATAAAAAAAAAACGAAAAAGGGTGAACCACACTGTTTTTCACATCAGAATCATAACGATAATTTTATTCCTCCATGTTCGTTTGGCCGCTAAGTGAGACCAGATATGTTTTGATCACTATTTACTGACACGTTTCGGCCACCACGGTGACCTTTTTCAAGTACAAATGACAATTCTGAAGACAATATATTTTTTTATCTATCTTTCCGATGACAGTCCGATTCTGTTCTTCCTTTTCACATTCCTAAAGAGTGTCCGGGACAACTTAGAGTTGCCATTCTACTCCCATAATGGCGTCCAGCTTCCCAAAGCGACAAGCGAGCATGAGGTTATCTGTCTTTTTTTAATGTACTAGACACCCTCTCCCATCGAAAACGCTAAAAGTGCTCCGAAAACTCGAAAACCCACCCAGAACTGATGTCGCTGTTGCAGAAATGCAGACGGTCCTGCTTTTATCTTAAAATTGCAATCATGGCTTCACGTAATCTCGGCATCTTACAGGACCGTGCAGACTGTATATTGTAGTAAGGCAAATAGAAATGGGAAAAGGAAGAAACAAACGAACTATCGACTGGAAAACAAATAAACAAAGATTTTGTCATCAGAATCGTCATTGTACGTGAAAAAGGCTACCTTGGTGGCCGAAACTTCAAACATATGTGGTTCTATTTAGATGCCAGACAAACATGAAGGATTATCAGAATGGAATCCACATGATGCTTCATGTTTTATATTATATGAATTTATTGCTTCTATTTGGGTCAACTTGTATTGATAATATGATATATTGTGAATTCATAATGTTTATACGTCAAATAAGGTCTAAACTTTATACTTAGCTGAATTTATGATCAAAATCAAAGAGCAATATTATATAAATGTATATGTAACGTTGAAATTATATAATACCACATTCCATTGCAGAGGTGTATTATTAAACAACAAAAATAATTATTATATATCATTATTTTGTCTTAAATGTTTCTAGGATTACGGATATTTATTTCAATTATTACGTTTAGAATCGTCTGTGATGATATTGTAGGGAAAGGTATCGAATGTTTCAAGGTTGAATTGTGATTAGGGACTGATGAACTTCAAAAACTCTCTTTCTAGCTCCTCATGAAGTTTTAACGGTGTTTCAACACATTATTACAATAAAGCATCAACTCGTTTTTATGAAGTTACTTTTATGTCAAAGACAACGTTCGTGCTTATCTTGGCCCCACTTTCACCATTTAGCTCAGTATCAAATTACGATGCTAGTAAGTAGTGTTAAGCAACAAAAGCAAAACGCAAGGTGAACATTTATTTTGTCAATATCTCAAGTTCGGTTTTAACAGGAACAGAAAAAGAGTTTTGGTTTGAAAGGGTACCAGAAGGAAATATATTCGAAATATGTGGGAAATGTATAATGTATCACTTGCTTTTTTGAAAATTTGTTATTGGTTCCATCTGAGCGCTAAGAACGTTTTTATATGTAGTATATTTGAAATCCAACTACGCTAAAGTAGTACAGCTCAAATAATCAAAAATCTGCATGATTGCATGAGAACTACCAACGATTTGAGCTGGTTTAAATATTGTTAGTGTGACTTAAGAAGCATTAGACGTTTTTTGTTGTACATTTTTGGAAAGTACTACAGAAAAAACAGCGTTTCAAGTATCAGCAATAACAGAATCTTTTCACTATTTGCTGCAAAAACATTCCTGCAGCTCATGACTATCTTAGTTATTTTATGAAGCAACCCATAATAACACTTGTTTATAGTTTTTCAGGTTTTTTATCACCATAATAGACCTAAGTTATATTTTTTTGAAATATTGTGCCAACTACCATTTTTTGGAAGAATCTACACAAGACTTCATCCAAATTTTTAAATTCTGGATGAGAAAACAATACATTGTATGAATTTAATTCAAACGTTTCGCATACTCCTTTTTAAGTTCACTCTCAAAGAGAACATATGGACTGTTTTTGTATTAACTATTTTTAATATAATAATTTGAAAGTGATAGTTAAAGGAGTCTTACTTTTGTCTCGCAGTGTATATCTAGCAATTTATTGTAAATAAATAACCAGATGTAAATTGTATATATCTAAAACGACTAGTCCACATTGAAAAATATATTTGTTCTTCCTGTTTTTTTCTCTGTTTCGCTACTTGATGCTTCATCAGTAAGTACGAAATTCTCAAAAAAGAAATTGTATTGCGATGTACTCAACCAAGGTGACAAAAATTATCATTAAAACAGCAGTTACTTATTCCTTGTATGCCACCTGATGCAACAGATTATATTTTCCGACACAATCAAAACTGGAGATGCAAAGTTTTAAAATTGCCATGTTCATACAATTGCTGCCCATAACTATCAACAGTATTTTCTGAGAAAGCCTTTTGAAACGACAATCATGTTAAAAATAGGACATCACTTATGAAATTTTTTTAGCAATCGTCAAACATAGTTTATAATAACTTTTTTAGGCAATGAAATATATGATTTCTGAGCTAATCTCATACAGACTTTCTTTATTGAGAGTTTTGTAGTAGACTTCATATACTTTTTTAAGATTTTCATAATTAGTCCAGTATGCATATCATTTTTTACTAACTTTGTGCATTTTTTGGAAAATCTGTACTTATCTAACTGTATACTAGACATGTTGATAATGTATGTTAGACCTTAATGTAGGAAGATTTAATAAATTAAGTTAATAAATGGAGAGCTGTTTTATTCCCATGAAAGCTGAAATATAGAATCTGATAGAATTGAAGGGATAATTCATTTCAAAGTATTTGCTCGTGAAAATACAGAAAACGTTTTTGACTATACTCACATAAATATTGAAAACCCCAGAAATATAGTGAAATATGAATTTTAAGAAAAAAAATTGTTACTCAAAATAAAGATACATTTATAAAGAACAAGATTTTATTTAATGAAAAAAAAATTGAAAATAACCTTCAAATTATAAATATTTAAATGATAATAAAGCTTCTTCATCTCAATAAAAGTGTGTTACGTTTTGACACTAGGATGGAAACAGATCAAAGAAGCGTGTTTTTAAAAATATTTTTTTTCACATTTTAGCATTTATGATGTCAGATAACTAGTTTGATAATTTCTATATAATTTTCATAAATCGGAGGGATCCCATAAAATTTCTTACTTTATTTGTATTAGAAAATTTCGATAGACACTCGTATAAATCATATAACGATAAATCGATATGTTGCGGCGTTCGCGATATGGAATTCAGACAGATATTATTTGCTTATTGCGTTTTTCTCATGAAGCCCTTTCATCTGACACCAATATCATGCCTGGAAATTATAAATCACCATTTAGCGGCGGTCGCCATATTGGATTTAGAATGATGTCACTTTGCTTATTATATTTCCTGCATCAAGCCCTCTAATTTGATAGCTATATAATAGAGATGACTGTGGTAATTATAAACGCCATTTTGGGGCAGTAGCTAAGTTACGTCACTTTGCTTACTGTGTTTCTCTCATGAAGCCCTTTCATTTGATAACCATATTGTGACAAATAGTACTGTTGGCGCCATCTGTTGGGCGAGTCTCCTACTCGCCAGAGCTGCATGACCCATCTCTGCTTTTACGCAAACCACGACCGCACAAGCCGCTTGGCGGCGTCTGTGAGGACCGTAGCAGTGACTCACCTTCTAGATCGACGCGCAGTGACCTTCAATATTCTAGATGCCGCTTTGTGGTTCCCCAGACCTTTCTCGAAGCAGCAATGGGTACTATACAGGGTGACTCTGAAGTTGAGTCATTAATTTTCAGATAGTGATTGTAGAAGGATGATAAACCAAAATATGTGTGTAAAAATAAAAAAAAAATGTTACCTTGTTTTATAAAGTATCCTCCCGACAAGTATTTCAGTGCGGACCTGTATTTGATCGTGCGGTCTTGGAGCACCGGCATCCCCTGTGAGGTCTTAAGTCACCTGATTCACGAGCCCTTTGTACTACATTAACAAAGGCACGAGGGGTTGGTTGCACTCGATTGGGAAACCGATTTTGTAAAGACTCCCCCCCCGTAAATAAGAATCATGTCCGCAAGTTCAGCATTTTCGTAAACATGTGCCATTTTTTATTTCGTTTGAGCCACGCAACAAGCACCACTATTCACTCAGGCGTTACCGACTGAATCCAACTAAAAACATCGTGATAAGCATTTCAAATTCTTTCGCTTTTTTGTTTCCGTTGCGATGAACCGATGCGGATTATATCCGTTGTCGCCAAACACGAGCACATAATATTATTATTGAGACAGGGCGGTACTCAAACTTCTAAAGGGCTATAACTTTGTTACTTTAATTTTACCAGAAAAATTTTAAAGGAAAAAACATTTATATAACTCGGCGGTCGGGAGATGGAGGAGAGTACATATTACACCAGAGCAGAACGGAGTGGAGTATAGAGGAAATTGATATAACATTCTATGGGATTTTGGTAATTAGCTACTGAGATATAAGGTGTTTTGTCTAGAAAAACCCCCCACTTCGGCAACCCCTCAGTCGGCCATTTTGAAATTTGGAGTGCTGAATTTTGTATAAAAAAAAACTTACACACCTCAGCTTTTATCTTATTTATTACTTTTTCGAATTTTTATTTTTGCTCATACAGGGTGGTCAAAAACGCAAATTGTACCTTTTCTCAAAAATTTCAAACACATCACCCTGTATATTTTTGCAAGTTTGGATTCAATTTTTTGTAAGCTTTTTTTTAGTAAGTATGAAGTTTGATTCAGATAAAATCACTAGATTTTGAGTTATTAAGCTTTTAATAGTACAACACACCAAAATTAAGACAAAAAATCACATCATCCATGGAAACAAAAGACAAACGGTGGGCTAGTTCCATATTGCCACTAAGAGTACAGATTTGAGATAAAAACTAATAACAATCAGAACAGTATAATTCAGCTTCAAGCGTAATAGAGAAAAACAACTACAAGAACAACATAAACAAACAACTATCACTACTCAAGACCTGATCTACAAAAACTGCTCGAAAATACATCCACCATGTTGAATACCCAGCCGTAGTCTTTGGATAATGACTGTTGCACATCCCTCAGCATGTGTTCCCTTATGTTCAGAAAAGCATCCTTAATCCTTTCCTTCATATTTTCCGGGGTAGATGGTGGATATGTATAAACCTCTTGCTTAACGTAGCCCCATAGAAAGAAGTCCATCGGTATCATATCTGGTGGTCTAAAGAGGCCAAGATATAGGCCCATCAGGTGTCCAAATATTTGGATTATGATAATGCGCTGGTGCGCCGTCACGTTGGAAGTACATATGCATCCGAGTTTGCAGGTTGACATCCTCCAGAAGCAAAGGCAAATGCTCGATCAAAAAATTCAAGTATTCAGTACCTGTTAATCTGTTGTCTAAAAAGAAAGACCCGATAACTTGTCTGACAATAACTCCTCCCAAACATTCAAGCTCCATTTATTTTGTAAATCTATTTGCCTAACCCAGTATCGTCGCATAATAGTGCATGTTATGCCTGTTGACAACACCTATGCTGTTAAAAGTTGCTTCATCGCTAAAAAGAACCTTAACCAGGAAAGTAGTCTTCACTCACTTTATTTAGCATTATTCGACTAAACTCCATTCGAGCTGCGAAGTCCTGAGGATGAAGGTCTTGATACAAGCATAGGTGATATGCAAGGTACCTATACCTGTGAGTAACCCTTTGGCAGAAGTTCTGCATATATCAGTTTCTGCTCCAATTTGCAATGCACTTAAATAGGGATTTTCCTGCAGCTTTAATAGAACCTCCAACTGATTCGCCACATTGGTGACACTTGAATTTTTTATACATTTTTTACTATATTCCACTGCCTGATTCAAAACGTTCTCATAGTGTGGAAAATGTTTCCGGCCTTGGATGTCGCATATTAGGGTACCGTTGCTTATAAATGCGAGATGCTAGGAAACTATTTCTTTGGGCTTCACCCAAAACGAACACCATATTCACAATTTCTTCTTTAGAAAAATGCATTTTCAAACACGTTTTTATTATAATGCTCACAAAGCTAATTTTGACAGTTGGTAACTAAGAAACAATTTATTTGTTTCCGAGGATGATGCGGTATTTTAGGGAATTAAGCCGTTCCTTAAAAGACGTGCTAATAACCGAACAAATAGCCGTAAAAACCTGTATGTGTCTAGCTTATAAAAAACTGAATCCAATCTTGCACAAATATGCAGGGTGATGCATTTGAAATTCTTGAGAAAAACTACAATTTACGTTATTGACCACCCTGTATGAGCAAAAATTAAAATTCGAAAAAGTAACATTTGAGGTGTGTAAGTTTTTTTTGATACAAAATGCAGCACTCCAAATTTCAAAATGGCGGACTGTGGAGTTGCCGAAGTGGGGGGTTTTTCTAGACAAAACACCTTATATTATCTCAGTAGCTAATGGTAGGTATGTTATATCAGTTTTCTTCTTCTGAATTGGTTTATCCAAATATGCAATAAAATTTAAGGCATTCCATTTAAAAAATCACGACTTTGATATGTAGGTCAAAATTGGGACACCCTGTATAATTGCCAATATTTTAGAAATGTGCCCTCAAATTTCATGTATAACATCCCATAAATAGATTTTTCCCAAATTGCATTTGTTTATTAGTACTATTCCGTCCAGACATGGATGGGCCACCCTGTATATGGTTACACTCAATTTTTGCTTTTCTAAAAAAATCACGTGATCACTGACATAGTTTACGCTGGTTTACGCCAGGTTATTGCAGAATTTGCAGACAGGCCAGATGTGGGTACATCTACGTTTGACAATTTCAAAATAGGTTTGCAGCCGATATAGTACAATACGACCGAAAGTAATAATAATAAATAAACATGCAAACTCACCGATAGGCGCCATCCTAGGAATTACTGTCCAACGTTTTCTATGATTGTCTATGCACTAGCTAATGTTTATAAACCGAACACGAGAAAAACGGAAAAAGTTGTTATCACTATCGTGTTCTCTAATAACCCGGCAGTCCAATATAACAGCATAATGCAAAAGCACTTGTTGATAAACGTTTTACGGATGAACGTTTTTAGAAAATCTAAAAAACCGAGCAATGCAAATACATGACACCGGCACCCCGGCACGCGAACAACCGACAATGGAGTAGGGGACAGTATAGATACAAACGTACAAATCACAGCCAACTTCAATTATTGTGAGACGGTGTGACGTTACTGTATCTATGTTGTCTGGCCGTGAGGCAGGACCGTCGTAAGGGGGATACAGCTGATGTGTTATATTTTTTGACATCTTTCATAAGAAATCTCAAAATAATATTTGCAAAACTTTCGTCTCCCCATTGCGTTGTTAGAAGAGGATGAAACTCGGTACAATAAGGTAAATTGGAGCGCTGAATACGAATCTGATGGGAAATAAATCGTGGATGGCTGCGTCCGCATTTGAAGTAGAAAATGGATAGTTTGCTCATTGGAAACCTCCAAAGAATTATGGGACCTTGTAGGGCAAAATTTTCGTTTGCTTTTCCCGTCATTACAAGCCAGAGAGAATTTTTGTTTGTTTGTTTAAGATTATGATAAAAAATGACGTAGAGTAGGTTGATTCTACACTTTCTACGCAGCGCTTTCATCATTGGCGTAGATAAATTTCCAATTATATTCTACCCTCAACATTTGGATTTCAGAAGCGATGAGATATATGAAATCGGTAAATGGGCACAACTATGAAAAGATCAGTTTTTTTTAAACTGGTTTCTTATCATTTCAGTGTATGACTGTATACATTTTTGTAGTCAAAATCATAATACTCTGCTCATCTGTACATGAATCCATTATGGCATCAGTCAGAAAAAATGACATTGGTGATGGAAGACAAGATATTGAAATTCAGCTTATCCCACCTTAAATGGTAAAAAGGAAAAAGTAGTAACGTCAGTGCTCAATTAATCCTTGTATTATTTATTCCTCAAAAAAAATACAGGAAAGACGCGAATTCCGGAAAATTCTGTTTTTTCCATTTCTGGAAATCGGAATTTCGAAACTTCCATTTTGGTAATTTCATAAATTCGCAACCATACCCCCATTTAGCCGATGTCACATATCCGTTTCGGGGTCTGAATGGTGAGGGTTGGTATAAAAACATTCATAAAAATACATAACAAATTGTTGGATGTTTTATTTATAAAAAATCCATTTCTTAGTATCACAATCGTACACGACGGAACTTTGAAAATTCAATCAGCTAGTGCTACCTTCCACATTCTAAAAAATTTCATTCAAGTCATTAACTACAATAAATGATTTATAAAAGTGATTAACAACAATTTGAAGCTTAGAAAAAAGTATTTTTATCAACTAGTTAGTGCCGAATTAGCTAAAAAGGCATTTTAGTGGTTTAGGCAATACGCAAACTTCAGCTTTACAAGAAAATGATAACACTTTGGACTATACGATATCTGTACTTAGTTCAAACAGCAAAAAAATAAATTGCCCTATCACCCAAAGATCCACCTCATTTGAGAAAAAAAATGTAATAACCTGTCTTGCAAACAAATTACATAAAAAGTTTTAGGGAATGATAACGATGGATTTTTTATTTTGGATAAATAAGAGAAGAAATGCATTTTTAAATACAAGCTTTTGTCACTAGATTAAACTAAAAATTTTAAAATATTTTTATCTATTTTATTAATATGACTCTTTACTTTATTAAATAAATTATAAAATTTCGATAGACATAAATCATATACCTAACGATAAATCGTTATTCTGCGTCGACCCCCATATGGGATTTAGAATGACGTCTTTTTGCTTATCATGTTTCTTTCATCAAACCTTTATCCTCATTTCTATATGAGTGACTATGGAAATCATAAATCGCAGCGGTCACCAAAATGGACTTAGAATTACGTAATTTTAATTGTTATGTTTCTGTCACCAAGTCCTCTTATTTGATGCCTATATATCATAGGGGTGACTAGGAAAATACTTGGATTTAGACATCACCTTGCTTATTGTGTTGCCTTTTCATTTGATACCCGTACCATAAGCGTTACTATAGAAACAATAAATGTCCATTTTGTAGCATCCACGATGTTGGACCCAAAATGGTGGCAATTAGTTTTTTTTGTGTATTGTCACACGAACCTAACGTGTCTACAAACTTTCAACTGCTTATCTGGTAAAAAATTAAACCCAATATTTGTCCCTCTCTAACAAATAGGTCAAGTGAAATTAAAGGTTGTAAAAAGGATGTCAACGTTCGTATATCTCCACATTTATTTTTTATAGGAAAATGGATAACGGTGAATCTCAAATAAAAGCCTTTGTTCTGCTTGAAATTCAAAAAAAATATGATTCACAAATTCTGAACGTTTAATACAAATATCCAATAGTTAATTTTTCTAAAAAATGGCCATTTTTAACGGGCTATCCAACGATTTTGGACCAATTAAATGGCTTCATATTGAGCGTATTCTCTTGCTTGAAATCGTATTGAAACAGATACAAGATATTTGTACAGTAACTATTTAAAAAAGCGTCGCCAGGGGACATTTTTGCCTTATAACCAATTAGAAGTCCACTGATAAAAAATACATTCATAACGAAAAAATTAACTTTTTTTGTCGAAAAAACTTCCTTTCTAAAAGAAATCACCTCAAAGTCAGCCATCAACGTCGCAATTAATCCCATGTATGTTTTAACTCTTGTCCTCTTATGTTATGCATTTTCGGGTAAAAAAAAGGTACAAATCTTCGTGTGTTATGCTCTTCTGAATACTCAACATTTTTTTATGTTAAATAGATTGTCACTTAGGTTCACTTCAACAGGTCACAGTGTGCTTCTATTTGTATATTGCCTAAATCTATAAGAACAAATTCAAAATACGCACCATGCAAGAGTTATTGAATTATATTTAACAGTGTTCCAAAAACTTCTTCTTGCACTCTCATCACTTTTGAGCTTCGACTAATATTTCAACAATTTCAACGATACGATCAGTTTTTCAACTTGTAACACTCTAGCTAAGATTGACACAATTAGGCCGGATTGCTGACTTTAGCACTTCTTCTCTTGCTCAGTTGTTTCCAGAATCTTCTATCCAGCTGTTTATCCTGGAAAGATCAAGAACGTCACCATTTGTAACATCGATTTTAATGAAATTTGTGACCGAATCTCCTTAAGGCTCCCCATTACCCAGCTCGACTCATATCGTGACCGATATCGTTATTTTTGAATACCTGTGATATCTGATATCGTTGCTTTTTGATATCAGTGATTTTAAAGTATGACGCGATAATGACTTTCGAATAGCGATAAGATAATGAGCACCTTGTTTTGTCCCTCAGTATAATTATAAAAAGAGGAGACAGACAAGGTTAATAAGATTAGAGAGTTATAAAAGATGAACCCAATAACATGGTGTCTACAAAACAACAGATGGTGTTTAAGCACGATTGCTCTCATTTAATCGGAAATAAATGCGTTGTTGCTACTTAGATAATCTTTTTTGGATGGACTCATTGACCATCACTTGAGGTGAACGCATTTTTTCAAATTTACCTTTGTATGAACATTTATTCGTGGTGGGGATGTTAGAATAGAATTTTATTGTTCTTTTTGATCATAACGTAATGATAGACGACAAGTGAAAAGCAGTAAGCTACATTAACAGTGACACATATTGACAAATATAGTATAAAAAACAGTTAACACATAATAGGGACAAAGATGACATTGACAAATTTCATGAATTTTTTTCCGGTGCCATGAATTGCGTACTTTCTGATCTACCCTCGTATTCACGTTTTCTCGAATACGCTAAATTTTAGATTAATCATTAACTACAGTTCCGATATTCTAAAACTGGGATAGTGCCCTGTTCTATATATTATTTTGTCCCCTATAAAAAAGAGTCTCGAATCCTCAAGCAAACCTGATATTTTTATGACATAGCACAGTCATTTTTGTTGCCATGTGTTACACACAGAAATAGACGGAGAATGATATTTTTCGTTTCCGTATTAGAATTTATAATGAATGAAATGATCTAAATCACTTTTTAAGCCTTGTGGTAGCACTGGACGATATTCAGGACATCAGGAATGCGTTATGAGACAGAACTAATAGGTTCAGGGATTTGCAGGGGAAAAACAACATGCCAAAGTCGCGTATCGAGGCACTGGCTTGTCACACAAGCCTCTTGGTATTTTCTTCACTGAGCTACCCAGGTGAGTGTTTCAGTCTATAGTATTGTCTCCACACTCTAAACAGGAGGCTGGAGCCCGAGGAGTTGCTGAACTAGAGAGGCAGGTAGTTCGCGATTTATTGACCCCGAGGAAATAGCATTACACAAGTACTGTAAACACTTAAAATATGGCTAATATGTTCCTAAATTTTGTCATTCAAGTACTCCCTTAGGCTATAGTATGTCTTCCCTATTAAAATTTCGACGAACTTTTGTTGCATTCAAAAAGACACTTGCAAATGTAATTGGTAAATCGCTTCAGTTATTACCCTGAGTCTTCTGGGCGAAGTCGGCTTTGTTGATAGCAGATCGGGAGTTGCACTGGAGCTGGATTCACCCTTATGGAAGAACTGAAGATACTGCCTGCCTTCTGGAAATGATTCGTATATTCTCCTTTCCGGTTTCCTGACATTGAAGAATTCAAAACTGAAACAAAATTGATGATGACATAATATCAATTTCGCAGGTCTGAAGATTATACGTCTGATTTATTGTGCCTGAACTGGTCTATACCATGATGATGATGATGATGATGATGATGGTGATGATGATGATGATGATGATGATGATGATGATGATGGGGATGATGATGATGATGATGGTGATGATGATGATGATGATAATGATGATGATGATGGTGATGGTATAATGGAATGTGATACGTTACTCCAAGAAGCATGGTCAAATGATGTCAAAACAGGACTCACATTTTAATGCTTTTTGATCTGGGTACTCGTTCAATGCTGACGAACTTCGCTGCCGGCTTGAACCGATTGAAGAAGAATGCTTCTCCCTGCTGCAACAAGTCTTCTTCTGCTGCTTCGACTATACGCCTAAAAATGACAAATTTAACGTAAATGTCAGATCACACTAACCACCGTGAAACCAGTTCTATACAGTTGCTTTATGCTTGGAGCTAAGCTATACATTTTCAAATTAGCACCTCACCACTTTGAATGTCCCTCTCGACTTTACTTTTCACTTAGTACAAAGGTTCATAAGGCCAACTCCCAAAAAATGAGAAAATTTGACTTTCTCATACTTTCTGGTTATTTCGAGCAATTGTTGAGATATAGGTTGTTCAAAAATTTATTATATTATTATAACTTGTAATGACAAGAGGTAAAACTGGCCAATAGTGAACATGAATTTGACCTTGACTGTTACTTTGAAGGTTACGGTCAAGGTTAAGTCATTTTTCAAGTGGGTACCCTGTTTAGCAACGATGTGACTTATTTTGACTAGCTGACTTTTTGGGCCCCGAAATCCATGTTCACAATTGGCCAGTCTGGAATAAATCAACAACAGCATGTTCTAAATACTTCCTCTCTGTCAAGATTATATCCCAACTTTCAATAGGCCCTAATTGGGCGGCTTCTGGAATCTAAAGGAGGTCGGACAGGGTTTCCTCACCATAACCTTCAAATGTTGCGTTTCAGAAATGCCAAGGACTAGGTTTCCCGAGTTGTCCATTTTTTTCGTGAAAAGTAAGATGTACCACATTTGAAAACTTATGCGACTTTCACCATGTCAAGGACAAATCTTTGATCACCATTATCCAGACTGTAGTGTTTACCTTCTTCTGTGGGGAATTTGTGGCTGCGATTTTTTCAAAGTTAATTTAGCAGATAGCCATTTTCCATAAAAAACTTGTTTTTTATTTTAATTAATACCTAACTTACGAGGGCCACTCGATACGACCTTACGAAAACGTAGCGGATATCCGACACTCCTTCGGAAGCCTTACCTGTAACTCTCCGCTCGATGTATCCGCACCATCGCCTCCTCCTGATTCAGCTCTTCTACCCTCTGAACCCCCTCGGCATTCCCCGCTGCTGTTTCCGGTGAGTTGGGAGGCGTTCCCGGGGGAGTCTCGCTGCCTCCGGTTGCGGAGGAGCCGTCGGTGGTGTCTCCTTCTTGCGCGTCTGCCGCTGTGTTTGCCGCTCCCGCAGCAACAGCCGAACATGTGTCAGCAACAGCGCCAGTGGTGAGTAACCTGCCCTACCTCGCACAAACCATACACATACTCAATGGCATTATTCAATTTCAAGTAAATGGTAACATCTTCAACCATAGGCGATTCCACACAGAAATTTAAGGGGGGCTTCTGAGTGCGAGGGGGTTGGCAATAGAAAATGGAAGAGCGCGTGAGGGTGTATAAAAAATAATAGTGAATGTCCTGCGTATTAATCTTTTTCCAGTGATTCTTTTGATTTTAATAGTAAAAAAATACATGGAGTAAACGCTTGAAAAGGCTATCCGTGTGCGCGGGATTACTAAAATATACTAAGTGACATATAAATCCGAACACCCAGTTTAATAGGTTTTATTTTAATAAAATTTTGTATAAGTACTTAATGAAGCATAATAAGTAAATTATAAAAATTTCAAAATGATTGTACTGCTTTAAAGCCCTTTGGCCTTTAATAATGTGTGGATGCACCCTGATGTGCTACGCATTCTCCAAAGCACCTAGGCATGCTTCTGATCAGGTGGTCAATGTCCTCCTGTGGTATCTCATTCCAGGCAACCACCAACTCCTCTCGAAGTGCTTCTAGAGTCTGAGGAGGACTTTGCAAATTGAACAATCTCCTACCCATCATATCCCACACGTGCTCAATTGGGGATAAGTCGGGAGATCTTGGTGGCCATGGTAACAATGTGACATCATTATGTTGAAAGAAGTCTATTGTGACTCTTGCAACATGTGGTCGGGCATTATCTTGTTGGAAAGTTGGATCTGCCAGGGTGTCAAGATAGGGTAAAAGATGGGGTTCTAGAACTTCGTGGATATAACGCTGCGCGTTCATGTTACCTCTGATGAAGATTATAGGTGACCTGGAACCATAAGCTTTAGCACCCCAAACCATAACTCCAACAGTGTGATGAACATGTCTTTCAACAAAAAACTGTGGATTCCTCCTTTCACCACGTCGCCTTCTAACCCTGGCACAACCATCGTGCATGCCTAAACAAAATTGAGACTCGTCACTAAAGACTATACTGTTCCATTCCTGATCCCAGAGTGACCGTTGTCTGCACCACTCAAGGCAATTACGTCGGTGTTCTCGAGTTAAAGGGAGGAGCCAGTGTGGCCGGTATGAAAACAAGCCAAAACTTCTCATTCGTCGGTAAACACTTCGCATGCCAATAGGTCTTCCGTGTTCTGCAAACCATTCATTTGCAATGGACCTGGTAGTGGAGAAACGGTCCCTCAAGGCCAATAATCTTAGGCGGCGATCTTCACGGTCTATTGTTCTACGGCGGCGTCCAGTGCCCCTTGCTTTTTGCGTACGGCCTTCTCGAAGCCATGCCTGACAACACCTAACCACAGTGTCTACACTTCTTTGCACTCTAACTGCAATTGCCCGAAAACAAAGTCCAGCTTCCCGAAGTCCCACTATACGGCCCCTATCAAACTCACTAAGTTGACGAAATCGTACAGGTCTCCGTACTCTAGGCATCGTAACCGATCGTAAAGGATGTCAAGAACCAAAATCCGCCAACGTTGATTCATTACTGCGGCTGAAATATTCATTTTTAGAGCGTTAGTGATTTAAAAAAAAGCAGTATAAAAACCGGAATGTCCAACTGATAAGGCTGAAATTTTTTTCACTTGTTATTTACAGTAAGATAAATACATTCACCAACTTTTATTAAAATAAAACCATGTAAACTGGGTGTTCGGATTTATATGTCACTTAGTATATCATTAACTGTACAATTTACAAGATTTTAAACATGTAATTACATGACCCAACAATGTTTACTCGTACATAAATTTATGTTACATGATACAAATGATATTTAGATAGAAGTCTTTTAAATCTGTGGTGCGACATAATTTCTTTGAGATTATGCATAAGTTAGTTAAATATTTTGGGCTCAAGATGAGTAAAACACAACAACAACAATTTTTCGTGCTCTCGGAATAATCAGTTTGAATTCGTTACTTCTGTATTATACGCTGATCAGATTGATATGGACAATTTTTGCCCAAATAACTTTTAACAATTTTGGATTATCTCAACTTGCTTCATAAGGTTATTTGATCCAATAATTCCATATAATAGGAGGGACTGCGCTAAGGCATAGCTTACAGATGTAAGTTGTGACGTCCTTTTAGAATTTTAAATTTTGTTATAAGGTATCGAAGCTTGTTCGCTAGATTTTTAATTTGTTCATCCTATCTGAAATGGCAACCAATATTCATTCTTAAATATTTCATACTTCTTTCATAATTTCACAAAATCACAAAAACTGTAATTTGGGAGATCTGAACTACACGAGGTGAATGGTATAAACTAGGTCTATTTGCAATTTAGTGTAAGTTGTTTACTATTCAAGAATTTTAATACTTTTCCAAAATTATCCTCAATGGAAATTTTTAAATCGTTCCAATTGTTACCTTGCTAAAATATGGCTGTATCATTTGCAGAACTGATGATTCCTCCCACATCTGCCGTATTTAGGATTCCATTTACGTATACCGTAAACAAAAGAGGTCCCAACACTGTACCTTGTGGGACCGCGCATGTTATTATTTTTTCGGTAGTACTGACATCAACTACAGGGTCTAAACGTTATGGTAGTCATTATTGAAATGGGTAATAGGGGTGGTCAAAACAAGTCAAAAAGTTCATATGACCCATGGTCCAAAAGTCAATAGATTTTTGTCTAAATGGCTTTATAGTTTACAATTTTAAGTGCTTTATATCGACCACAATCACCACAATCTTACTAATTTTTATAATCTAATCTAAAACGTTTTCAAATTGGGTAATTAACAAATAAATGGCATTAAGTTTTTCTAAGTTAAGCCAAAATTTGTAGTCAGTAAGTAAGTTTCATTAAATTGAATATTTAAAACACACATGACAACAGCGCTTCGGCCATCATCACTCTTATCAAACCGGCAATCGATCGCAAACGGTAACAGTGGTCAGTATGTTGTTTTGTTTTTGTTCGCGTACGTGGTCGCGATAAAATTTTTTATGCGGCTGAAATAATAAATGGACAACTTCGAGGATCTAGAGTTAGAAGGAACTGGGTTCGTCGTAATGAAGCTTGTGTGGAAAGTGGAGGATGACATTTTGACCACCTTCTTTAAATACAAAAAAGTGCAGTGTGGGTTTTAAAAAGAAAAACAATGTATGTATCAAAATTGTGTTCCCTATTTATAAGTGGATTTTTTTAATACGTTCAATAAACTTTCACACACTAGGTGAAGCGCTGAAACAGTTAGTGGTAAGTCCGTTTTTCTAATTGTTTGCATTTTACGAGTACATTATCAAGTAATGAAATAATACCTAAGAGCCAAAAATAACAAACTCTATCTTTATTTACAATGCGTTCCGTCGAAATTTGCGTCTGGCATTGCGGCGTTGTCAGATTTTATTTTACTTTAAAGTCGCTTTTCATTTAAATAATGACTTTCATAACGTTTACACCCTGTATAACAACCTTCTGACGGCTTGATGAATAGCTTTCAAACAGATCATGGCGTATACCTCTAACACATATTTTCAAGTGTCTTAAGCAACTCTTGATGATTCATAGTATCAAACTCCTTAACAGATCAAGAAAAACACATATTGCAGTCTTTGCATTATCCATTGCATGATTGATGAGCTTAGTTAAGCGCTTGTCTTCCTGTCTATCAGAGGTTGCGTTGTGTTGGATGACGTTTTTCTAGACGTCTCTTAGGTATTTTTTCAAGAACCTTTGATACACTTTGAAAGCAAAACACTTCTGGAGACGACTCCTGAAGCTCTGAACAGATCATTTACACAATTCGCTCTCTTAGCTCTAATGAGTTGTAAGGAAGATACCTAAGGAGAGAAAGAAGTCGCAGATGATCAAATCTGTGGAAACATTTCTATCAAAACGTTCATTGAATGTTGGGCTGGGTAAACTGTTGTTCCATCCTCTGATCCCTGCTTCTCATCGAGCTCTTCCAATTTGGGTTGAGACACAGCCTAACATCCAACGTTCAATAAATACCCGTATTTTGAGAGAAATGTTTCCAGCACGTTTCGTCTCGTTGAAAGGTTATGTGGGGTGGCCTGCGCGGTTACCAGATTTGAACATCTGCACCTTCTTTCTCTAGAGATATCTAAAGAAAAAGGTGCTATAGCATCCTCCACTCACCCTTTTAGAGCTAGACAGCGAATTATTGAAGATATGTGTAAACGAACTATCCAGAGCTTCAGAGTCGTCTCCAACAATGTTAGGTGCAAGCGTCCGCTAACTTTAAGACCTTAGTTTCAAAACTTAATAGATGTAAGATGGTAAAAGCTAAAAACATTGTTTAACATGGCTCGGTCTACCGCACCTTGTATAAGTAAATTCTAGGAAATGGACAAAAATTCAGTTGTTTTATTTTCTCCTACCTGTTCACTATTAGTCCCCGATGGTTCGGTGGTGCTTCCATCCGAAGACGAAGAAGTTTCGCTTCCTTCCTCTTCAATGAGGGGTTCCAAGGTCCTGCGGGGCAGCAATCCTCTCATCACTGCTCCAGTGATCGGAGGTGTCATCAACAGTTCGTCCATCATCAACTCTGTGTCATCGGCGTAGTCCGAGTTCACTGAACCTTCGTTAGGCTGAATCAAGATGTATACGTAATCTATCAAATATTTACCCCAGAAACTTGGCACCCACGCATTTTTGGGAAAAACAATTTGTCGATGCCATCAAATATGACCTAGGCATTGACGTAGAGGTCAATTGGAGGTCAAGTTTGTAAATTCAAATAGCAGCCACCATTTTTGACAGCACGCGGTCATATGTTCAATCAGCATGAGCTACCGGAATGTCTGAGAAGTACACGACCACGCATTTTTTTAAAAAGAGATTCCAAGAAAAGCTTTAGGATGACTTGTAAGCAATTTGCTTTTTTGATATCCTAAAGCTTTTCTTAGAGCCCTTTTTTCTAAAAATGCGTGTCTGCTAAGTTTTTGGGGTATTCGGGTTTAAGAATGAATGATTGTCCCTGTACTTCTCACGCATTTCTGGACAAACAGAAACAAGAAATATCAAAATGTTGCAGAAATACACACGCATACATAATGTTAATTAAATATCGCTACTTCGCACAGTTTGCTATAAAAACAATGCTCAACCACTGCTTCTAATCAGTTGATGAGTACGTTGATGTTACATCACTCGGATAGTTAATGAATTAGAGCCGTTTTACACACAAGAGAATTATTCCGAAAATTATGGTCATAATTATGCCGAAAATTTTTGCTGTCGTATTACACGTAAAAGATTTCTTGTGAAAATTTTCATGGTAAAAATATATATAAATAGAATATGCGCGAAAATCGGCGCAGAGGGTTATTTCCGTGCATGTCATTATCAAATTTCAACGTCAACAACATAACCTTGCTTAACATTTGTGGGTGTGGTCCTGTTCGAGTCGTACGAAGAAGCGTTTATTGTTATTGTTGATTCATAATGTCGTGGAATCGGGAAGAAGTTACACTGTTGTTGGAGGAGTACCAAAAATGGCCAAACCTGTACAAGGTAAAGTCACCCAATTACAAAAACAGAAATTTGCGGCGTCAGGCGCTGGATGCGATAGTCCAAGCATTGAGAAGTTTTATAATATTGACCAAGATCTCGATTTCAAAAATAAATTTAAATCAACGACGTCTGTTGTCTTTCCATTATATTGGACGTCATACTCGTTAACGTTATCTCCATTCGAAAATATTACTCTAATGCGCAGGCGTATCATATGAATTACTCGGAAATTTTGTTTGCTTGTGTCATACAGGTTGTAGAGAAAATCTTCAATATTTTTCCATGCAAATTTTCGGCATAATTATGATTATAATTATTATAATTTTCGGCTCTGAGTTTGTAAGACCTCACATGTGCATTGTATATACACAATGTGGTCAATAAATGGTATGATATGATGTTATTATTATTATTGTTATTATTATTATTATTCCTAGCTTTGTATAAACCAAACTGCAGAGTCGTTACCGATTGTCTATCTTCATAAGGTGAAAGGTTATCATCCATTTCGCCACTTGTTGGTGTGCCCCAGATCTCTTCTCCAGATGTACCACCTGACGTTTCTTCTTCCTGTTGCTCTTCTCCATTTAATGGATTGTCGGGAGACTTGAGGTATCTGGAAGCAATATAGCTGAATAACTACCTTGTGGCATTCTTTCAAAATAATTTATGTCGAAAGTCAGTGCGCTAAAATACTATTTTGGCCTCACTGTCCATACTAAACTACACAAGAGTAACTATTTTGGCTTGTTTCTTTTATTCACCTGTCAAAAAATCCCCCCGTCCTGTAATCTTCCCCCAGTTTCTCAAAGAAGGCCATCTTTTCAGCGACGAAAGTCCCGGCTCTGATGGTCCAATGCCTGATTGACGTTTGATAAAAGGCTTCGTTATCGACGCCTCCATCATCTTCATCTTCTTCATCATCATCCTCGCTTTCCTCGTCATCTTCTTCTTTTGACTCATCTTCTTGGACGTTTTCTTCGTCCCGTTCGTCGGAACCTACACGTTCAAGACTGGACACCGTTCCAAACCTGGAAGGTTATAGCGAATTTAGAATGATCTGACGAAACCTTCTGTCCATAAGGTGGAGAGGTACGTATGCTGAAGAAAAAACTGATTGGCGTTTCTACTGTCAGCGAACTTTTGGGAGTGTTTTCATCTCTTGATTCGATTCGTTAGTTGTTTCTATGTGACCTTCGACTAGTGACTCACTTGCAATGTGCAAGATAAGACATAAGTGAATGTGAATTATTTCCGGCTGAATACTGTGTGTTCAGATGTGATCGTGACTTTATTCGATCTGGCCTAGTTTCCGGCGGAGGAGTCCTGATAGCCATAAAACGCGATTTCCATGCAATTAGAATTGACGCTAGTGCTTTGAGTCGAAACTTTCCGTCGATTGATACTGTATGTATTAGGCTTATTATTAACCATGAGCATTTTGTTATCTTTTCTATTTATATTCCGCCTTCAATTAATTTGGACATGTTTGGTCAGTACCTTGAAGCTTTGGAAGTATTTAACAATGCATTCAGTAATTGTAAAATAATTGTTGCTGGTGACTTTACTGTCACATCATTCAACCGTAACGTTAATGATCAGAAGTCTCAATTAATGAGCAACTTTATTTCGTTTTTAGATTTAACTAATTTTAATAATATTTCAAATATAAATGGTCGAATACTGGATTTAATTTTACGAAATATCGAAATAGAAGTCCTCAGAGATAATACACCTTCTGTTAAACAGGACGTTCATCATCCTGCACTGATCATGGAATTCATTACATCCGGATCTCCAACGAAATTCCCATTTGATAATTCTCCACGGTTTAACTTTCGCAAAACTAACTTTCCTGAAATGTACACAGCCTTGCAAGATTTTAATTGGACGGAGGTGATCAGTGCAGTTAATGTTGATGTCGCTTGTACTGCCTTGTATTCAGTTATCGATAGTATCTTTGAGGTCCATGTCCCTAAATGTAAAAATAAAATGTTTTCGTATCCCCCATGGTTCACACGTGAAATTATACTTAATATCAAGAAGAAGGACATAGCAAGAAGGAACTGGAAATGTGACAGTACTAAGTTTTCTTATGATCAGTTCAGTAATTTTAGAAAGCTCATTAAGAACCAGATCAGTGTTGCCTACTCCGCTTACGTCCAATCGGTTGAGGATGCCATTGTCAATGATCCTAGCAAATTCTGGTCATTTGCCCAGATCAAAAAACAGCAATCTAGAATCCCCCCAAGGATGACGCTTAACGGCAATGTCTGCGATACGCCTCAGGATATAGTGGATAGTTTTGCTACCTTCTTTTCAACAGTTTTTATCCCGTCTGGTCTACTAGGGTCATCTCCTCCAACAAATAATTCTACCGATATCATTTCTTTAAAAAATATAAGTGAAGAAAACGTAATTAGGGCTTCGAAAAGATTAAAGAACAAAATGACGTCTGGATGTGATGGTATTCCAAGTTTTTTCGTTAAAGATTGCATTCATATACTAGCGAAACCGCTGGCTTCCATATTCAACCTAATTCTAAAATCAGAGACATATCCACATATCTGGAAGACCTCTAAAATATGTCCTATTCACAAAAGTGGAGATATCTCTGATATTTCCAAGTATCGCCAAATAGCAATCCTGTGCAATTTCAGCAAGTTGTTTGAGATCATCGCTTATGAAACGGTTTACTGCTCGGTCAGGGCAGTCTCTATTAATCAGCATGGGCTTATGAGAGGCAGATCTACGGTCACCAACTTGGCTCTAATTACTCAGTACATTTCTGAAGTACTGGACGGTCAGGGACAAGTTGATGTCATCTACACAGATATTCAGAAGGCGTTTGATCAAGTTGATCATTATGCACTTCTGGATAAGCTTAAAACAGTGGGTATGTCTGATGCAATGCTGTCGCTCATGAATTCATATTTGAGGGATAGAAGGTTATTTGTCGAATATGGTGGTCATAGGTCGAGTTACTATCGGGCCACGTCTGACGTACCTCAAGGGTCAAATCTAGGTCCATTATTGTTTTTAATATTTATTAATGACTTGTCTTTTGAACTGAAGTGTTTCCATTTGTTTTTCGCTGATGACCTTAAAATCTGCAAGATGTTGCAAGATGACTTAGCTCTAATTTCGAAATGTAAACTTATGACTTATACATGAAAAGTTAACTATTTAATTTATGATAATTATAACATCAATGGTCAGGTTATAGACAGATGCACCTCTTATAGAGACCTTGGAGTCATTTTTGATACCAAGCTAACGTTTACTGAGCATATACTCAATATCTCGTCGGCTGCCACTCGACTACTTGGTTTCTGTATCAGAAACTGGAAGGGTTTCTCCAATGATGATACATTAATGACTTTATTTTTTACTTTTGTCAGGAGCAAGTTGGAGTATGCGACTCTGATCTGGTCTCCTATATACCAAAATTCTGTAGTCATCCTTGAGGCCAATCAACGTAAAGCTTTAAAGTGTTTTCACCTTAAATGCACAGGTTTTTATCCAGAAAGAGGTTGTGACCATAGTGCCCTATTAGAGTTTTTCAATTTGGATTCACTGTCAACAAGACGAAAGATATTTGCTTTGTCGTTTTTGTATGGCCTCATTCACAATAAAATTGACTGTCAAAAAGTGCTTGAAAAAATATGTTTCCGCGTTCCAAGGCTAGGGAGTCGACAACAAACGGCATTCTATTGTCAAGCTGGCCGTACAAATGTTATGACAAAATCGCCAATTAATCTCATGTGCTGCGTCATGAACAGTGTTACTGAATCGTGTCGTATTTACAGTGACAGTTGTGCATCGATTAACTGCTATAGATCATCCAATCTTATTTAGAATGTGTGATACTATAGATTTAAGTCCAAGAACCATGTACCTTTAATTGTTATTTTTTTCAGCGTTTCCTGTAATTGGGTATCACCTGTTGGAAATAAATAAATAAATAAATAAATAAATAACAAATACTAAATAATAAATAATAAATAATAAATAATAGATAATAAATAATAAATAATAAATAATAAATAATAAATAATAAATAATAAATAATAAATAATAAATAATAAATAATAAATAATAAATAATAAATAATAAATAATAAATAATAAATAATAAATAATAAATAATAAATAATAAATAATAAATAATAAATAATAAATAATAAATAATAAATAATAAATAATAAATAATAAATAATAAATAATAAATAATAAATAATAAATAATAAATAATAAATAATAAATAATAAATAATAAATAATAAATAATAAATAATAAATAATAAATAATAAATAATAAATAATAAATAATAAATAATAAATAATAAATAATAAATAATAAATAATAAATAATAAATAATAAATAATAAATAATAAATAATAAATAATAAATAATAAATAATAAATAATAAATAATAAATAATAAATAATAAATTAATAAATAATAAATAATAAATAATAAATAATAAATAATAAATAATGAGTTCACACCTCAGAGGCACAATGATATTGTTACTTACCTTCGTAATGTTGTTACCGAACTATTAAGTGAATGATAAGGATGCTCTTCAGTTTGAGGTGAATCGTCTGGCGAATTGTCTACTTCATTAGAATATTCCAGATTGATCTAGAAAGGAAATATTAATTTTCATTTATTATAAATGAAGACATTCGGATCTGATGTGTAACTTCAAAGCTTCTCATCTAGAGGTAGCCACTAAGGTAACATGTGCCCTCTTGTGTCTCCTCAGTTTGAATGCGGCACGTATAGGAGTATATAAAAACAGATAATGTGATCCAAATCGCGGTTGTTTGGCCGCCTTATTTAAAAATGGGCAAGTTGTAAAACGATTATTCAACATATCTTCGGCACCAGTGGGCCGATTTTACCTTCTTAAATCTCATAATACTGTTGTTCAAGGACAAACATGTCTCATAGTTTTTGAATAATCGACTAATTGTCAGATATATCAAGGTTCTCAATTTGAACCAATTTATGCAGTTATTCAAACAATAGTAACGGGTGATTTTTTAAGAGGTATAGGATTTGATTTTCAAAAAAAACACAAAAAAATTGAAAAAACGATTAAATCTTTATTTGACTCGATAGAACGGTCGATATAATTTAATATTTAAAGATTATTCCATGTAAATGTTAGCCGCGGCTCCGCAAGGTCCAATTTTGGCACACTCTCTGCAACATATCGGCCGGTATCTCACGAATAAATGCTTCAATATTGGCTTCCAGTGCGTCACTCGTTGCTGGTTTATCCCTGTAGACATTAGCCTCAACATGGCCCCACAAGAAAGAGTCAGCGTTAAATCACACGATCTAGGCGGCCAATTGACGGGCCCCAAACGTGAGATAAACTGTTAACCGAACTCGGCTCTCAATAGGGCCATTGTTTCGTGTGCGGTGTGGCATGTGGCACCGTCTTGTTGAAACCACATGTCAGCCAAGTTAAGCTCTTCCATTTTGGGCAAAAAAAGTTTGTTATCATCGCACGGTAGCGCTCGCCATTCACAGTTACGTTCCGGCCATTGTCGTCTTTGAAGAAGTACGGCCCGATGATGCCACCGGCCCATAATCCACACCAAACAGTGATTGTTTCGGGATGCATTGGTAGCTCTTGCAATGCTTCTGGCTGGTCTTTACTCCAGATGCGGCAATTTTGCTTGTTAACGTACCCAATCAACCAGAAATGAGCTTCGTCGCTGAACACAATTTTTCGATAAAAATGTTTATCTTCCTGCAACTTTGCCAGCGCTCATTCACCAAATTGGAAACGTTGTGGGAGGTCGTGTGGCTTCAATTCTTGCACCAGCTGTATCTTATAAGGTTTTACACTCAAATCCTGTCGCAAAATTTTCCACGTAGTGGAGTAACAGAGGCCAATTGTTGCGAACGGCGGCGAATTGACATTTCACGGTCATCACTAACACTGGCGGATACAGCCGCAATATTTTCTTCAGTCCTCATTCTACGTCTGCGTGTTTGTGGTCCAATAATGTAAACTGGGTTCGAAATTTAGTCACATGCTTCCGAATAGCTCCCTCAGTAGGCCGACCAAATTGCCCATAAATTGGAAGCAGTGCTCGATGCACTCTCTTAACCGAGCATGAATTTTGATAGTAAGATTCAATAATTTGCAAGCGTTGTTCGTTCGTAAATCGATTCATGGTTAAATTGTAGAACAAACTGAACAAGTTTGACAATGACGCAAGACACGATTCACGCGTCATCTGTCAAAAACGCTCTTGCCAAAAAGATACTAGCAAAAAATTTTCGAAAATGAGATTTTGTTTTTTTGGTTGTTACATAACATGTACGTCACGAACAGTTATTTTTTCATAATAACGATCTATTATGAACTGATGACACCGTGGAAAGTACAGAGTCGACCTACTTGTCGCCTTATCGCTATTTTTTAGTAGTAGAAGTTGGTTTTACTGTAGTGTGTAGAAACCGATTTCGCTCAGCAGAAAGCATGGCAATTTCAAATGCTGAGTACACTTATCGCTAATCATTAGACCAAAATTGAAATAACATTGTAAATCTCTCAAAGCCTAGCCTGAGCCAGTAAGGTCACGTGTGAACCAATATGTGCACTTAGTTTAAAACGGGAAATTATTAAGCACCTATAGGAGTATATAAAATAATAGATCACACGATCAAAATCGTGGTCATATTATTTAAAAAAGGCCTTCAAATTATAAAACGGTTGTTCAACATGTGTTTCGTAGTCAGTGGAGCGATTTTGTTTATTAATCCGTTTCTACTCCTTTTTTAAAGATACTTTAAGCATTAAATTAGACCTGAGGTTCAAAATATGTACTTACTGGCACTCTACTACAGCTAGAATTTTGATTACAGTTAACAGTTTGGCACTGGGTTGATTCATCTCTATCGTTCTCAGAACTTGCAGTCTTCGTTGAATTTTCCGGAGTGGCTGGCAACACTGATATCTTAGGAATTAGAGGAACTGAAAACGGATCTATGGTCACATAACTATTTGTGGTGATACCTGAAAAAAAAGACAAACAATTATCTTTAGCAACATTATCTAAATCCAACGCTGGCTCATAGATTGAAATAAAAACGTCCATAGTGTTCATAATGGTTGAAGCCTGCTCCTAGATCGATTCCGCGCTCAGATATAAATGTTACAGTGTTGCCAATCTGGTGGCAAATTTCTTGAGATTTGCTGATTATTCTACATGGATAAAAACCCACTTCTGAGAGCATCCTTGTTGTTTGATACCAAGGGATAAGAAACTACTTACCTGAATGCATCATAGGTTGCCAGTCCCTATCATTCTTCGTTTTTCTGCAGTTTCCTGAGTTTTCAAGCTTTGGACTGGTTTTGTTGCTATTGCAGTCGTTATAATTTTTGATACTACCGTTATTACTAAGGCAATTTTTGTGGCACTGACGACATACTGGTACGGTTTCTGGGAACTGGGGGCTTGACCTTACGGTTACCTGTTGACAAAAAGAAACCTGATATTAGCTTGGTATAATTTTGTAATCCGGTAAGCCCTTTGGTTGTTTTCATGACACTTCAAACTATGCTAAAATATGACTACTTGAAGCAGAAGGTAACCAAAAAGCTTCTGAGTGAAATGGAAGCGGCGATTTTCGAATAAAAATGTACGTCTCCAAACTGAAAAATGGCCCAATGAATAATCCATTGAATTATGCCCCATGTTGAAGAAACAGTTAGTAGTACAAAGCTTTGTGGTGGAATAAGATTGGAAGGTTTTGAATGTGATTGAGATTAACTATTTATTAGCGTATGTTGTATTACGGCGTTCAGAAAATTATCCTAGTTGAAATAAGATACTAGGAGTCATCTATGAAAATTTGTCACAGTTAGTATGCTGCTTCGTTTTTGTTCGCGTACGTCGTCGTGTTTATTTAAAATGTTCTCGAATCATGAGTTCGCCGACATGTTGTTAGTTTACGGTAAAGCTCGTCAGAATTGAAATCTTGCAGCTCAAATGTATTGCAACAGATTTCACCAACGGGTACACCCAGAAGGACATTTGTGCAAGTGTAACAATGACTTCGAGATACAGAAGGTGTTCAGCCCACTAATATTCGCCCTCGTGAAAGACAGGTTACTGTAGAGCAGGAGGACCAAATTTTAAATATCGTGGAAATCAATGCAGGTATCAGCACTCGGGAATTAGGCCGCCGCGTAGGACTATCGTATACCATAGTCCATAGAATCCTACGGGAAAATTTGCTTTATCCCTACTATGTACAACGAGTCCAGACCTTGTTACCAGAAGACTATACTCGCAGACTAACATTCTGTCAGTGGTTTTTGCACAAAAACATTGAAAATCGGGATTTTTTTAAAAACATTCTAGCGGCGGACAAATGTACTTTTACGCGAGAGGGGATATTAAATCTCCATAATACTCACACGTGGACCCAAGAAAATCCTCATACCATCCGTGAAGGTCATTTCCAACAACGTTTTAAAATAAATATTTGGGCGGGTATTCTTGACGATCGGGTAATTGGCCCTTTCGGCTTACCCCCAAAGTTGTCAGGAGAAGGATACCTTAGCATTTTAGCCAATAACCTACCAGAACTTTTGGAACAGACCTTAGACAACATGCCATTACAACGGAGACAGAATTTGTGGTTTCTTCATGACGGGGCACCACCACACATTTTTAGAGGCGTCATTCAGTATTTGAATGAACATTATCCAAATCGCTGGATCGGTCGAAATGCTCCTGATCCTCGAAAATGGCCAGCAAGATCTCCTGACCTCAATCCGATGGATTTCTGGTATTGGGGAGAACAACTGAGGCACAACTTCGCGAAAAAAAATTTAATGCGGCTGAAATAATAAATGGAGGACTTCGAGGACCTAGAGTAAGAAGAAACTGGGTTCGTCGTAATGAAGCTTATGTGGAAAGTGGAGGACTGGCAAAAAAAATTGCGGTCTGAGTGTTAAAAAGAAAAACAATGTATGTATCAAAATTGTGTTCCCTATTTATAAGTTCAATAAACTTTCACACACCAGGTGAAGCGTTGAGACAGTTAGTGGTAAGTCCGTTTTTTTAATTGTTTTAATTTTACGAGTACATTATCAAATAATGAAATAATACCTAAAAGCCAAAAATAACAAACTCCATCTTTATTTACACTGCGTTCCGTCGTAATTTGCGTCTGGCACTGCGGCGTTGTCTGATTTTATTTTACTTTAAAGTCGCTTTTCTCTAAAAAAATGCCGTTTTGACCCCCATGTTATATGAACCTTTTTGCTTCTTTTAGTCTCCTCTATCACCCATTTAAATAATGACTATCATAACGTTTACACCTTCTATAATATCGATAAAAAGATGTGCTCTTATTCGATTTAAACTGCAGTTCACAGAAACCTTCACCATTTTCGGCAAATGACTGGAACACCAGAATTGTATGGAATCTATGCACTTTTATGTTTTTTACAGAATTACGAATTTAATATGAAAAGTCAACAATTGTCAAAATAGGGGCATAGGTCTGATCGACTTGCATCCTGGCTACTGACTGCGTAATTTTGGTTACAAGAAAATGCGACGCTCACAATCCAGTACTTCCCTGCTGGGTGTAAGACTGCTGAGGTCATCATGATTCCAAAGAAGGTGGGTTCGATATTTCCTCAGGATTACCGTCCCATATGTCTGCTGTCAGCTCCTTGTAAGCTCGCCGAAAAGGTGATTTATCGTCACCTTGAGAATTTTTCGTCAAATCACCATGTGATTCCTGACGTCCAATTCGGTTTTCGGTCCGAGCATAGCACCGAGCTACAGGCAGTCAGGCTGGTGGAGCATGTAACCAGAGGGTTCACCCTCAGCATGAGTACTGGCATCTTGCTTTTGGATGTCTCAAAAGCCTTTGACAAGGTGTGGCACGCGGGCCTCCTCTATAAACTAATCCAAAAGGGTTTTCCTTTTTGGCTTCTAAAATTACTGATATCCTTTCTTGAAGGAAGGAAGTTTCGGATCAAAATTAACAATGTTTTGTCAACAACACGGCCAGTACGGGCCGGTGTTCCTCAATGTTCGGTCCTAGGACCAATACTTTATTCGCTTTTCATCCATGATGTCTCTTCCCCCAGCAACTGTGAAGTCTACCTCTATGCTGACGACACTGCACTTGTCGCCCAGTTGTGTACTGGTGATCTGGTTCACGATGGGTTGCAGAATGCGGTGGAAGTTCTAGAGTGGGCGGAACGATGGCTGATAAAAATTAATCATTCGAAAACGCAGGCTATTTATTGTACCAAAAAACGTCGCGGCCCCCCAGCAGAGGTTTCTGTAGACGGAAATCGTGTACCATGGACAAATTCTGCCAAGTATCTCGGTGTCACCCTTGATAAGGGCATGACCTGGCAGAAACATACAGCATCCATAAAAACAAAATTCCAAATTGCGTTTCGGCAACTATATCCTTTGTTATGTAGATCCTCCAAATTCAGTTTGATAAACAAAGTTCGACTATATAAAATGATTATTAGACCAGCCATTACTTATGCATTTGCGGCTTGGTGTTTTACACATGCAAAGTCTTCAAGTACTGCAAAGCAGAACTTTGCGGACAATTAGCAACGCTCCATGGTATGGCTCAAATGAGACACTACACAGAGACCTTGACATTCCTTACTTGAGGGATTATGTCAAGCTTCAGGCGCAGCGACGTTATAGTCAAGCGGAATCGCACAGCAACCCTCTGTTGCGTGACTCAGTGGACTACACAGTGGAGCAAGTTCGTAAACATTCAAGGCCACGGCTCGCACTGTAATCAAAAGTTAGCGTGAATCTTTAGTAAACTCAAAATTACACTCTAACAAAACCGAATAAAAAAAAAACAAAATTTGTTTAGTTCACCTCAAAACCAATCCGTGTACCAAGTCAAAAAGCCTAGGTGTTTCCTCTTAAACTAAGCATATCTGTTTTTCTTTTTTCTTCTCTTTCCCGTTCTCTTTTTCCTTGACTTTGTCTGGTTTCTGGGCAACCAGGACTGACAGATTCGACTAACGTACATCAGACAGTGACTAATGGGCAAAGGTCCTACGGACCGCCCAGACAAATAAATGACGAATAGTAGTAGAAAATCGTATGCCTGCTCATTCTACCAATTACGAATTAGTTGGCTGTGACAAATTCTCATTGGTGACGCCGTTTCATCTCGGATTCCGAAATATACTACACAGTACATGTCGAATACGTTAATTAATGTTAATTAACAATACATAACGAAAAATAATAATTATAATAGTGCCGATGACTATAAATGAATGCAAGCCAGTGTCACCAACCTGACTCTCGGTTGTAGTGCTCTTGGACGGACTATGATCGGACAGAATGATTTCCTCTTCACACCTGCTCTCACCTCTATTGACCTCCTTACATGTCACGTTACCTTCCTTGTCGATAAGCTGCAACTCCTCGGACCTCTTGCGCAACTGCTCTTCGGTCCATTCTTCGTCAATGGAGTCCATCTCGGGGGCATCTGGGAACTGCTCGGACTCCAGTTGGCCCTGTAATTTTAATGGGGACTCTATAAGCATGGATGAATGGAATCTGTAACAAAAATCTTCATAGGAATCCACGATAAACATAAACGAGATCAGATACATTTAGAATGATTTCGGGTTTGATAGATAGATAGATAGATACATTTATTATCTTGTAGATCATAAAAAATGACATAAGACTCGTCCTAAGAGGGAGGTACATAGTACACATAATTAAAAATAAAAACGAAACAAACATAAGTATTTACAAAGTACAAACAGGGACAACTTAAGGCGTACAGACATTCACATATAAAAAAAGTTTAAAAAAATATATCACCGTGCGAGGTATTCAGACAAAGAGTAGAAACATTTTTCAACTAATAATTTTCGTAGTTTACATTTAAAACTAGCAATACTACTGACATTCCTGAGGTTAGCTGAAAGTTTGTTATATATTCTGATGCAGGTGTATTCCGGTGACTTTTAGAACAGCGTCAGTGTGTGTTTTGGAATACTCAGACTCTCACCTGCCCTTGTATTATAATGTGTGTTGATGTTTTTATTCTGTATAAATTTTGTTTTGTTTGTATGTGTGAAAAGGGCGCACTTATAAATATGAATGCTTGGTAGTGTCATGATGTTTTTACTTCTGAAGATATCTCTGCAGGATTCTCTTCTACGAATGTTGAATATCAATCTGATTATTCTCTTCTGTTGAACAAATGCTCTAGAAATTGAAGTTGCTTGTCCCCAAATTATGATGTTCCTTGATAAATGTGAGTGGACAAGAGCATAATATACATCTAGTAAAGCTGACTCTGATAAGCAAAACTTGAGCGTAAGAATCGCATAGTATGATTGGTTCAACTTTTTACACACACTGTCCATGTGTTGTTGCCAGCTGAGCTTTGCATCCATTTCTATTCCCAAGAATGTCGTAGTTTTCGATGTCTCATGATTTGCTAGAATAGGGGCGTTTGTATAAAAATGTACAACATCTGAGTTTTCGAGGTTTAAAATCAAACGATTTGCCTGGCACCACCCTTTCATTTCACCCTTGGTTTCAGCGACCCAAAATACGTACGTTAATGGCCATTTGAACCGCACTCGAGGCATTTTAATTTCCAGCGACCATGTACCTAATGATAGGCCATCATGACAAGAGCGCATTCCTGATCCAAAAAGTAGAAAACTCCTTTTAAATGTGTCCTAAAAATCTGGTTTTCAAGATACAGTGTCAGTGTTTGAAAAGATTGTTCTTTTACTAATATCCCAACTTGTTCGTGAGAGTTGCCACTGCAAATCACAATTATGTTCCAGCTAGAGTCAACTTAACATCAAATTGCAGAGGACAACACTTGCAAAATACAACAAAAATGAAGCAAATATTTTTGATCTAATAATAATGAGAACATTTCTTTAAATATTGACACTCTGTATTTTGGAAAACAGACTTCTTAGTCAATTTTCGCATTATTACTTGAATTTGATTCAGGATTTCCTATCATTACGTAACACCCTATATAAGGTTATCAAGTTGGAAAAATGGTCAACGGTACGTCAGTCAGAAATGAAAGCCCAACTATGCATCTAATACGTTCTTAGGTACCTGAAAACCGACTCAGGTGGTCCTCAAGGGGCGCGATTAATAATTGAATGCTATCCAATTTTAAAAAAGTCATCATTATAATTCATATTTCACGGGGTACAACGTCTCTAGACTTGTTTTGATATCGCTAGTGGCACTGGGTGTTTCAGTTTATTGTTGCATAACTTTAAGATTCGATAGAACATTTAAAATGATGCATAAAGTCTATATAAACATGGGTCGAAAAATGCGTATCTTCCGAAATACAGGGTGTTTAAATTTACTTTCTAAAATAGTTTTTTTAAATATTTCGAACAATATTTGATGTATAATATTGAAAATTGGTATACAAGGGTTTTTTGGTACGACAAAACGAACCATGGGCATAGTTTTACCGTAGCCGCTAGAGGGCGCTCTCTACTGTACCTGTAGGGTATTAAAATGACCAAAAAATTTTTCTTAGTGCAATTTTTTGCTTTTTGAATAAAAAAACTAATTCTTCGCACCTTTCAACATAAAAAAGCTCTCTTGTGAATTTTCGTTATATTAAGCCGTTTTTGAGATATTTCGATTTCTAAGGTTCGATGCACTTTTAATTATTTATGATAAAATAACGTTAAAAAGTCAGTATCTCGATAATTTTTAGAAGTAGGCTGCGCCTGCAAATATTTTTGAAACTGAAAGCAGAATAAGGTTAAACGTCAATTAGTTGACAGTTAGTTTTGTTGTCTGTTGAAACCTGAAACGTTTTTTTGCAATTGTGAATGCACGAAATTTAGTTTCTTTTACCTGTTTTTTTTTGTAAGTTTTATAAAAATGCCATTTTTATTCTCCAATCAAGAGTTAGCGGATATTCATTTTGTGTATGACTTTGTAAATGGAAACGCAGCAGAAGCAGCCAGAGAATACGCACGAAGATTTCTAAACAGACGACATCCAACTCGCTCAGTATTTGTAAGAGTCCATCGCCAAATAATTGAAAATGGTTTTGGAAATCTCCAAAGGGATCAAAACATAAATGTTCGTCAGCGCAGATTTACCCGTATGATTCTGCGTGAGTTTGACAGAGATCCGACCACAAGTGTTAGGAGAGTTTCTGGTGCCTTGGGAATTTCAGCAAGCCATGTTCACCGTGTTCTTAGAAATGACCATAGACGTCCTTACCATTTGCAACCTGTGCAAGGACTACAGCCAGGGGACGGAGAACGAAGAATCACATTTTGTCAGTGGATTCTTGATAGAACTGATAATAATAGGGAGTTTTTAAGTAACGTTTTATGGACCGATGAGTCATGCTTCACTAGACGTGGAGTGGTAAATTTTCATAATCAACATATTTGGTCGCATGAAAATCCGCATGCAGTTCGGGAAAGAAATTTTCAGCATGAATTTAGTGTGAACGTGTGGATTGGTATTTACCGTAATCGACTATTTGGACCCTACCTTTTGCCTGCCAGGTTAAATGCTGCGACCTTCTTGGAATTTTTAAAGGCAGAACATGCAAATATGTGGGATGATGTTATGTTAGATTTAAGAAGATTGGCCTGGTTCCAGCTTGATGGTTGTCCAGCTCATTATTCAAGAATAGTTAGAAACTGGCTGGACGAAAATTATCCAGAAAGATGGATCGGCCGTGGAGGACCAGTCGCCTGGCCTCCACGATCCCCTGACCTAAATCCATTAGATTTCTGTGTGTGGGAATTTCTAAAAGAAAAAGTGTACCAGACTCCCGTAACCACAAGAGATATGCTAATAGACAGAATCAGGAATGCATGTGATGAAATAATGCCTTATTTAATTAAAGCTATATCACGTTCTTTCATTCGTAGATGTGAATTGTGCATTGAACAATTGGGTTTACGTTTCGAGCAACTACTTTAGATTTTGTATGCTTGTCCTAACTATCCAATAGCATTTTAGTTGTAAATAATTAATTTAATTTGTTAAAAATAATATTGGAAAATTAAACAAATTAATATTCTGTTTTTTGTGTTTATTTGGAGTTAGGAATTATTGCTATGTTTAAAAAAACAATCTAAACGATCATCTTAATTACTTTTAATGCCCAAATCGAAAATGTAAAAAAAAATATTATTTTCCCATGAATAATTAAAACTGCATCGAATCTTAAAAATCGGAATATCTCAAAAACGGCTAACTATAACGAAAACTCACAGAAGAGCTTTTTTATGCAGAAAAATGCGAAGAATCACTTTTTTTATTCAAAAAGCAAAAAATTGCACTAAGAAAAAATTTTCGGTCATTTTAATACACTACAGCTACAGTAGAGAGCGCCCTCTAGCGGCTACAGTAAAACTATGCCCATGGTTCGTTTTGTCGTACCAAAAACCCTTGTATACCAAGTTTCACTGTTATACATCAAATATTATTTGAAATATTTAAAAAAAAAACTATTTTAGAAAGTAAATTTAAACACCCTGTATTTCGGAAGCCACGCATTGTTCGACCCATGTTTATATAGACTTTATGCATTCATTTTAAAAGTTCTATCGAATCTTAAAGTTATGCAACAATAAACTGAAATACCCTGTATATTGAAGTTTTATAATAGCTGATTTTAATCGAAAATTTCAGCTTTGCAGTTAATATTCTACGGGCAACAGCTTGAATGGTTTGATAAATTTTTAAATTGCAACTTAAATCATGCAACCTTCAACTTTGAAATTTAAATTTCACAGGCTACAGTCCAAACAGTTTGTTGAATTTTGAAATTTGAGGTGTCCTTAGATTCGTCATGATGGCAAAATTGATTCTTCATTCTTTACAGTTATCGTAGCCGGTTTTTTTTAATGTATATGTCTTTTTGGGCGTGAGCGTATTGGAGGGAAGGGAGGGGTAGAGGGCAGCACATGTCCAACGTTAATTAATTAGTTTGAAAACAAAAAACACACACCACTCGTTGCTTACGAAACGGACTCTATTACGTATATTTTACTTCTCAAGCGGAAGCCAGCGGGGTATATGCCTCCCTTACTCACCCCTAATGGGTACGCATGTCCAACAGTGTTTTTAGTCTGAAGCAGCTGTACCAGGACACCGCTGCTGCTATAAGGATCCCAAATAAATTTCCTAGCTTTTTCCCAGCAGTTGCCGCTATTGACGAGATGTGTTCGTGCCTGATCAGGTTCTCGGTGATCTGGACTCCGACCAGCCGAAATGAATGGCTTTTTGGCAGAAGTCGGCCATCCACCGAAACCGGATGAGCGCTAGGACGCTTCTTGTTCGTCAAAGTACAGTTCTGTGTTTTGGAAGCGTTGAAATGAACAAGATTGTTGCATCCCCAAGCAGTGATAGCCTCCAGGTCTTTTGTCAGAGAGGAAGTCGTCGCTAGTCTTCTTTTTTCCAGCTCAGCGGCAGAGATCGGCTTGTCACTCGGAATTCCTGCATGTAGAGTGCTATCATCCGCGAAGCTGTGGATTGGGTTGATCGTGCAGGAAAGGAGGTCGTTGATATGTAAGAGAAACAGTGCCAAACAAAGTTCATTATAGGCATCGAAATCTCCGAAGAGAAGTACCTCTGAAGCGGGGTGATTGATGTTGAATGTCTAGTTTCCGAGGTATCGACAGGAATTCGAATTATCAATAAATTGCAAAAATTCATATCTCATATGTGGGTATAAATGTTGTTATACGCTGCACCTACCTTCATCCACCTCTCAAGATGGATAGCGTTATACCGATTACTGCAGTTGGAGGACCTACGCAGCTGTTTGCACTTGTGCTCGATGATGAGGTCCAGCTGCCTCTGAGCCTCACTGGCGGGGCACGTGGGAGGTTGGGGGGTCTGCAAGGAGAGTTGACCGATTAGAGGTATACGGGGAAACTTGCTGGAAGTACGCACCTTTATCTTCAGTTTTCGTAGCGTATCATATACAATGCAATTTTGATTGGTTGTAATAGTGACGGTACACAGATTTTGCTTTTGAATTTTTTTTATGCCCTGCCCTTCCCAAATCTAAGAAAATAAAAATCTTCGTCTTGGGCTCTAAAAAATCGTTTTTTTCGTGGAAATATCGTAGGCCGCTTAAAGGTAAACAATTGCCTTCGTTGTACTTCCCATATTGGATATGGCTTTCTTCCAATTTTCGAAAATTGCTTCTTATTTTTGAAACCCTGCGGGGCTTACGCTGAAACACGAGAGATTTGACAACTCTGGATGATAACCTTTTTGCTTACCAACAACTGTTATTATTGCTATTACCACAAAACTATTCGTTTACCCCTGATTACCCTTGTAATTCGACGGAAAAATACCTAATTAACATACCTAATATCAAGGTAATGCAGGTTTATACATATATCTGTTGTCTCTTTGTTGAGTAAAATTTCAGGTTTCTGCAATTTCGGTTTTCGTCATTTTTTGCCCCTTAGTTCCGCTGCCACTGGATCGATTTTCAACAACTATAAAGCATAGTAGTAACCTTGAGTGACATTTTCATCTGAATCAGAGTCGGAGCAAGGATTAGCGGATAGACCGGCATGCAGTCAGTCTAACTGAAATAAGTGACATGTTTTTTTGTGATGTACATGTCATATAACATCCAAAAAACAAATTATTTAATTTTCAAAATGTTTCGCGATTGCAATATTTTCTAGCGATTGGGCCACCATTTCTTGTACAAAGTCAGTAAAAAATGACACTGAAAAGTACAGAGCCTTTGCTACATCCGGTAAATTTTACACTCTATTCTAAATGTATTTTTGTTGTGAACAATCAAATCAAAAGGTGCAGTAGGAAATTATTTGCTAATGGTAGGTCTAGAATTGGAAATGCTCTGGGCAGCTTTTATAAGAGAGTAGCGAAAGCTCATTTAGCACCGATAGCTTGATGCAAAACGTAATGTTATGACAATATTTTAACATTGAACTGAGATTCATTGTTGTGGACCAAATCAAACGATATTACAAATAAGCTGTGCAGAAATCTGTGTACTTTGCGTATTATTAAAACTGTATATGCTTGAAAATGTAAAACTAGCATATTAAGGATTCCTAAAAATACTAAATCTCACTTCACTAAGTCGAATGTCGTACTATCAAGTGCAAACTTCAAGCAAGTCACCCTGTATATAGCTGTCAATCAAAAGCATCTATTTAGAAATCAATATACAACATCAACAAAACCCAAGGCTAATATGTTTGTTGGTCTTTCCGGGGAAAATATGGAATCTTTTGGGCTTCTTAAGTATTGTGCTTCTTAGCTTAAAATGAGAAAATATCCATATATGTTGATGATGTATGTTGATCTCGATCTACAGCAGGCAAAAAGGTAGAAGGAAAAGCGCAATGTCATAACTCAAATACTTTATTTGCAAATATATAAAGTACATCTCTCCGAGTAACAATATAATAATCTCTAATAAAAAATAAAACCTATCAAGTTTCAAATTCAGACTCTAAATAATTCTATTTCATAAAGGTACTTATAAGAGATAGGCAGTCAGTTGAATAAACTTGTGTACACAAATGCTTGGTTGTAATTATTAGTAACACTGACAACACCTATTTACTGAGGTTAAAAAGATAAGGAAGTAACTTTATGGTACCATATTTTACCTGCTTTTTCATGTAAGTGATCCAGTTATCCTTAACTAATGTAATTAGTATAGTTTTTTAGTATTTCTGGCCAATTTAGTTAACGCAAAAAAGTTGCCAATTCAAAAGCTTAGAGTATTTCTGTCTATAAATATATAGCGTATCCTACGGCAGATTCAGAATTTTCAGTTTAAAGTAGAGAAATACCACTCGTTTTAGGAAAAATGTTTTTGAAAATAAACCAAAGAAATTCCGGATTTCAGTTTTAATAGTTACGTTATCATCAATCATGGAATTAGTTCATTACATTTCGCATAACGGTGAAGCAAGCAGGTTCAATATCGCTTACTGTCAAATCAGTTACATTTCTTGGTAGGTGGATGGTACTGAGTGTAAAAAATGTGAGGGCCGCACTGTATGAGCAGATATTAACTGAGAAGAGGTCAAAAAATAATAATCCGGATCTTACCGGGCCACATGGTGGTCGATTCTTTTTAATCCCCTCCCCACTTAAATTTTTACAAAAAAAAAGTTTTTTCATTCAGACGTTTTCCGAGCTATAGGCCATGCAATGTCTGAAAAACCCTAAAATGCTCATCGCCAATGATTAAAAGCTCTTTTTTGAGGTTGCTAAGTTGAAGCTAAATCCTTTCCCAACAAAACCCTAAAGTGTATTTTGCAATTAGTTTATTTTAAAGCGCTTTTTAATCTAGTTTGTTAGGCCTGAAATGGCGTCATTCGTTAAGAGCTGATGTACCAGGGGATCCAGTAATAAACGACGCCGGCTATACATCAACAACGCCTTGACCTACAGACATCTGTTAAAAAATTTCATAACAAAAGTGGCCAAGGAGACTGTTATCAGCTTTCGAAAATGGCCGCTAGGGGGCGTATTTTCAGTTTCAAAAATTCAAACGCCATTACTTTGCAAAAATGCGTGATTAACTGATTTAATAATTCTATGTTGATTGATTTTCGAAACCCTTTTCAACGACTTTTTTCCATATTTTGCTTCGTTCAAGGTGGGTTAAGAGTTGAGTGTCATTTCAGAAGCATCAGCGCTCCTATTCAAGGCTCCATCTTGTCAAATTAGTTCACTTCGTGGCCACTAAGTAGCGTTTTATCGATATGTCACTGTTTTTTCGAATTTAATCTTTATACTTTATTGATATTGCTTGGAAAGGGCATAAGAAAACCTAAATAATGGCGAAGAACGGAAATCAGTATATTTATTCGTTAAGGAGATATAACGGAAAATATGCTTAAATTACAATTTTCAGGTACGATTTCATAAAAAGAAACATTCAAGTTATGAATAGTTATGTAAAATGTATCAGTATGATACGGTTTCGAAATATTGAACTTTAACTTTAAATTAATTTCTACGCTTTTTATAATCGATAGAGCTCATAAGTGTCGTCTGGTATATGAAAAAGACATTCTAATTATACCTCATATTAATTTCAACTCAGCTGGCGCTGTAATATGAAAAATTCAGGAAATACACACTTATACACACTTGATACACACTTGATTTATTTAGATCTTTTAGGGGTGTCAATTCTGTCATATAGCTGTAGCTCATAAAAAGCGTAATGATAAAATCAGGGCAGGGCAAGATTCGGATTATTATTCTTCGACTTCTTCTCGGTTGGTGTCTGTTCATAAAGTGCGGCCCTCACATTTTGCACACTCAATTCCTTCTCACTGGTGTATGGAGTATTGACGTAAACTTCTCTTCACAGAACGTCCATTGGGGCAAAATTTGCTGCTAGCAATACACGCAATTTTGTAACTGATAATGTGAGAGGTAGCTACGATAAGACTGTAAATGATATCCAGTTATTTTATGCTCTAATTTGAAAAAACATCAGGTATGCATATAGTTTGCGGATGTAGTTTCAACAAGATGGAGTAACTCGCCATAGAGCAAGTGCCAACATCAAACAACTTGGTGATCTATTTGTGCAAAGATCTCATGGCCAACACGATCGTCACATTTGACCCTGAGGACTTCTGCGTAATATTTAAAAAGAAAATGGAATATCCACAGCTTCTCCTATAGTTCTAATAAAAACATTTTTCTACAAAATGTATGGTATTTCGTTAAGTTGGACCATCTTGGGCATCTTAAATCCGCCGTGGGATACCCTGTACTTTTGGATCATTTTTTCGACATACGAAAATGTACCACTACTCCACTTTTCATCGTTTTATCGTAATAGAACAAGTGATTTTATCAGCCAAAGATGTGCTTTCACCTATTTTGACAATCTCGCTATCAACAGTTCTAATAATGATGAATGTGTCACGTAGTCGCAAGACTCGGTTAAGAATTTTGGAAGTACCTAGTCAAACATGAATAAGCACCGAATTTCTGTCCATAACAGTAGTATCGTATCGATAATATAGTACAAAATCTAATGATTACCAAAAAGTAATTACTAACAAAAATTGTATGATAAGTAAGCTCAGCACTAGTCAGTTCTCAGCAGTAAGCCACTTTTTTATGTACTAGTAAAATCATTAGTTCAAACCTGAGCATTATTCAAACTATTGAAAAAGACAAATTCTATTAATTTGCAGTTTATAACGCATCAATGGATAGAAAAAAAATTGGTTGTCCAAATTGTTTTGTAATAACTTTATAAGAATACACACATCTACTATGGTAGATTAAGGTAGTAGGTATATTAGAAAATTGGCAGTTGTTCAGTATATCAAGTTACCATGACGTTGAATGATTTACACATATGAATTCTACTACTTTTTCTAGATATCCTAAGCAACTAAAAGTGTCTATCAGTGTTTAGTACATACAAACCTCTCAACCTGTCAACAAATAAATTGGATAGGATTGGTGAGGTCATATAGTTGTATAGTTATGGGTGGTCATTAAGCACAACATCAATAAAGATGAGCCATACCCACTAGATATATGTTTTATAAACCGGAATGTCTTGATGGCTTAAGAAAAGAATCTGGAGTTGAGTTAAGAACAATCAAAGCCTGTGATAATTTCACAATAATATAGTGCTAATACTGGTATTGAGTATACGGATGCTCATGACAAGAGTTTTGTAATGAAACAGTAAATTCGTAATACAAAAGAGAATCGCTACAAAAGTCGGTGATCTGAGAAGAAGTGAGGACTCAAAATTCTTTCAAAAATATAAAAGTCTGTCCGAATATCGTATTATTGTGCAAACACATTTCTTTGTTCGTAAGCTTATTCGTTAACCTAAATCAAGATGCAAGTAAATTGTTCAAAAAATGTCATAGAACATAATATCTATAGATACCTTGTTTGAGAATGTCTATTTCATGCCATACTAAGAAAATACTGCGTGGTAATAGATCTTATTGATATATCAATCCATTTTTTAGTCACAATGGAATGAAATTTCATTAAAAACAGGTACACACTGTGTTCCACCATCAAACTGCTACAATTTTATCTTTACTTATTATCCTTCACTTTTCTGGGATAATCCATCGATATTTAAACAACTAAGATCGTAATTGAACTGAGTAATGTCCCACGGCTCTTCAGCCTTTAAAAACTTAATATCATCGCAATGATCATCAGAATTTGAACAGATTTCAGTACTTGGCGTCAAAATAGCTGAAGGAGTTGGGGCGTGAGAAGATAAGCTATGCTTAGGAACTAAACTCACTTCAGAATTAAAGTGTGATGTGAAAACTTGACTTATTTCTGAAGATGATTGAGATATATTGGCACTGGGCGTATCAGGAGTTTTATCGATTAGAATATGCTTATTTCTCATGAAGTCTGAGGTAAAGGCTTGGCTAGCTTGAGAGGAAGAACTAGAGGAGATTCTAGCTCTAGACACAACGGAAAGGTGGTTAGAAGACAACACTTCCGAAGATGCATAAGATGAGATTCTGGTAGTATGACCTTCATACGTTTTGTCAGGATAGGTGTGGTGTCTGAGGTAACGAGTAGGAGTGGGAGTGTCAATGTTGAGGTCAGCTCGACGCACCTGTCGACGTACCGCCGAGAGTGACTCAGTAGAATGCAGGGTCACTATCGAAGAGGTGATGGGCACTTCGGGAGACTCCAAGGGCGAGTTTGGCGAGCTGCCGTCCATGTTGCTGGTTGCTTGGTAGCTGCTTGCGCAAATTCAAAAGCTACACTAATCTATTTTCGGACTACTCTAATCTAGTAATCCAGGATATAGCAACATTTACACAAGCGAGGCGGGTTACGATTTGTAGATGCTTAGTGGAATAGGAAATTACAAGTCATTGTACCTGACATCACTGGTGTCACTTTATGACCTGTGCTATTATATAGTTGTAGTGACCGTTCTTGAAGGCTACGTCATCAACGCTATATGAAATAAGTAAACAGACCGAGTCTACGTACCATGGACGGATCTTAATCTTCAGCTGCTACCCTCTCCAGTACGCATAAAGTGGGTTCTTAAGAGCTGCTGTTTTCATTCACTTCCTGGAAATACTCTAATAAATTTAGCACGTGCTGACGGCCTTCTCCATTGATCGTATTTCCGGGCACTGTACAATTTTATATTGAAGATTGATAACAGGACAACTTAAATTGAACGCTGATGTCAAGTGAGTTGTCACTCTGACAAATATGATTGAAGGGCACTCATACGTAACGACCAAGTATTCGTAAAACACGTATGTTTTTGAGATTACCGAATAAACGTACATACACAGGAGTAGGTTGCAAGTGTATGTATGAGGACGATGGAGATAATATACAGCGATACTGATAGTCTTACTTTGGCCCGCCAAGAACGGTGACGACAACTATAGCACAGGATATGTAGTAAATCGACCTCAACCAGATTAAAAAGTACTTTTTATCAAGCAGAATATGTTAAAATAATGCCGTAATAGCTTGCCTTGGTCAAGGGTAAGCTAATTAAAAAAATAGGTATATTACTTTCAGTATCACACCGATTTGCTCTGTAACTTATAGTTAACCTGTCGTTTGTCTTGTTTTTGGTTCGTATACATCTCGGTGCCTTTTGAATTATAAATACCATTCAAAAATTAGTAGCCTTTAGCTACACGTAAAAACAAGGGTGGTACTATACAATTCCTGACAGATCTACTAGTTTTTGCTGAGATCTTGCCGCACTTGCACCTCAGAAAACCTACTCTGTTAAGAAAAATACATATTTATGTCATCGAAAGGAACCAACAAGACCTAAGTTCTGTGATAATCATTATTTGAATCTTCAATTTAACATAGCTATGACCTAACACCGATACCTTATAAACATATTTCATCTGGTAGGTACTTCGGTGAACGTAGTTCTTACTATGAATTATGGTCTACTATGGCTCAAAAATCAAGTCCAACCCTGGTTGTCCGATACGGTTTCGGAATTTAGACAAAAAGCTTTTCATATGAACTTCCGTTTCAGGATTTGTGTTACCATGCATTATAAGTCATGTCATGCATGTAGAAGACACTACAAAAATTGAACAACTTAAAGACGATGTTTTTGCCATTTCCACTATGGCTCTTACATTCTTGTTGACAATAACGTCCCTTTACCCCTAATCTTCAAACCGCAACCTGCCTAGTAAACTATCGGGTTAAATATTTTTTATTAAGGATTTCACTGTCAACGGACTTCGCTTTTTTCCTGGATTACATTCTAGCTCTAGCTGCTATAGGAATGCTTTTAGATTTCTTCTTGTACATACGTTGTAAAGTTGCGATTTTCGAATACTTGACCCGTCTGAAACTTGCAACTTTTGGTCTATTTTCTTCGTTAATGAACTAGCTCTAAGCCTGTCACTTTTTTTGCTAATCCACTGAATAATTCTTCTAGAATAATAACGTATATGCTAGGTTATTCTATGCTAGTTATAATTTCTAGCTTTTCTAAACTGATCTAGTAAAACGGTTATGAATGGAGTCTAAAAGCCATGTTCTTGTTTTAAAATAGCAGTACTATAATCATTACAAAAATGGAATAAGAAAACTTGATATCAGATAGATAGGTAATGTTGGATTTAGAAGAAAATCATCAATGTCGCCCATTGAATTTTCCCCAACTGATTGTTTTTCCCTCCCATAAAACAGTGATTTGGAGTGCATTTTGACAATATTATTCATTTTATTCTTCTATTTCCAACACTATTTTCTATAATCAGTATTTCCTCTAAAGCATGCCATTCACTACAAGAACTTACATCTGCTTCTGGAGCAAGTTCTGCCATACTGCTTTCAGTTCAGGTGTGGGCGCCCTTAGGGCTAGGACCGTCTTTCTACCTGCACCCTTTCTTGGGGTCCGGCTCAGATCCGGACCACAATGGGCTGTAGGGCTGCTGGCCTTTTTCCCTTCGGGGTTGATTGTCAGACGGAACTCCGTGTCTGGAAAGTATTGTAAACTAGACTGAGGTCGGCTTTTGCTTAATGTGAAGGAGATTGTTTTCGAAGAAAGAAATGCAATATTCAAAGTAATGCAATAGTTACTTCGGAAATATACGTTTCTAATCCAACATTATAATGCAACATTAAATTAATCAATTTCAATGTTTTGCTTTTGTATGTCCTCGACAGAAAGTACAGTGCTCACTTGAAAATTCATTCAACCTCAAAATGACCTTTAAAGTGATAGTCAGGTTCTTTGGCAAGAATATCATTGAACTTAAAATTATCTGGAATGCATTTTAGAAATTAAAAGTAGATGTTTCCAGTTAAAAATTCATTTGATCTTCAAATCACCTCGATGGCCATAGTCAAGATGGAAATACTCTTCATATTGCCGGTGGTAAAAATAGGATTTTCTATTTAAGAAAACTCTCTTGACCTTCAAATAATCTTGAAGGTCAAGGTTAAAGTCACATTCAAGGTCATTATTATATAAATACTTTCAAACCTTACAACTTCATAAGACAACATGTTTCTCTATGAAGCGGATCTTTCGATATATTTTGTCCTTTTCAGACTTTCTGGATACCTTCAAATACACATGCAGATAATTTTCAATGTAATACATTTTAACAAAAAACTCCCCGCTCTTTCAATTTCCAACGGCAAAACGAGAGGTTTAACTTAAGACTACTGCTTTTACCTTCAAATGACCTTGAAGGTCATAGTCAAGGTCACGTTCAAGATCACCAATGGATTAATCTTATGAAATCTTATAACTTTATTTTATAGCACTTTTTTCTAAGAAGCCTATTTTTCAAGATATTTTGATTTATGCATACTTGTATATTTTCGGCTGACAGACATTCACATGTCTATAAATAGATACGAGTACGAGTAGATGGTAGTCGTATGAATGATAGTAATAATATACAGGGTGTTCCTTAATGATATGTGAATATTTAAGGGTGTGAATCTACATCAAAAATTAATGTTAATTTGCTTTATAAACTATGGTCCAAAAATGTTTCCTTACAAAAACTCGGAGTATTGAAGTTTTAGGACAAAAATGGAAACTAATCAATATTTCGAGAACCGCTTCAGATATTTCACTGATATTTAGTACGTACTGAAAGTTAAAAAAGTTGCATATTTTTCAATGTAAAAATAATTTTTAGCTTTAACACTGGCGTGACGCGTACGGGTATTGACTTCGATATTTTTTAAGAAAAAAATGGTATGACAATAGTTTTTTGCCAAATAAAAATTATTTTTGAATTCCCCGTTCAATTTAAAACAAATGATCTGTCCTGAACTGTTTTCCTTCGATGCGCCATTTATGATTAAAAAAATAAAAACCGTTCTATTGTCTAACCTGCAAAATTATTATTAATTTAATTGGAAAAATTAAACTCATTAGAGGTAATGAACAACAACAACTGACAACATAAACATAACATTAAAACCAACGAAATGATTACCAAAATTGTTGAAAATGGCCCCCTTCACCTACTATGCATGCTTCCGCCCTCCTTCTCATGGAATTGCGCAACTATTCTTTCTCTTAATTCGTCTACCGTGTTAATGGGACTTGTGTACCAAGTGTCTTAAGATCTAAACTGTTGAGGTCTGGGGACCTTGGTCGCCATTCTTGGGGCCCACCTCGGCCAATCCAACGATTTGGATAAACAGTTTGTAAATAATTACGAACCGCTACACTGAGATGCGTTGGTGCACCATCATGCATGTAACACATATTGTTTCTTATTACTAACGGAACATCATCAAGCAGCAAAGACAACTGTTGTTGAAGAAAATTGACGTAAGTTTGTAAGTGGTTACCAATAATTCCTGCCCATACGTTAACCGAAACTTGGTGTTGGAAATGGGTTTCGGTTACGGCATAGGGATTTTCTTCTGCCCACAAATGATTATTGTGGAAATTCTGAATGGTATTTCGAGAAAAATTAGCTTCGTCCGTGAATCATTGGTTCAAATTGCGGATTTTGTGTAATTTTTGGAAGATACCAGTGACAAAAGGTCACATGCCTTGGAAAATCAATGCGAAGTAACGCCTGTACTCTTAAAATATGGTAAGAATGTAACTAACAAACAGTTTGATGGCAAATATTTAAGTGTCTAGCGATCCTCCTCGTACTTGTTTCAGGATGTTCTCCGACTTCGTGCTGCACTGCTTCCTCAATTTCAGGTATTCTCACACATAGAGGGCTACCTCCAGATGTTCCTTTTCGGACAGAACCAGTTTCAACAAGACGACGATGAATTTTAGAAAAGGTTCGACTATCTGGCAAAGCACGATCGGGATATCTCTGGTGATAAATCCGTCTGGCTTGCTCACCATTACCGTCGGCAAGACCATATACGTAATGCAATTCTGCCATTTCTGCATTTGAATAATTCACCATCATTAACAAGATTGTAAAAACTAAATAATGAAAAAGATGTCGGCGAACAGATTTGAATAACAAATAGTTGTCAGATATCAAAGGCCAGTGACACATTCCAGAGCAACTATGTAGATATTTATTGCTAAATTGCATTCTTCAATTATTACATTAATTTTCTCGGTCAATAGAACGGTTTTTATTTTTTTACTCAAGAATTCAAAAATAATTTTTGTTTGGCAAAGAACCATTGCCGAATCCTTTCTTTCTTAAAAAATATCGAAGCCAATACCCGTATGCACGCGACTGTTCAAGGTATAAATTATTTTTGCATTGAAAAATATGCAACTTCCGCTACGTATGCAACTTTATTAAATTCCACTACGTACTAAATATCAGTGAAATATCTGAAGCGGTTCTGAAAATATTAATTAATTTTCATTTTTTCCTAAAACTTCAACACCCCGAGTTTTTGTAACGAAACATTTTTGGACCATAAAATAATGTTTTTGAAAATCACTTAAAAAACTTTTATAGGTATGTGTGGCGTTTTTTTCTTGTTTCATATCTATCTGACAGCCTGACATTTCATTTTGGAACACCCTGTATATCTTTTAACAATTTTGTGCATTGATTTTGGATTAACTTTAGATAGTATAAGTATTTACGAGCTTTGAATGCTTACCTTTTTTCCTGACGTTGAAAATAACATCCGATACATTTGCGAGTGGTATAGGTTCTTCGATTACAAAAAGTACCCTATCTCTTGATGCCTTGGCAAAAAGTAAGAGATCGCTGAACAGCAAAGCCCAACATTGCCGGACGTTCTTACCCTCTATTCGAGTCAGATCTCCACCGAAGATCCACTGGCGGCCTGGTTTGTTAAGCACAAACGGCTAGCAAAATGTATTGAAAAAATCAGTATTTGAACAGGATATGGTAAGTTATTGAAGTTGAGAGCGAAAATGGGTCAATCTTGCCATTTTGGCTCCCTATAATAACAGTTCTATAACTTTGACGACGAGTTAAAGTAAGTGGTCTATGTTCTATCAATATGCTTACCTTACATTTTGTAAAAACTAGCCTATTTTCTAAATCTTGTACTGTCAATAAGGGTCTACCCTCTCCTACTGGTTCCATGAGTCCAGAACCGGCAGTTATTTCTCTATATGTTAACTGGAAATAAACATGAAAGCTATTTACTATCTATAAAGGTAGTATTTAAAGCTTTGAATTTTGCTACTTGGGCATAGTAGTAGCAGTTTTCAAAACTAGAAGCGCACATCGATGTATGCATATTTAGAAATAAGATACATTATTAATAGCCCAGAAAAATACTTTTAACCTAACATTACAAAATGAATGGAAATTCAGCCTTGGGTTATTGAAATATTTTTCTCTAGCATGACGAAGAATTCCGCATCCTACCGTAGGCAGGAATTGAAGAATTTTTGAAAAGCTTTTGATTGTTTTGTTACGGTCCTGTAAATATTATAGATATATAAGCATTGTTAAGACAATTCTGTTGCTTGCTAAATAATCTCCAAAAGTTGTCTTTACGATATTCTCACATCTACATTCGTTTACGAGCTTATGCTGGCTTTCTGATTGATGAAATAGTTCTTTGTGTTATTTACTATCATTATTGAAAATTACAAAAGTTAAATAAACGGCCAACTCTTTCTCATCATAATCATAGCGAAAAACTCTTGCAGATTCTTCTTTTGCTATTTGTTGTGGAACAGTTGCACTTTCTAGTAAAGGAAATATAGCAGAACAAAGACGCTTCTATTTACGAGGGATGTCTTTTAAGTTTTGCATATAGAGACATAGTAGGCTGCGCGGATCGAACGTCAGTACTGAATCTTAAACTCACTCTTTAGTTAACTTAAATTCAAAGTTTCACAACAATACGTGCAGTGTTCTCACTACAGTGAATTTTTAAGTGTTACCAAGTCATTAGATAAATAGAACTCAACCGAGAACATTTTCGCGCCATAATTTATTACAACTTTCAGAGACAATTATCGCAACAAGAATGCCTAGCTGAGTTCCTGTCTGCTTTCGGCAACGAAGCGCCACATCAGTCGACAATTTCCCGTTGGTATGGAGAATTCAAACGTAGACGGGTCAGTCTTAGCGACGATTCCAGGGTGGGTGCACCAAAAACAGCAGTCACCCAGGAAAACGTCGATGCTGTGTGAAAACTCATCATTGAAGATAGACATGTGACATATCGCGAGATTGAGGCGTCCTTGAAGATCTCAAAGACCTCAATTCAAAAAATTTTACGTGAAGAATTAGGAGTAAGAAAATAAGTTTCTCGTTGGATACCTCACCTATTGACTGAAGAGCAGAAAGCAGCCATGGTTAATTGGTGTCAAAAAACGCTTAACCGTTTCAATTTCGGAAACTCAAAAAATGTGTACAGCATTGTTGGTAGTGATGAATCGTGGATTCACTGTTACGAACCAGAAAATAAACGACAGTCGGCTGTTTGGGTGTTCCAAGGTGAAGAAAAGCCAACAAAAGTCATCCGTTCTCGAAGTGTTTCGAAAAAGAACAATTCCACTTAATGAGCAAATAACTGTTACTGCGGATTGGTATACCACCATTTGTTTGCCAATAGTCATCACCGAGCTTCGGAAAAGCAACCCCGAAAGAAGAATCATCGTCCACCAAGACAATGCAAGCTCGCACACAGCTCAAAAAACAAGGCAGTATTTAACGGAAGAAAACGTGGAATTATTGGACTGTCCTCCATATAGTCCCGATCTAAGTCCTAATGATTTCTTTACTTTCCCGAAAATTAAATACAGACCGCGTGGTCAAAGGTTCCAGTCACCAGAAGAAGCAGTTGACGCATTCAAAAATGCCGTCTTGGATCTGCCAGCAAACGAGTGGAATAAGTGCTTCAAAAAATGGTTCGAGCGCATGCAGATGTGTATTAATCTTCGTGGATAATACTTCGGAAAACAATAGTCATTTAAAACTACCTACCGTGTTGTTTTATTTCCATATGCAAAACTTAAAAGACATCCCTCGTAGTCACTGTTTTCAACCAATTTTTCTTGGCATTATTTAGCTATATCTTCAACAGAAGTAAATATAAAACATCAATAGTAACAACATGATCAATTGAAAGTATACTTCGTTGAAAGTAATAACCAATTTTGCTTATTAAATAATATTTATAATGCATGAACAAGTACAAAAATCGCATATTTTTTGTAAAAACCGCAAAACTGTTTTTGTTACGAACAGTTTCTGACGAAAATTTGATGATGTACTTGATAATAGTTCCTGACAATATGGTGCCTACTCATATTGTATGTGTAGCACAGGTGAACATAAAAAGAATTCGCAAAGGCTCAGAAAAAAAACATGCGGATTGAAGTCAAAAATAATACCTTCGATAATACACCCCGAAATATAATTACCGGTGTTGCTGCTGTCAGTTATTTTGGTGCAGTGGTAAAATATGGAGTTGTAGACTGAAGCTACCTAGTTCAATTCCTGACTGCAGCAACTATTTAAATCTTTTTTTTCAAGTTGTGTAGTCCGTAAGTGGTAGTGTTGCTAATATTTAAAGATATGATGTATACTATGGCCAAATGGCAACATCAAGATATAAGCAACTGCTCGCTCTCTTATGGACATTGCATATACAGGGTGACTTCGAAGTTGAGTCATTTATTTCAACAGTGAGTAGATCTGATCAAAAGATGTTTTTTTCCTTTAACATTTTTCTGGTAAAATTAAAGTAACAAAGTTATAGCCCTTTAGAAGTTTGAGTACCGCCTTGTCTCAATAATAATATTATGTGCTCGTGTTTGGCAACAACGGATATAATCCGCCTTATCGGCTCATCGCATCGGAAACAAAAAAGCGAAAGAATTTGAAACGCTTATCACGATGTTTTTACTACAATTTTATTCAGTTGTATTCAGTCAATGTGTCAGTCGGTAACGCGTGAGTGAATAGTGGTGTTTGTTGCGTGACTCAAACGAAATAAAAAATGGCACATGTTTACGAAAATGTTGAACTTGTGGACATTTTTCTTATTTACGGGGGGGTAGTCTTTACAAAATGCTGCCGCGGCATCACGGATTTATGCGGATCGGTTTCCCAATCGAGTGCAACCAACCCCTCGTGCCTTTGTTAATGTAGTACAACGGGCTCGTGAATCAGGTGACTCAAGACCTCACAGGGGAGGGCATGCCGGTGCTCCAAGACCGCACGATCAAACACAGGTCCGCACTGAAATACTTGTCGGGAGGATACTTTATAAAACAATGTAACATTTTTTCTTTAATTTTTTTTTATTTTTACACATATTTTGGTTTATCTTCGTTCAACAATCATTATCTGAAAATTAATGACTCAACATCAAAGTACATTTACAGGACCGTAACAAAAAAAAATCAAAAGGGGTTTTCGAATTTTTCAGTACTGCAGGAGCTGGAACTTCTTGTAATGCTAAAGAAGACTATTTCAGTTTTCTAAATCCAAGTTTTCATCGATTATACAATGTTTGCAAGGTTTTGGGAATATTTTGCCGAAATAGACATATCTACCTGTAAATCGTGCACAACTTTATTTATCACAGGAAAGTCTTCGTGGTTAGATTTGGTGTTACCCTGGATGGTGGTGAGCAGCCGAAGCATCTCCCGATAATGCTCGAGAGGTTTATGGATGAAGGCTGTTATGTCGGGTCGCCTCCTTGGTATCTGCGGCACTTGGAGGAACCTGTAATTTAAAAATCAACTCTAAGCGAAGTTTCTTTCGTACAAAGTATATCCATCAAGAAACATAAAAAATAGCGACAAGTAAGTTGAGTTAGCTCCTCTAAAAACGGTTATTGAACCAAACGAACACAATCATTTTTTATATTTAGCATGTTTTTCTGTCAAATTTTGGGGCTCATCAGGATTTAGCGCACTGAGAAAATATGCTACTCCCTCGCTCCTCAAAAGGTTTTGGAGGCAGGGACGCATTCACACTATCTCTTGCCGATGGATGGCCCTCTCCTTTCCCCTGAGAAAAGTTTCAGCGAGCGCACATGATCGAAACTACATATGTGTATATCTGACGTGGATGACGATCGCCGGTCCATTTAAGGATAAATGTACGGGAAAATCCATGATGAGTGAGATATGTCTAATAGGTGCGTAGAGTTATCGCGACTAGATGCGTATGAGTATACCAACGTCAAAAATTGAGGTGTACCCTCCCCCACTCCCTGAATGCATACCCCTAATTTTTTTTTCTAAAATGAAACGTCAAAAGGCGAAGTTTGAGCGATTTGTTTTACTACTTTGCACCTAGCTGCTCCGCCACTGAATTGGTTTTCAAAAACGATGAACCTTTTTCGCTATTGGCATAGTGAAAAAATGTATGAAAATTTCATCAAACTTCCATCGGTACTTTCCAATATACTTTGAAGTTGAGTCATTAATTTTCAGATAATGATTGTAGAAGGAAGATAAACCAAAATATGTGTGTAACAATAAAAAAAAAATTTTACCTTGTTTTATAAAGTATCCTCCCGACAAGTATTTCAGTGCGGACCTGTATTTGATCGTGAGGTCCCCTGTGAGGTCTTAAGTCACCTGATTCACGAGCCCGTTGTACTACATTAACAAAGGCACGAGGGGTCGGTTGCACTCGATTGGGAAACCGATCCGCATAAACATGTGCCATTTTTTATTTCGTTTGAGCCACGCAACAGACACCACTATTCACACGCGTTACCGACTGACACTGACTGTATGTATACAACTGAATAAAATAATTGTAAAAACATCGTTCTAAATTCTTTCGCTTTTTTGTTTCCGATGCGATGAACCGATAAGGCGGATTATATCCGTTGTTGCCAAACACGAGCACATGATATTATTATTGAGACAGGGCGGTACTCAAACTTCCAAAGGGCTATAACTTTGTTACTTTAATTTTACAAGAAAAATGGTAAAGGAAAAAACATTTCTTTTGATCAGATCTACTCACTGTTAAAATAAATGACTCAACTTCGAAGTCACCCTGTATAGCAGGGTCACGGATGAGCGGACATACAGATAGACAGACACACAGACAGACCGACTGAAATGAGTGACATGGTTTTTCGTGATGTACATATAACATCAAAAAAACATAATACCTTATTTTCGAGATTTTTCACGATTACCGTTCTTCCGCGCCACTGGCTTAGGAACTATAATGACTTTTATGTCCATATTTTTTTCTGTAATGTAAGGCTTTTTTCCCAGTATTCCTGTTCAGTATATGTGTACTTCTTATGACAAACAATTCTCCGAAATATTATCTATACTTATACAGATAGACAAGCTTGTATAGGGATTGTTTAAAAATGTATTCCTCAAAGTTTGAACTTTCAAAATAAAAAATTTAAATTTTCATGTCCTGCGACTACAAGTGAATGCATAAGTTCTAGGCGCATGTGTGAAGTTTGATACGACTCCTGTCCATTTTTCCATGACCCAAGGAGACCTTGTTACGATAGATCCCAACGACAAAACCTTGTTTTCTTAAAATATTGTAGTCTGTAGTGTTGAGGTTTTCAATACTACAATTTCCTTACCTTGAGAATTCCGAGTTTGTATTTTTCGTTTTATTCGCTAATATACAATCCGCCTTCTTAATTCCTGAGCAATATTTCCTATAACCGGTGGTTATTTCGTGCAACTTCATATGATAAGTTCTCACTAATAGATGAATTTGGGGCTCGCCATCTTCTTGAATCAAGGTGTCGAGGATATCTTCTGTTATCCGAAGAATCTACAAATGAATTCGATGAGAATGGAATCTTTTTCACCGATTCCTTGAATAATAAATTACTATTGAGTTATTTTACTTCTTAATGATGACGTGTAGCTAGTTATACCGCCTGACATTCAAAGAAACTTGGAGTTCCACAGTGAACCGTTCTGTCGCAGATATGAAAATTATGTTTCCCCAAGTGACGGCGTGTTAGCACCAAGTTGCAATAGTAAAAGATATCGGTGATGTGAGACTTCATTTCTAACTAAATGAGTTCGGAGTTCGGTGTATTTAAGCTCATTAAGAAAAATCACATTTTCAGAATTTGTATGTATGCATGAAGCATGACTTTTTAGCTGTTATATTGACTGTTCTGAATTATGCTAGGTTTCTCTGTTTGACTATTTTTGACTGTGTTTTTTAAATTACCTCTTCGCAATTCTGGAACAACAGCTTATGCTCAGCAGGAGTGATGAGATCTTTGCGTTCGTTCAGTGCTGAGACAAACCTAGAGATGGCGAACTGGAGGTGAGTCGCATACTGTTGCTCTTTGCTGATCAGTTGATACATTGCTTTCCGACGATTTTCTTCTGGATTGTTTGATTTCTGGAAAATGAGTAAGATCTTTGGATGCGCCGTTGGTTGGCTAACTTTGTCATATGGACGGAAGTACGGAATTTTTTTTGATGAACGTGAAATTACTCGTATATTGCTATGAAGATTTATTTTGTTAAGTTCAGCAGCCTTGGACACTAGGTGATCAATCAACTAGGACTGAACGCTGTAACATCTACATAAATTCATAATAAGTAGTACGTAATAATTCTAGTTTAGTGAGCAAGACTCATGTTCTACAAATCTTAATGAAATTCGGTTAATAATGGCTACGTGTTATTCATTTTGATCTAATAAAGTGAAAGCAGCACCATTCTTAAAAAAACAAGAGATCAAAAAATGAGTTTGCTTTAATAAATAATAAATCTAACGAAATGTTGACCTTGAAAATGAGTTAATTTTTCAGAATTATGTCATCCACTTCATACTTGAACCACCAGGAAGGCCTAAGGTCTAAATATCCGTGGTTCCCGTGGGATAATAGGAGGATACGGGGAAAAGGGGGAACGTCACACTGACTCTCGCGACGGAACACGTGCGCATGCGACATGCACACATTCTCGCCACGTCTCAGAGGTCCGCAGGGTGGTACCTCCACGTTCAACGATATGAAACTGCCTACCAGCTACGAACAATAACAACATTTGAAGCCAAGACAGAAATTCCCTTGGGATGGGATTCGGACCCGCGCAGCTTACGGCGACTAGATTAATAGACCACACTTTAAATAGGTTCAAGTTGCTTTTGAAAATCATTCCTAAGCAATACAAAAGTAAAACAAAAGATAGATATGCGTGCTTACAAAAATCTTAGCGTTGCACGTTGTCTAAAGCTACACGCTTATATCGGGTGTAACGGTAGTTGAGGAATGACTGTGTTTCTGGATAAGGTATTTTTGAAGTGGGTCAAGGTTAAGTACCTTTGACCAAGGAATTCAACGATAAAGTTGGATTGAATCTTGAACCTCAGCTACAATTTTTTAAACTGGGAACCTTCCACTTCGTGACATCTGCAATGGAACAATTTGCGATCTGATACATTTTGATGTACTATTATGAGCTTGAATTATAGTCTCGAGGACAATTCCGCAGCCAAGATACTAGGCAATAATCCTGATCAAAGTCTAGGAATTTTCCATAACCTTACAAATTTGACTTTCATCTCACACGTAGAATTTTCCATTCTTTCCATAGCTGGTGTGTCGAAAGCAAGGCTGTCCATTTAGAAAAAAACACATATGACTTCGAAATAACCTTAAAGGTGATGCGCAAGGTTAGAATTGAACTCCTTCAAAGTTAGCAAAGACCTGACCCTAACCTTTTTCAAAAATACCTCAAATGTAAAAATACGGAGCCGTTCCATTACTGTTATTACATCTTGTACGTATGTTGAAGGGAAGAAAATCAAAGATGAGAGAAACAGAACTCTTCCGCTGAGGTTCTGATCAGTGGCGTGTTATGTGTGACGGGTTCCCCTCTTCACCTCACAAAGTCAGCGGGGGTGTTCCCCAGGGATCGGCCTTGACTCCGACATTGTTCCTCTTACATATCAACGACCTCCTCTCCTGTACGATCAATCCGATCCACAGCTTTGCTGATGACAGCACTCTGCGTGCAGGAATCCAGAGTGACAAGCCAATCTCTGCTGGTGAGCAGGAGAAAAGAAGACTAGCAGCGGCGTCCTTTCTGACCAGAGACCTGAAGGTTATTACTGCTTGGAGACGCAACAATCTTGTATAGTTTATTGCTTCCTAAAGACAGTAATGTACCTTGCCTAAAAAGAAGCGCCTTAGAGCCCATCCGGTTTCAATGGATGGTCGAATTCTACCAAGGAGCCGTTCGTTTTGATTGGAGTCCAGATCACCAAAGACTTGATCTGACAACGAACACATCTCGTCAATAGCAGCAGCTGCTGGGGAATCGCAAGGATATCTGTTTAGACCTAAAGAGTACTTTTCTTCAGATGACCTCCTCACTCTGTACAAGGGCCAGATAAGACTCAGCCTCGAGTACTGCTCACATGTTTAGGGTGCTGCCGCTTCGACTACACTATCCATTCTCGATGCTATTCAGAAGCGTGCCTGTCCGACTGATCAATGATTCTCCTCTAACGGACAGTCTCGAGACCCTTTCTCCTTTCTTAAGGCTCTCCTCCAAAATGCCGCTGCGGGATTTACCTGCCAGACAGACGCGCCTCTTATCCTGACGGAGCCGTATATCTAGAACTGGCCGATATGACCGCTCCTTCGTCCCTAGGGTATCTAGCTTGAGGAACTATCTACGTGAGAAGGATTTTCCAAGTTCTAGTAACCTTACAGTTCCAAAAACCGGATTAACAAAGTTTCTTTGAGCTTCAATAAACAATTATTTTATGAAATTTTCTCCGTTTTTCATCCAAAATATTATGTATTTCGAATCAAACGACCAAGAAGTACCGAGGAGCTGTTATTGGGCAGATTTGCTCAAGCCCATATAGATGACCAATGTCAAACCATGAAGTGGAGTGGGAGATGACACGACGGTGCATGCAGCCTTGCCGGCTGTATAACGCGCTCGGCATTCTGGAATCCGATCACATGAAGTATGCGTGCATATGTTTGATTCCAGATTCATTCTTCGACTATTGGACTATAGATAAGTTACTGTCTGTAGCAAGCAAAGCCAGCGTAACAATTTCCGTTACTACCCTCGTAGATTGCAGTATACACAATTGACGAAAAACACTGCGTTCCGTCTGGGCTTTGACAAAACAGCAGGAACTCACCGAGCTTAGTCCTATGAATAATTCACTCGTCTGCATTGCGTAAATCACAGACAAACTTCATGTGTTAGTTGCGAACATACTTGCATGTGTATTCAGGCAGTGGCGCAGTAATGGGGTATCACCGTAATTAGACGTGGCCAAAATTCGTGGGAACATTTTTCCCGCTCGACTGTTTTTCCTTAACCACGTTTGTTGGATGCCCCTTAACACGAAACAAGGTTGCCGGGCGTTATCCGCTTGCAAAGAACCCGAAAACTTATAGGAAATGGCTTTCAGCAATTATATACGTATATAGGGTGGCCCAAAAATGAATTCATGAAATATTGCTCTGAGAAACAGAATTGTTTCGAAAACTGTTTAGGATTAGTCTGCACCATCATTATGGGAATCCATTTCAAAAATCTTCAGGATCATACAAAATGCCCCACTACTAAGCTGCATATCAAGGTTGTTTATTATAAATATCTTGTTGTTCTTTAACAGATCTGAATATACCTAAATAGTGCCTTTTGAAACGTTTATGATCTGCGGCTACTAAGATAAGTTAGCCCTCGAAATAAAAAAGTAATAGGGAAATAAAAAGGAAAAGCACAAACTTATAAAAAACATGTATTTTACAAAACATAAATAACACCTTCAACAAAATAAATAAAAGGGGTCAATAAACTGTAAAAGCTATTAGTTCAATAAATAAAAACAAATAAACATAAATTACCAAAACATACTTATGAAATAAACAAAACTTATCAACTACAGGAATCAATTTTTAAGTTATAATTTGGTTTGGATGAGTTCACAAATCAAAAATACTGGCCACAAATAACACAAAAAATTATAATAATAAATATATACAGCGTAACAGTATAAGCTCTAGCAATCGATTTAAGGTATATTCTACACACCGTCAGAATCCAAAATGTTCTCATAATGCGTTTTTACGTAAAAAATGTACAAAACAGTAGAGGAATGAAAGAAAACACTTATTTCCTTATACTGATTGCACTAAAGCACTCATCAAGGTGCCCTTGTATATTTACCTGAGAAGACAATACTATAATACTATCTGTGCATCACTGACTATGGCAAAGAAAATATAAGTGTTTGATCTGAGTTCTCGTCACTAACTTTGAAATGGCGTTGATAACAGCACCACATACAATACTGACTGGAGGTATATGTACAAACTTATTACCCAGAAATAAGTATAGTTTACGACATACTTATAGTGTCTGTTATAATTTTTTTCTGCTTCTTTCCCAAACCGACTCGCGTATAGTATGGTCATTAAAAGATACAGATCTAACGAGAATATTATTCGTAAGACTTCCACACTTATAAATTCTGATATGTGTAAGCATGAAATTATATTATGCCAAAATTGTCGGTTCTATTTGAAATCCCGAAGTTCCAATCGGGACACTTTCGATTTTTTTTTCATTTTTCCAGTAAACTAAACGATGACACCGCTACCAACCTCCGTACAGAAGGCGACAGCTTGAGGCGTAGTGGCCAATTGTAACCGCCTCCTTTGACTGCCCGCCCCTCCGTACTCCGTCACTGTCGTGTGGGCGGTCGTGGAACATACGGTGGAGGGACGGCGCGTGGGCGGGGCCGCGATGGATGGGCGGGACAACGGGGCGCAGGATGCTGATAGGCGTTTGTTTGCAGTGGGGAGAGAGCCGTTGCGGGAGGTACTGCCAGCTGTTCCGCCTCCTGCTCGGCGGAATACTTCGAGTGTTAGCTGGTTGCCGCAGGATCTGGAACAATGAAAGTTGAAGTTATGACCTAGTTTATAGAAAGAATCATTCAGTATACGCCCCCAGAATCACTTGGTTCCATAAAAACCAAAAAATATTCATACTTTCTTATAAAGGAATGTCCTGGGAGGGCTTCTTTGTGGAGATACAGTCTTTCTAACTGACAACACTGGAAATCGGCCTGCCTAGAATAATTACTGAATGCAATATTGTTAATTTTTCTAAATCCCTGTCAAACATGATATTTTCGGAAAGCTTGATTTATTTTTCTTTAACGTCGATCGAATGATTTACAGTTCTGAAGTGGCAACACCGCAGTTAATATCTGGAAGTGCTGTCTCATTAAGAAAGATCAATATCTGATCCTCACATTCTGCCTTCCAGCCACTAATGCAGGTTTTTATGACAGAAAGACGGAATCCGCATTATTGTATGAGCGGTTAATATAATAATAATCTTTGCCTCAAGAAAATACATACTACTACACCAAATATATCTTGAGGTACAAATACGGAGCTTAACCATTTCTCTACTTACCTAATCAAACTGAGCACGTCGACCTCCGGCATGGTAACCACATTGAACCGATCCACGAAGATAATGTAATCGCCAGGAAGCAGCCCCGCCTTATCAGCCGCTCCGCCTCTTTCTACTCGCTCCACCCTTGGTGGGCGTGTCCACACGACCGAGAAGCCGAATCCTCCAGATGGGCGGGACCGAACTAGCCGTTTGGTGTGTGTGAACGGCGTTCGACCTTGACGAGGGGTGGCGCCGCCTCCTGCCGCTGCCGCGGCGGTGCGTTGAGTGGCGGCGCATGTGGCGTCAGGACCTTCGGTCGGGTCTAGCTCCAGGTACCTACACGAAACAAAAAGAACTATTTAGTAACAGTATTCGGATGACCCAGCTCCAACTAAAATTAAGGTTTCGAGTATATGAAAATGTAAGGCAGTTAGTATGAGGATAGTTAATTTGCCTTTTAGTTTTGAGGTCAGAAAAACTAATAGCAGGCTGAAATTTGGCCTTGGCTAACCTGAGAAAGAGGTGTTCATCAGCGTACTTCTGCTGCTCATCCAACGCCTGCTTATCGTCGCAAGTCGCCGACCTGCTGAGCAGCTCATCGGCGCACGCGGCGTCGTCCAGGAAGACGGCGTCATCGAAAGCTCCGCCCACACTGCCGCTCCCGTCGCCGCCTCTGCACTGCTGCATCATCGTCCCGCCCCCAGCCGACAAGGCGAGGGGCGGCGTTATGCTGCGGCCCTGACGGTGCGGTTGTAGCAGGTACAAGCCGCTGATGGAGCCCTAGAATAGAAATTTAGCGATTTCAGACCAATGGAGGCAAAAGAATCACGAGAAACGGGAAACATGCTGGCCCTTGCTCTGTAATATTGAGCTCAGATGACGCGCGTTCGCTTGACGCTTGCTTTGAAAATACAAAGAGTCAATACTGGACATTCGCACGCGAGTACGACGCTACTAGACGCAGTATTTCAATACGGGTGTCGGTCAGTGTTGACGCGTGTATTGAAATACTAGACGTTGCCATTGTCTGTTCGGTTGGCGTTTTTATTTCATTGCATTCAGTCGACATATCGGCACGGGTATCATGTATCTTGAAAAGTGACATTATGCCGATTTTCTTTTGACATTATGCTGTTTTTTACATTATGTAGGTTTTTCTACAAGGTATTAACTTAGCACTTAGTTGTACGTGTTGCCTAAACATCATGAGGCTTGTTCAACCTTTGGCTCTGATGTGATGTAAAATCTGCCTCCGTGATAGAATTACTGGAGGTCTAAGCTGTAAGTTGTATGTGTTGAGGATAATTACATTGGGTTCTTGTCTCAAATACACTTAATTGAGATTCAAAGCTAGAAATTAGTTGCGCATCCACTTTTTCTTATCCATTCTGGAAATTACATATAAAAATTTTCTGAATTTCAAAAATGAGAGAAATAAGAAATAATTATATTCACGGTACACTGTGGAATTACAAGCCATATACATGCTAATAGTAATTACACACAACGCGGGGCGGTGACGATTTCCCGTACTTCTCCTCAGATTTTCGTAATTTATAACTTTGAACATAACCTCCCTTCAGAAAGCACAACATAAAAATGACCAGTCGGGCACACCCAATAGATTTACTTCATTGGCAGCATATTCAGTAATGATTTTCTCACACAGCAAATATTATTTTTGACGATGAAACTTACCTCCTTAACAACATGTTCCACATCAAAGGAGACACATCCCAGGAACTCACTTATTCTGTAACAAAAGAAAAAAGTTATCTCTGTGTAATCGTAATAACAGTGATCGAATTTCTTTACGAACGGCAAGTGGTATATTTCAAAAGTCTTGAATACGAATTCGTATCCTTAGTAGCTCTTGTAATCATTCAACATGGAAGTGTGATGATGTTATTAAAAATGGCAAAATGTTTCATAAACCTCTTCCGCTGACGTGAGATATTCAAGTACCAGCTTTAGATCACCGTTTTGCAAACTATTCGCTGTATTTGTTTAAATAAATAACGGTTGTAATTGACTGGACGTTTAGTTTCTGCTAATAACTGCAACATCACTGAACCAATTTCGAAAACCTACGAAACTCAAAGCTCAAAGATGAACTAAATATGCTGTGCAGACGATAGGCATACAAACAGAGTGACGAAAAATAGTACTTAGGGTATTTTCTTGTGAAGTGTAGGTCAGGTAACATCCTAAACAATATTTCGATTTCGATAACAGCACTTGTTCACCAATTGCGCGTGAAGTTAGACATTAAGCTAGTTTTATCATTTGACACAAGGAAACGATGCCAAGTAGGTTAACTACGCACTTCAGTTAATAAAATATTGTGTCCATCATCACTTAGAAAAAATCTAACCACAAACGTGTACAACAATGGAATTTATTTAGTCAGATAGACTCATACAAATAGTCTCCAGCTCCAAGATATGATGTCAGTAAGAGTCTAGCTTCCTTCTAAAATTTGCATATTTAGCATAGTTTTCTAGCATTTTGTGCAACATTCCTGATATGATTTCCCCTGAGAGAATCTACTATCTCTTCTTCAAAGATTTTCCTTCTCCCTCTCCAAACTCTTAAATCATGTCACCCTCTAATTTATAACATCTCAAAAAGAGATTTAAAGATGACCAGGAGCCTGTGAAACGTGAAAAACGACTTTTGAGATTTTTTGTTTTCTGCCCCTAGCAGCGCCGCTACTGGATCGATTATCAAAAACTGCAGAGCTCTTTCGTCCTTGGCTCAATAGTAATTATATTTAAAAGTTCCATCGCGATCCGAGCTGTAGTTTCCAAGTTATCGACGGGCCAAGGATTAGGCGAGATCTATAACAAAAAATGAGCTTGCTCCTACCCCTGAGAGAAATTCCTGCGGGCGCACATGATCGTTGCTATCAACACCCGACTGCTGGTCATATTTCTAAGTTTTATGGAAAGATATGCGGGGACATCTGTGATGAGGGATTTTTTTCACCTACGAGACCGATTTCCAAAATCTACAGATCTTCTTCGTCCTTGGTACAGTAGTAACCTTATATGAAAGCGGACCGACAGACAGACGAAAGTGAGTGCCATGGTTTTTGGTGATGTCACATAACATCCAAAACTTCCTCGGCAATAGCGTGGGAAGTAAAAAGGCTATACGCAATACTTTAAATTTATCTATATCCATGGTTAATGAGCAATCATCAATCGTTTAAATAATGTGGGTTCTTAGATGGAACTTGTTGCTTAGCAGCAAAGGGCTGGTGGTCGAAACAGCTCTGTATTATCCAACAATTTGCGATAATACCGACATACAATTTATACACTGTACCATGCAGCTCTCCTCATTTTTTTAACAGTTCATCATAAAAAAATAAAACCCCCATGGTCCAACCAGATAAATACAAGACGCAGCCTATTTATCAGTTTGTCCATCTTTACACGTGGGTAATGTATAGCATGGTGTATAGTGGTATGGGGGGTAAGGGGAATGCATTTCTAATGAGTATGCATTTCGAATGGCCGAATGGCCGTAACCCCGACGAACCGATTCAAAAACTGTTGTCCGGACCAGTTTTTTAACGATCCCGATACAAGGTAACTTTTTGTACTCGCTTGCGTCTGGTCCGCGAACCGACGCCCTGCGGGCTGAGGGTACTTCACGTATCTTACGCTCGCCGCAAGGATTCTTTTTAAAACAAAATTAACGTACAAATTGTGCTTGGGGAGGAAATTATTATTTTTTACAGAGATCCCGAAATATACGAAGATGGAACAAGTATGATTCATATTTAAATATCAGCAAGTCTGTCCATCGAGCTTCAACAGGCCAATGCTTTAAACTATACCCCATTCGTAGTACATTTACGCCCAGACAAAATACAACATGCCCAAAAGCGAGATTTTACATGTCCGCATTTTCCTCAAAGGTCTTGGAATAATCTAACAAAATAAATGATCATTTTTATAGAAAGAAATGCACATACTTTTCACAATTCTTTATTCGCTGGAAGTACTTGAATCATCGTCCGAATGGTTAATATTGTAACGTTTTTCTGGGTTCTTTTGGGTGTGGATTGAAACAATGGATTCCACAAAAAGAAATGCACTAATTTATTTAGCTGGATAAAACAGTTATATACACCACTATTTATGTCTGACTAATTCTTATGTCACCATTTACTGTACTATACTTCACTCCGCTCTGCTACTCTACCTTATTCAGTACTCTGCTTCCATCTCCCGGCGTTGTCCCCATTACAGCTTCGAGAAAAAACCGGGTATATCACAAAGCGACATCTAGATTGTTGGAGATCACTTCGCGTCGATCTAGAAGGCGATCCACTATCACGGTCCTCACGGACGCCGCCAGGCGGCTTGTGCGCCGTGGTTCGCGTAAAATCAGACATCGGCAATTAAGCTCTGGCGAGTAGGAGACTCGCCCAACAGATGGCGCTGTTTGTCACACTGCCCCCTTCCTAAAGTCATTCCGTCCCGGAATGATCTTACTGGCGGTGGATGTCGGTATCGGCACGACGACGCTCCCTTGCAGTAGGAGTTCTTGAAGAAGTAACAATCCACACTCTTTCCAGGAGGTAGCCGTCTAGGATTGTGACAACATGCCAGAAATCGAATGCCTGTATACCGGAAGACTACCTCAAGCAAGACTTCTCTAAGCGAACACAAAACGTTCCGAACATCATAATTCGGTTTGTGATACGAAGCTTTCTTGGTAACTAGATAGAAGATCTTTCGGTTGATACCCTCTTCAGTTATCTGGAGTACTTCTCCGACCTCCGGGTCAGATTGCCGCAGCTCGTGCACTCTTCCATTCTTTCTAAGAAATACCTCTGCTATACCTCTCGACATTCGCAGGTCTTGAGCCACACAGTGTGCCAGAGCATACTCTGGTGAAGTGGTAAACAGATCCTGCTATACTGACATGTCATGCCATACCGACTCTTATGGCCATTAGCATGGCGAGCCATAAATTGGTCAAATGTCCTGTCCGATTCTGGTTGGATTTGGCGCACCGCCGCATCTTCGTTGTTTCCATGATAAGGTGTATGGCGGTTGAAATGTACACCGCGTGGTGCCTTGTGAATCCTGTAGAGAAGATCGTTAATGGCCTCGAGAACTTTATGGCCCATCCCAGGATGATTGAAGCTTAGGCGACAGCTCTTTGCGCCTCCTTGGGTCGTAAACCCAAACCGTATCACCTTTCTCATACCCCTGGTATTTGGCATTAACGTCGTAAGCTTCTTTCATCCGGTCGCTGGCACCTTGAATTGAAACACAGGTTCAATTTGGATATCGATCATATTGTCCAGATCCCACACCTTTGGTTCGATTGTCTCTTCAACGTGACGGATGCAATCTTTCCAATGGTCTGCCGTCACTCTGTTGACAACTTCATAAAATAAATTTTCCAGTGTGACTTAATGCGCAATGATTAGGGGGTAGCCTTAAAACAATCTTATTTTGATTTTTAGCCATTTTCGTCAATAACATTATATTTATATTTGTGCTGCCTGACTAGATCGATAAGTTCTGCTTTGACCATATTTTCATTGAAACTAATGTCTTTTGGTAGGAGACATGCTTGAATTTCTGCCTTTCTTGTGGACATTGTGGGAATTTTTTCTATTTTTCTAGTGTGGTATGCAGCATTATCAAGTACAATGACAGTATTGCCGTCAAGCTTTGGGAGCGTTTCTTCAAACCATCGTTCAAATGAACTCCCGTCCACTTCTTCATGGTAGTCCGTCATTTTCTTTGACTCAAATGCCCGTAAGGCAGTGGGCACAAAGCCATCTTCACTGCCAAAGTGACAGATAACAAATCGTTTTCCTTTTCCGGGAAATAATTATGTCATATAGTATTCAAGAAAACTAATAATAATACAAGGAGAGTATCTAACAGGTGTTGGTTCGAAATCTACCAGATATAGCTGAGCTTAGTCTAGCTAAGTTTTCAGCGTGAGCTCATAGATTCAGTCTACTGGTCACGATTTTTACAACACAAATGACGGATTGGTTAGATACACTTACCTGACGGATTCTTTAGGCCAGTGGTTAGTCTATCTAAAATTTCGCATATAAACGTTAAGGACACTTTCTTTTGCATCAATATTCAAATGTACGTTCTTGTCACGTTTCCAAGGAGGAGACATCACTGAAGAGGAAGCATGGCTGAAGGAAGCATTGGGAGAAATATTCTCAGTTTCATCTGCTGTATCCATAGACGACATACTAATGTATAAACACACGCTATGCAAGCTTAGGCCCCTACCGCTTTGCCGTGCTACATCCACGTAAATGGACTACTAATAGGGTATAAGTACTGTCGCTCAACGTTTTTTGTGCCGCGGTTGGAATCGGTAACGAAAAATAAATTGCATCTTTATTACGATACGATCAACCTAACCCTACCAATCGGTTTGTCAGTTTGGGATCATTCAAGTCTTACGTAAGCACTACATTTTTAATGGCATAGGTCTGGATGGTGATTACGTCAACGTCATTTATTCTTTTACTTTCTCAGATTTTCTACAAAATTTTGTCGATTTTGGTTTGAACACGTATGGCAAGCCTGCTTGCCTGTGCTTGAAAGCGAAATCCATCTTCAAGGATTCCCCAAATACAAATTTGCTTACTCACTAAGAACCTCAGCTATAAATGCTTGTGCTGGAAATTCGTTTAACCGAGTATAGGGTAGAATGACCTCCTCTTGATCAGGAACTTGCTGGTTTGAT